CAGGGGAAAATAATTGCTTATCTCAGCATGTGTACTGGTAATCAAAACAATTGTAACAGAATGGTTTCAACAACAAAATGAATTTACAACAGAATTCAAAAGCACCTGAGTAATTATACTAAGACAATTATTTGGCTAGCCTTCTGCAAATAATTATTAAATGTCACAAAGCAGTATGACAAAACTATGTTTACACAATGTATCTTTTTTTAATTCAAGGCTCATCTAGCTTGTAAAGCAAGTAGGGTTGTTCCAGTAAGTGGTTGAATTTAATTTCCCTAGAGAGCATTATGTATCATTCCTCTTACTAACAATATATGCTCCACTTAGAAAATTCCTCTTTTTTGGCACATATTTATGGCTTCCTTGTCATAAACCACCAAGGATGAAGCCATCCCATATAACAATATGTCCATATGAGTAAAATAGATAAGTTGAAGGAGAGATAAAATGAGTTAATATCTTGTGAAAAAAAAAATTTGCAAGAACTGCAAGAGAAAACTCAATCTGAAAAATCAGTACATGAACAGCCAAACTTTTGACTTCAACTAAAAAGGCCATATTAAGAAAACTACTCCCTCACAGAATATTCACTTTCCCTGTGAGTATAACACTGACGCAAATTGAATGGTCACTCAGAAAGATGCCAAGGTTATTCCTACCATACTTAAATCTTCAACTCCCTGAAGTGATTAACAAGTAACTTCTCCCTACAATCTTCATACACTATCCAGCAAACAGGTAATGAGAATACTCAAATGTATCAGGTAGAAGTTGTTATCTTGATCTAACACCAAATTCTTGTAACCTATTTACAAGGAAATGTGTAACACCTAGAGGGAAGAATTAACAATCAGATCTTGGGAGTTAAAGGGTTAATCTGCTTACAATGCTAACAATTGAACTCAATGAACACTTCATGTCCCCTGTTTCCTTCTATTATAAACATTGAAACTATTTACAGTACTATTACCATAGCTATTTATATTTTCATTACATACAATATGCTAACATTGTTTACCATCCCAATTTACCTTTTACCTGATCTTATGTGAGTTCAGTGGGACTTGTTCCTTTCTTTTCAACTTCGGTTTCTTTCTCTTCTTTTTTGCAGCAGCAGCTTTCTTTAATTCTTCCTCTTTTTTCTTTCTTCTGAGCCACCTGTTGCAAGAAAATTTTAAATATTGCATACTGTTGGAATGTCAGGGCAAACTGGTGAAATGTTACAATCCTGCCTGAATTTTGGGGTTTGTATAAGATTCTTCCTTTTCTAAACAGTTTCATAAGTGACCTTACAAGGCAGTCAGGGTTTTATTTTCAGATCAATTGGTCTTGTGAATTTTCTGGATCACACCAACAGCTTAGTAAGTTGACTCCTGAGCAGACAGACCTCTAAGGGAATGAAGGGGTAAGTTTCTAAAGAAACTGTGGTGCTGCGTCGGTGGGAGAGTATAGCAGGTAATTTAGTGTTAACAACTGGGTTGAAAACGTAAATTAGCCACCGTAAAGGGTAAAAAAGCTGACGTTTCGAGTGTCATTTTCGTGCGTTTCGTCAGAGCGATTAGACTAATTGCTCTGACGAAGGGCTAATGCTCGAAACGTCAGCTTTTTTACCCTTTACGGTGGCTAATTTACGTTTTCAACCCAGTTGTTAACACTAAATTACCTGCTCTAAGGGAATGGGGGAGGAGAATACCATGGGTACTTCTTTTGAACAAAATTTCATAGATTGCAAATTTGAAAAAGGGAAAATAACAGTTTTCACCTTATTGTTCATCACAGATTAGAAAAAAAAAAGATGTATGGCCAAAATTTTTTTCTAAAAGGTGATACTTCCCCTTTGTAGCGAAAGGAGCTGAAGTAGGATGTACACCACTCACTACATCTCTATAATTTCATATTATAGTGGCTACTTAGTTGAGTGCTTCGGTGGAAACATGAATAGAGAAGAACACAGAGTAGCAGTCAAATTGAGAGTAACTGCCAAAAATCAAACATTCTCAAGCGGACCAATTTTGGTCAGCAGGCTGCCAATTTCCTGCCAAGAATATCAAAGGATTTTGACATAGGAAACAGTCCAAGCCACATAAGAATTGCCATGTTGATTATTTTTTGCGATTGAATAATAGCTTGTTAACAGAAAGGGAACAAAAATCTTGACAGTCACTGTATCTGCCACCTAGCATTTGACTTGCCCTTTCCAACTTGGACAATTAGCAAATCTTTAAGGACCTCAAAGATCTTCTCTTAAAAAGTTCAAGTAATTGAGTGCATAAGCTTTATCACCCAGAAGGGATATTTTGGGGGTCTGGTGTCAAGAACTTCACCATTATTACAACTGGTATGAGTTTATCATTATAAATACCCACTTATATTTCCTAGGCCTAAAATTGTAAAAATTTTTAACCATTTTTGGAAATTCTGAGGTCTTTAAGAATAAAGTGGAAAAAACCCTTTTGGGTCACACATATTTCTAGAAGTAAATCACATTAAGCATACACTCCTAAATTCATAAACCATGCTCACTCGTCTTTAAGTTAATTTCACGTCTCACACAAATTTTGGCCTTAATTGTAACACATCATATACACACCCTTTATTGCTCTTCTGCTCAAGTCAAATGAAACAAATATTTGCACATCAGTAGGAGAGAAAGAATGGACTATCTTAATAAAAACTAAGTAATTTTTACCCACCTTCTAAATGCCTCATCACAAAGTTTCCGATCTCTTATTGTGATTATTATTATCGTCTTTAAGTTAATTTCACGTCTCACACAAATTTTGGCCTTAATTGTAACACATCATATACACACCCTTTATTGCTTTTCTACTCAAGTCAAATGAAACAAATATTTGCACATCAGTAGGAGAGAAAGAATGGACTATCTCAATAAAAACTAAGTAATTTTTACCCACCTTCTAAATGCCTCATCGCAAAGTTGCCGATCTCTTATTGTGTACTGGGAGGCTTCCTCCTCTCTTCGTCTTTCCTCCAGTTGTCTCAGTGTCTTGTCTTGTTGCCGCTTCACACTTAGCCACTCACTGTATGCTGACTGGGCATTACTCTCTTTTTCCTCTCTGGCTCTTAGTGCATCCTCTGGGTCTGGTTGATTCAATCTTGCCTGCTTTGCAGCTTCTATTTTATTATATAACCAAACCTACCAGAGAAAATAAATTGTTCGACAAGGTGAAGAAGTCTCTCCAAAGAAACTATAAAATTTTGAGCACATAGAACAAATTTACACTGTAAACAATATGTATTTGATCTTGAAAATTCATTACTCTGACTAAAGTAAGCTTTTTTAGTAGCTGGGCAGTTATATTCACCGCCAGTGTTGAGAACTACAATATAAATACTACTAAATAGTCCAAACGAAAGCATCAATAAAAGCAAGTATTGTATATACAGGTACCATTTTCTCAAATTTGACTTTGAGTCTAACACAGCCCCAAATCTCACACACAAAATACGCACTGAAATCCTCCAACTGAAAAAAGTATCTCAGGATTACACAAATAACCAACCCTGAAAAAAATTATATTGAACAGAGAGTGCAAAAAGATATGTCAGGTGTTTGAATATGTGACCATTCAGCGTTTCGTTCACCCGCGATGACAACTAGGAGTACTCTCTCTGAGTTCAACAATCAATTTACTCAACCGGCCTCTCGCTTTTTAAATTTTAACTCTATCTAATATGGGAGAACTCGATATAGGCTTACACCCAAGAAATTGTGGTTTAGGCAAACTTAATCTGAACTTGATTACATAAATATCAAATGTATCCTTGAAGAGTCAAGGAACGTAACTTCGTGGGTTTCGTTAAGACCCAAATCCCAAAATTTAACTGTCTCATATTTCCAGAGAAGTGTCTAAGAAGCTTTTAATGCTACTGTAGTTCTACGGCAAAGATCTAATCAGTATGCAAAAAAGTGTGTGAATTTCCGTATACGCAAGCTAAATACCTTATGGTGGCAAAATGTAAGAACTGAAGAATCATTCCTTCACAAGTGTGTAACTAAAGATGTTAGTAAAGGACTTGAAGTGTAATATTATGTGAAATACATAATCACGGCTAATTTGTTGTTCAATGTTTATAGAAAATTCACGAAAGCTTTCACTCGAAGAAGCCTTGGGCGTAATATGTGAACGACCGAAAATTCAGTGGACGACTTTAAGCTTGTATTGGCCTGGCTTTACCTACAACATAACTTTTCAAACACACGTACTTGGAAAGCTCTTTCAGCATCTTCTTTTTTTCTCTGCTGTTCCTCCCGCTCTCTCTCCTCTTCTTCCTTTTGCCTCCTTAATTTGGCTTCTCTACATTTCCTTCTTATCTCAAGCTGCTGTTCAGTCATTGCGTATTCCGATCTAATATGAGCATAATCATCATTTCTCTGTCGAATCGCCTTCGCGCTCTGACTTCGAGTTCTATCAACACTCCTAGTATTTCTTTTCTTTTCGTTTCTACGGTGCTGTTCTTGAACCGAAGTAGTTTTTGGTCTGGGCCGTGACGCAGGTTTTTCCTCAGGGATTTCTTCACCATCATTTTCAGTCGCTTCGCTACTTTTTCCTTCGCTTCCGTTGTTTACGCCATTGGCTTCAGGTGTAATTCCCAACAGTTCGTAATATTCCGCTTTGATCTCGCTCACATCTACAAGTTCGAATTTGCCGTCACGTTCTATGAGAACCCGATCACCGATCATTTCCATTGTAGGACTTTTGGCAGGCGACGATACCGAAGAGTCTTCTTTATTACTTATTTGTGCGGATTCATTTGGCTCATCATTAACTTTTCCTACCGATTCGCTTCTTTCACTTGACGCTTCATCGGCTTCGTCTTGTAAGGTCACGCCATTTTCGAAAGCTTTGCTAACTTGTTCGTCCTCCGTTGTATTCCAATCTTGGTCAACATTATTGTTGGAAGTCGCGTCGTTATGTTCCTCTAGTTTCTCGCCTTTATTTAACTGTTCATTTTCATTTTGTTCTTCCTCCTTCATCATTCTCTCCATTTCTTGCTCGTTGATACTGCTGTCTGAATCAGCACGCGGTCTCGTAGATTCTTCTGGCGATTCGATGTCACTATCGTCCTCCGAAAAAGAAGCTCTTGTTATAGATATTCGAACTCTGCTGGGATTATTTGGATTAGCATCGTCTTCAACGAACTCATTCTCCATGGTTTCCGCGTGATACTAATAAACTTTTCAATTCTCTTGAGCGTTACGGCGGCAAATCGGAGGGTTGTTTATGTCTGTATTATTGTTCGTGTCACCTGTGGCAACCGGGGCGGTGTGCGCACTCTGATTGCGTTGCATCATGGTCGTGAAACGAGAAGGGAGTCTTTTGCATCCTGTCGCTGTCAAGTGAACATCTCTGGTGGCAGCAAGATAGCGTGAATAAACGTGGAATGTGATGGAGATTCACTATCTGTTGCCGTTCCTTCGAAAGTTTAAAAGTGTTTATGGGCCTGCGCGACTCCTGTTATTTCTCCGTGACAAATTCATTCTCAGGAGGCAACTGAAGAGATTCAGAGAGAATCGAAACTGCAGTCTTGCCCAAGAATCTACACGTTTGACCGACAGCAGTTACACTCAGCCGATGGCTGTGAGAATAATCTAAAATTCGCGAGTTATTTGACGGGGAATCGACCCTTAACATGAAAACACATTACAAAGAGACAGCGACCTTCTATTACACGAACTATTTTTATGTCATACACTTAACGGCGTAAATACGGAATTCGCGAAAGGAGAAGCCTTACGCCTGCTAAGACCAAATTCGTCACGCTCAGCGTTTAATAAAAACGTACCGTCAGAGTTTCAAATATGCTTAAAGAATAGAGAATACCTAGAATAAGGTTTTAAGAAACGTATCTCTCGAGTTATTTTCTGCGGGAGAGAAAGTATACTTAAAAACAAAGAAAACAGCGCGCACATGAAAATATTACCTTTTCTAACTCAATCCCATCCAGCTTTGCCAAACCTCAAGAACATACAGATAGGGAAATGACACCTTGAAACTAACCCTTATTATCACATCGCAAAGGAAAGTCATTAAAAGATATCTAAATAACAGCTTAACTTTCAGGGTAGAAGATTTAACCCTTTAACTCCCGTGAGTGACCAAGACAGAATTTCTCCTTACTATATCTATACAATATCATGCAGACAAGTGATGAGAATAAAGAAAAATATCAATAATAGGATTACTAATTGATCTGATGCCAATTCTCTAAACTAACATAATGAGAATTGTTTGGCAGACAGTAAGGAGAATTACTAATGAGATCTTGGGAGTTAAAGGGTTAAAAGCGCAAGCGAATTGCAGGAGTCGCACAAGCCTATCATCACCTTTCTACGATCGACTGCCTTTTGCTTTCCGGCCTACGCTGCGTGTCGCCGTGTGCATTGTAGAGTTATTCATTGGTCAAGTGACTCCTTTCATTGCTCTTATTCAACTGTCCTTCATTCAATGATCAAGATGGTAGATTTACCGTACAACAATGGTGATTAGTTAATTTGCTTTTACTTATAAAAGTAGATTTACGACAGAATTGAGTATACAACAGTAACGCTGTGCAACGCTACAATAGGCCTTTTCTCGGCCACAATCGGCCTCAAACACTAGCACTTAAATTGCGAGAAACACATTTACCGTTGGAGAGCGTTTGAGAGCATTTGGTCAGAGCTGTTGAAGAAGAATCAAAGCGGCCATCCAAATCTTTGAAAGGCTTCAAACTAAGACGTACATCAAATTTGACCTTCTCGAAAACCGATCTCAAATTACATACTAAAAAACAGTGATTGCGTTTGTCCTTGAGAACCATAGAATACACGACAATTACCTATAAAAAACACTTTTACACATTTAGAATAAATCAAATCACATTTATCTATGGTGAAAGGAAAAAGGAACGGTCTAAATTTTATGGAATGTCCAGTCAAAATCTGCCGATTTCTGCCGCTTTCACTACCATATTGAAAATGAAGCTACCACAATGCAACGCAATCGGAGTGTGCATACCGCCTGTGCGGCAACCTAGCCTGTACCAAACATTACTTGATCACGTGACCAGCCACTTAGCTCGCTGTAGTGCTCTAATTTAATAAAGGTAAGCGCATTTTCGGACCGCTATCTTTTTCGAAATGTCTGCCCTAATTTCACCGAGAAGATATTACGTTCAAGCAACTTTTCACGAAATTTGTAAGTTTCTTTACAGAATCCCTGCAATTGGGTTCAGCCGATTACACAGCTGGACCAGAATCCCATTCGCTCTTAGCTGAAAATTGAGCCAAGTTTCTGATCGCATTGAAAATTTCAGCTTGGTTGGCGAGGTACCTGGGAAAGGGAAATGTGCCAATTCCTGTTCTTTCTAAAAGCATTTGCTGTTGATATGCATCTTATAATATCAGTCAATGAAATGTTGACAAGAAAGACGGAACCTTTGGACCCAGGTCGTCAAAATCAAAGCGGCACTTGACATACAAACTATTTTAATCAACTTATGAACGACCTATGCAAACGCTCTCTTTTGTCTCGCATTCTTGCGATTTTTTGAGCAGTAAAGATGTCTGATCGCAGTTTCTCTGAACTCTATCACTTAAAACAATTTCAGCTTTTTTCGAACATGTAAAATGGGTTCGTTTGTCGTTCGGAGTTGAGTGGTGAAAAACTCCTATGCTTTAAGGTAGGCCTTCCTTGAAGGTTGATGGTTTCGCAGTTCATTAAATCAGAGAGTACGATGCTGTTCTCTTTCTCCTTGGTCTTCGCAACTTTCTAGTCCTAGTGCGTTTAGAAGGAGGAAAAATATTCTAAATTGAATCACGTCCACTTTCACTTTCATCCTATACTTTAATGAAAAAGATCTTAAGGTTCGGAATAATTTCCCAGTATTTCTATTTCTCCGGAGTTGTTCACGAAATGATAAATTATTAGGAGAGATTATTTTTCTTCAAAATGCGGAGTTACCCTGCCCTGGGAACAAGGGTAGTTATAGTTGCTTTTCATTTCGTTGAAGAATTCAACACTTCTCTCAACTAATTAGATTTTCGGTTACCTGCTAAGCTTCCACGATTGATTCAATTGTCCAGAACCTAGTAACAAGGTTAATTTCCCCTTTTGGTTTCATGCCAAGCTGCGCGCTCTAAGACACTGGAAAAGTTTTTAAATTTTGGACTAATTATCGAGTATTTTTAATACTTTCAAGTTGTTTGAAAAACAATGGATTATAGGCAAGAATCTTCTTTTTTGATGCCATACAGGAACACATCATCCTGGAGGCAAGAGTAGTAGTTGTTTGTTAAAAACAGAAGGAATTTCGCACTTTGCTCAACTTACCACGACCTATTTCCACATGGGGTCAAATTAACTCTTCGGTTTCGTGCTAAATTGCATAATTTTTTTGTAAATAACTGAGAACATAATAAAATTCGAGCGTTTTTACGGGAAAAAATTAACAACAGGGATTAAAAGCTTTGTACAATAATTATGCTTTCAAGTCATAATCTTTACACTGTTAAGAATGATTTGGGGAGTGTTCCTTCCAGTTGTCTCCGTTCAGAGAAGTTTTTTAAACAAACAAGTAAGTGCTATTCTATGTAGCATTGCTCTTACCTTATGACTGAAAATAATTCGTTAGAAGGAGACATATGACATGTGTATGCCCCTTTTCTTTAGAGCGTGCCTGCGGCGGGCTTTCTAGCTTTTCAGCTACAAGAACGAGGTTTGCGATCGTCTTTGCTACGCGCTTGTAGCGAACTGTGAAAGAACGAGGTCTAAGAACAACTATTTTTACGACTAGATTTCCCATAGAGAAGAATTACGAGCAGACTTCCGGTAATATTGCATTCGACGAACTCCATCAGAACGCATTTCTTACCCTCCCTTACATTATGTAACAATCTACCTTTCAGTTCTCCGCCTTTCATTCATTGCGACAAGAATTTTTGCCCAATCTATCGGACTGCACGTTTCATGAGTAGAATCTATTAATGTTTATGTAATAAGCTGTTACAAGAGGATTTTTAGCTATTAAGTTAACTGTACTTATGCTATTGAAAAATTCTAATTAAACCTGGAAACTGCACTTTGATAATTCATAATATCACCCTTGCAATAGGCTTAAATAGAACTGTGTTGTGAAGCTTTCTTTGGTCACAATAAGCTTGTGCTTGGTCACAACAAGCCATTGTAGCACTTAATCACAACAAACACAGTACTTTGTCCCAACGAATTTATTTTGGTTAGTATTTTAGTGAGAATTTGTTTTACCTGGTCGTGCCAAGACCGTAGATTAAAACGCCTGTTAAAGTCAAGTTTACTGTGCAAGTCCTTGTCTCAACAATTGTCAACAGCCATAATAGCTTTCTTTCTGAAGGGAAGAAATCTATTTTCCAAAAGCAAGTTATATTCGCACTGTAATCTGTTCTCAGTTATTTATGAAAAATTACGAAATTTGGAAGGAAAGACGCGTAGATTTATATGAATATTAATTTTTCCACTTTCCGCTCGCTCGCAGATTTGTGTTCCGCATCTCTTAAGCTAACTCCGCTACAGCGTAATAAGAAGAACTAAGGCGATTTAATTGCTACAGAAGCTTTCCTTTTCAGCAGACATATCAATAAGTATATCCTGGATGTCTGAAGAGGTAAGCGCGTTCGTTCCTCGATCAATAATTGGAGAGCAAAAGTGTAAAGCCAGACCTTTATTCCAATTAGAAAAATTTTGGAGCATAAACAGGGTACTCTCAAATAGGCTACTTTGCTTTTCTTCTTTGGAAGAATTGTGAGCTATCACCAATTTCACTCGTGCGTTGTTCACTAAGGATTAGAGCTATATTTGGTATGCGCGTGGGCGTGTTTTGAATCTTCGATCCTTCGTTGTATTTTTGTTGAGATTCATTCTTCCAACTACTGCTGTTTACAGTTCAAATACTCAGCTATTACTCAAATGAATTTGATAAGAGCTGCCAACTCCATCTCGATACTACACAAATTTGTGCGTCTAGAGGATACAAGTAAATATTCACTGAGGAATCTTTGCCTCAGTAAAAAGACCCACATGGCACATTGTAAGAACATACGGATGACTAAGTTTACTTTTTTTATTGCTTGACGATTGACGAATTTTTTTCAAATACTCAGGAAATTTTGACGTAAATTTATCGAACCCCGAAACCTCTCAGAAGCACTGGGTGTTTTAAATTGTTATTCTTGTTTACGTTCGGGCTGTGTCGAATCCAGAATACAAATGTATTTTTCCTGTCTGGCTTCTCATATGTCCGATTGTGTTCCATCTCGCTTAAAGATGTCGCTTTTTTATGTTTTTCTTCACCTGGTAAGTAATTAGTACTCGAATATTCTATGAATCTTATTTCATTTTCTAAAGTCGGTAATCCTTGGTTACTTGAGATGTATCACAAAACAGAACATGTGTGTTGGTTGAGAAGAAGCTAGTAAATCAATGATAGGAAATTTGATGGGATGATCTTGGTCTACCTATTTGTGTTCGCACTCAGTTCATTTCAGTATCAGCGGATTGCTTTGTGAGTTGCACTGTTTTTTACATCTAGAAGTAGAAAATTCAAGGCTAGCCTAATATGCTTCGAGCTCGGTTTCTCAGGAACAAATATTAATCTAAGAGAGGTACGGGAAATAGGCGAATGAGGCGTTATAACGGAATGCTATATAATCACATTGAAAGACAAGTATTGGCGAGGCCAGGCTTATAACGCTGTACGAGAACAAGATAATTGTCTGATTGCTTTGATAGTATTCTAAGATACGATATAAGATTGATGAGGATTTTAAGACGCAGTCTAATCGGAAGTAGGAAACTCACATTGGCTCACAGCCTGTGTCGAATCCGGAATACAAATGTATTTACAATACTGGTGTCTATTATTTGCCATTGAGCGAAATGGGTCATATGGCAATGCTGCACTTAAACTAAGGAAGTTTTTCTTTATCAAAATCCCTATTTGAGATTAACTTGAATCAGATAACTGTAAACTTCTCGGCGAAAAATCATCATGCCTCATGATACAGCTGATTCTTTCGTCAAAAGTTAGCTTTAGGTTTTCTAGGGAATTACTCTACAGCAACGAAACTCCAGAGCACTGACCAAGGGGAACCTTCGCCGCACTTAGTGCGAAGGACTAAAATGAACATAAAACGTAACACAGCTACCCATTCTTAACATAATTTTCGTCGTAGAAAACAAAACATAAACGCAACAAACTAAACAGTTAGTAACGGGATTCTTTTTGTTCTAATCTTGACCTGACCACCGCGGGCGAGAAACCGTCTTTGTCACTCTTCGTCGACTGAAAATTTTCGTTTGATGCACGCGGTTCTTCTTCGTAGGGCTGAATCGTACTTACGACTTCCATCTCTTCTTTACTGCCTGAGTACGGTGTATAACAACTCTCGGTAGAGCTTGCTGAAGGCAGGTAGACTCCTCGGACATCGGTATCGGATACTATTTCAAGAGTATTTAAACGCTGACTGATATGAAGTTACAACTAAGATGAGAGAGATGTCAACTGAGAGTTTTCACAGTTTTCTACATCATCACCCACTGATTCATTACTCCTGTCCACGGGACTCTTTTAACACAAAATAAGAGCACTTTAAGGCCCGAAAAAACCGACTTTTAAGTTTTTTTAAATTTTTCTTCTATCAGAATTAATTGGCACATATGATAAGCTAAATATTTACGCAAAAAAAATACGCAAACAAAAATTCGTGTCATAGGCACTTAAATAACCCGATACTTGAAAAATCTCGAGAAAGAACTGTCAGCTTTGACAAGTCAATAAACAACCCACAAACTGGAAAGTTTACAACTCTTCGTTTATGTACGACGCAGCCTAATTGGTTATTATGCTCCTAGCGAGCGATCGTTTTTGATGTGTCTTTGTGCTTGAAGGCTGGACTGAATCACGAACGGAATCTGCCTTAAGACATAAATCAAATCAATTCAAGTATCCATTCACAATCATCAATTACTTTTACTTAGTATTTAATTTCAATATTTCTTAGTTTGCAAATCTGTTTACTACATATTACTTTCTGTGCTACTTTATGTTCATTCAATAGGTCATGAGCGGAGTTTCAGCTTCAGTGTGCGAGAAAGAGATTTTAATTCGTATTAATCAATCAATTCCGTCCGTAATTGATCTGGAAATCTTACATCACCTTCTTAATAGGCTATAATTCGAGTTCTTATTAGTCTCCTGCCATATTCTTATTTACCTAAGAGGCTGTAATAAATACTTTGCGTTTGGTTTTAAGTCACTCACTCGTAAAGCGCTCTAAGGAAGTGTTGAACTTAAAAGATAACTGTGGGTTGCTGAAAAGAGCCACTCCTGCTGTTTAAAATGCAGATTATCGTTTATTTGCTTTGTTTGGTTGCTCATTGCTTTCTTTTTAACGGTGAGTACGTTGTTTTTCATCACAGCTATATTTCACGTTTTAATTCAGTTACGGTATACATTACTTACTTATTGCCGGTCGAGAGTTCTGCTTTGATCTGTTGAGGCAGTTTGAATCTTGATTTGCTGTATGCTTCATTTGAGTTAAAATTGTAAACGAAATATTACTATTTAAGAGTTTTATACTGTGTGTAAAGTAATCATGAGGTACTTCTGGAAATTTGATGGACTTCTGGCGGTGGTTCAACATCATCCTCATCACAAAACGATAATCTGAGTGAGAATATGAAAAGATTTTTCGTGTCAGTACGACAGAGAGATGCTATGTCGGGTCTCACTTGATATGTTCTTGTGCCACCTGTAATTTTCAAGGCTAGGAGCTCACTCTCTGAAGTTCTATCACTTCTTTTAAGTCGTTAATGGATTAATAAAGATTAATTAGTGCATTGTTCTATGAATTCTTTGTGAGATCAAGGAAACTAAATGCGGATTTTGAGCCGGACACGCTAAGCAGTGATAAAAGCGTGTAGACTAAGATCCAAAATCTACTAACTGTATCCAAACAATGAACCAAATAACGCTTTTAATTAACCGCTCTCATTATCGTCAACGAGTTTAAGGGTGAAACGGCAAGGAACCACCCTTACTCATGAACTCAAAATATAAGTAAGTAGCGGCAGTTCTAAGTTAGTTAACTAGTCTAGCAGCGTTGAGACAGAGTATTACAGAAGTTCCACGTTGGCTGCAAAGTACTGGTTTCATTTTAGGCCAGCCTACATGTTTCCTGGTAATGATAAAAATTAGTTTAAACTGGTCAGTTTCATTTTCAGTGACTCGCTCCTCACTTGTCATTGAAGTTTTCAATCAAATGTTCCTTTAAGGCAGCTCAACGAATTCGTTACATTCCTCGAGTCATTTGTTACTTATAGGCCAATTATGTGAAATTGTTGGGATAATTTTGGACAAGATCTACGTGGGAAAACTTCTCACTACCTCACCTAAGACTAAAACTCTGAAGAAGTTCATTTTGGATTCTGGTTAGCAAACTGTCTTTCAAGTTACGACCGCTTATTTCTGAATTAGTTTCCAAGGCACAATTAAGTTTTGAATTCATGTTATCTGATATTAACCAAGTTCTCGGAATAAGTTGAGGCTTTTCACGATAATTTACGGTTGACTGCAGTTGGTTTTCCTCCTGGGATGTATTCCCAAACAAACTCGTTATTCCTTTCTCAAACGCCTGGATTTCATGAAAAAGTGGATCGAGTTGTTTATCAAATTTGTGCGAAAGTACATGCGTTTTCAAAAAGTTGTTAAAAACTTTTTTGTTTTTCTAAAAGTCATTCATTGTTTTTTAATGCTTGAGTATATCTGGTTTCTCTTCTGAAGGTTAATTCATTCGTTTTGGTTCATGTACGAATTAATTGTAACTTGAAAAGAATGTTCTTTATATAACTAGTTTCCCGTTCAGAACCACAAAACGTGCAATCCAAGTTTTTTGTTTCATACAGTTTAAAGTATAATGAATAGCAATATTTGGGTGGCTGTTATATATGTTATTTCCGAGAACCACCTCTTCTAAGGATTAGACAACAGGGTCTTGGATCACGGTAATGACTCCTCAAAGAGTTGAAAATCACTAGTTAGTACCATGAATAGATGAAAGTTAATCGTATCTTAGTTAGCATGTTTGAAGGCTTCGTGTCATTAATAAGGTTAAGAACTGTCCTTTTGAAAAACCATCACTTAGATTAAGTCAGTCTTGATTTACTGATTGAGTAAAGATACATCGGGCACGCAGATACAATATCAGTGTTTCTTTGGAAATCTAGGAATTGTCATTTCATCATCCTTCGCCGAAAAAGTCTAACGATAAGGAGACCTTAATCACATTTAGGACAATCAGCCCAGAGACAATGGAGATAAGATATCCATCTGGAATGGGGATACGCCCATTGTGATGAAAGTTTGAAGGCATGCTTTTGGGAAAATGGACTTCTCCCTCATCACAACTTTATCCCATTATGTATTCCTATAAAACTTGAACTCAAAAGCGCTCTTACTTCTCTTCATTCTGCAACTGTTTATATCTCCTAAAACGAGTTCAAAGGTTAGTCAGCAAGGAATTTCTGATTAATTACCTCAGCGGAAAGCCAAGGGCCTGAAATTCTACCAAGTTAGTCGAATGGCATATTCCCCAAGTGTCTCTCTCTGCGGGCAACAAACAACAGCCATTTCACAAGCATCCACATTTGATACGTATAGAGCTGTGCCAAAGAGAGTTTAAAAAGATTAAGATATCGAACGAAGGAATATAATTAATCTGTCACTTCAAGTTAAATAGCTACTGGAAATATAAATCCAATTGTCGGCTAGTGGATCTTTCTACGGCTAGTGGATCTTTTTACGACACAAGCGCTTCAGTTGATTTGCAACATTTTGCAATGTTTCCAGTTTGACAGACGGTAAAAGAGTTCCCTTTGAGAGCATTAGAAAAGGACCTTTTTTTTTTTTTCATCCCAATCTGCCGTTTCGTCGGTTATAGATTCTTATCCCTATTTAGTAAAGTTGTTTACAAATTGACAGAGAAAATTATATTGGATTGATAACAGATCGACTATGTTTTACTGCACGTTTCGGATCATGACCTTGAACTTTTCGAGTCGAGCATCTTTTTTCAATCATGGAATTGACGGATAGACAACGAAAATTAGACCATATTATAACATACAAATTTTTCTACGTCTTGAGGGGTCGAACTTTTAGAAACTGTATACACGATCTCCTGCCAAAACCATGGAAGCTTGCATGTGTCTCGGAATCTTCATAGTAGCTTTTCAAGGAATTAGTCAGTTTGCAAACATTTAGTTTTAAATTGTTACACGAGCTATTTCTTCTTTTCTAAGGTCCTTGAATATCTGCTTTCATCACATTTTGTGTAATTTTTGTGGCTACTGCCTCCTACGGAGGCGAAGCCATAACGCTGTCGTGTTGGGTGAATGAGTGTAACAATAGAATACGAACGACCTCTTCGTTCACAACGAAGTGTGCCGAGCTTTACCCGATGTTCCTCGCTCTTGGTTTTTGTTTGTTTCGGAACATCTTCTGTCGTTCAACTCTTAGAGACGATTTCTTCAAATCGCTTCGAATTTTACACGGAATATTAGCAGATGATCACACAGTTTTTCGGTGCTACTAATTTTTTGTCTCGAACTACAGAAGACTATAAACATCTCACAATCATTTTAGAATGGTGCGTGAAAAAAGAAAGCTTTACCTTGCAGTAATGTTTTGAAAGAAGTGATCGGCACATCATGAAAATTCAGAGGAATTTTTTTTTCTTCAAAGAGAGAGCATTTTACCGTTTGAATCAGCGAATTATTCCCAGTAGATCCGAAGATATAATTTTTTTTCAGTTCTAACCAGTTCTGACACTACAATAGATGATAAACATCTCAAAATAATTTCACAGTGGCGTCTCCGGCACGTAATTGAAAAAGAGACCTTTTCCTTGCAGAAAATGTAAATAGGTTTGATCTGTACATCGTGGAAACTTTGAAGAAGAATTTTATTCATTTGAAAATAGATCATCTTACCGTTTCAATCAGCAACAACTGTTCAGAAGAGCCGCTAACTTTGCGAAGCGAACAAGGTCCGAAATATGATACGTTAAGTTCAACAGGGTGACGCCATTCGATGGAATGATAGAATGGTGGAGAGGTGGAGAAGCGGAATGGTGGAATGGCGGAATGGAGGAATGGTGGAATGGCGGAATGGCGGAATGGCGGAATGGCGGAATGGCGGAATGGCGGAATGGCGGAATGGCGGAATGGCGGAATGGCGGAATGGCGGAATGGCGGAATGGCGGAATGGCGGAATGGCGGAATATTCTACAACGCGGAGTGCCTCGTTGTATGAAACAAAGTCTCACAAAAATGGAATTGCAATGAAAAGGGAAATGATTTATAATTAACAGGCAAATCAAAATTAAAGGAAGGCTGGTTTAATCATTATTGGAGCCAGGGATAGACCGATAGAGGAAAAGTAAGGTTCTTGAGCTAGCCCTCATAAGTTATCAATACTATTACTTTTGCTATCATAATCATTATTATTATTTCTGTTATTATTAATATGATAATTTTTTGCCATCTAATCAGTGGTTGAGCGTAAATTATTTACCATATTTTTCAATCATCTTGCTCTTATGGAACAGGGCTCTCAGTATGTGGGATGCGGCAGGTTTTCTGTTTTACATGCGAGACAAATCTTCTGCAACACTTCCTTCTGGCATTATCATACAACCCCTGGTTCTTTTCAATGCTATAAAAAAAATTGTGCTATATCAGTAGCCACATGTAGTCTTAACTGCCTGTTCTCTCTTTTGACTTTCAGTGGAAGCAGTGCAAGTAAACAGGAACACCTGCTATCGCAAACAGAATTTCGAGCTGGTCGCATACCGACGTAAATAACCTACAGAGGACCTGATATGTACTATATTGTTAAATGAACCCAGTCGCGTTGTTAGTAGACTATTGATGTCCACTTGCCTCAATTAACGGTTGTGAACAAACTCTATTTCAAATTACAGATTCTGTGCAAACCAATTTATTTCAGTAGAGGATGAAAATTAACTTATCAGCGTACTCATTAGTACAATCAATCACAACAAATGAGTTAACGGTTTACATGTTCTAGTTTGAAAGACATAAATGCGTGGACTTGTTAACACTATCGTCATAAATTTTCATTTCTTAATGCCATTTGGGTTGTTTACTGACATCATAATTACCAATAGTGACTATTATCGACTTGACAAGAGAACATGATGTTTAACTTAACTAGAGGACCGCCTCGTTCATCAGAAATAATTATAACGATCTTTCAAGAAGGTGCCTCACTAGTTTAATGAACGTCATAAGAAAGGTGGAGGACTTTCCTCGGTTTCTCCTGGTCAAACTTCTTAGCTACGCTCTAGAAACATAAACTGTATAACCTACCCCCTCGAACAGTTTCAATTTGCTACCTTTTTATGTTTGTTTGTAAGATTTGTTTAGTTGTTTGCTTGCTGTAGCACCGAAACATCCCATGGGATAGTGAGTCAATTCCTGTATTATTATCGATATCAGCATATCATTAGTATGGATAACGTAACGATTCCTGAGTTATACTTGTTTTATCTTCTCTTTAGGGGGGTCGCAAGAGGGGGCCTTGGAACAAGTCATGGTGGACGTTGGAGAATGTGCAAAGGATAACACCACGGTAAAGGGACTTACTTTTGATATTGCGAGCTTAGAAAAGTCTCACGGGATAATCACCACTCATTTTTTTTACTTAAAGAAAAATTTGGGGAAGAGTCCTCTGTTATTTCGTTTACTTAAAACATCTCAAGTCAGGTCTCCATTTATTGATAAAGCTTGTCTTGTAGCATATTATTTTAAAGACACGGTTAGTTGTTTGCGAGGTCTGGCAACCAGGACCCAATTATTTGAAAAGAAGATTACTTGGAAAATTCAACTTGTTCTTGATATATTAAAGTTCATATATTAAACTTGTTCTTGATATCTCTTGAAAAAAAGCGTATATTAGGGCTTACGTTCTTACGGTTTTACTCCAGCGTAAGATGCAGCTAAAGGAAAAACATGAACAATTAAATTAACTAAGAACTGGGAAATTTAGATATTATTTAACTTTGTCTGTGGGACTGAAGGAGCTGAAGGATTTTAGACTGTGCTGGAAAAAATGAAATTAAATCATAAACCGATTATAATTACGGACACAATCGAGGCTGTTAATCTTCCAAAGAGGTTTGCTTGTGCCAACGAACAACGCAAAGGGCATTTTGGAAAATTTGAGTAGGGAATGCGCATGGCTGGGTGAAAGATAAGCCCCCCAACCCCCCGCGTTTCAAAACGTTCCACTACCTTTGCATAAAACTCTACACTATCATTAATCACTCAGAGAAATCGCATTTGAAGTAGTCTTTGACTTACCCTCGGCGATTAATGAAGACAGATAATTTTTCCCTTAAAGAAATATGATGCAAGGTGTAAAATCTCTAGTATATCGATGAAAAACTACTGGGCGGTTCGCGTCTTATTTTCCCGCTCAAATTTTTGTAGTCACGTGAAAAATGTGAGCCAATCAATCGGAGCTGAAATCAGATTTTTTTCGTGGAATTGAGTTACTCTGAAACTCTATTTCCGAAAATTCTAGAAAACGCGGCTTTGAACTCGATGCGTCGACCATGGAAACCTTCGTTTAAAGCTATTTTCCGAAGCTGAGCCAGGAGTAAGAAAAATATCCACCAAGTAATCGAACGAGACGTCAATGAATCTACAGAATGAAATTTGATTATTTTTAAATGAGTCCTAAGCTTCGTATGGAAGCCTTAGATATTTCTTTACCTCTTTATCAATATCAAGCTGTCTCATAATTCGGGTCGCTATAAGGCTCCCATTGAGCTTTTTGGAAAATTATGGAGGTTTGTAATTAAGTGCGGAATAGATCGGATTCTCTTTGAGGAACCCTGAAGTATAATTCAGTGATAAAGTAGTCAGTAAGATTCGAAGGAGTGGTCAGTGCATAGTAAAACAATACGATTATTAACCTATTTGCTCTCTATGCGCCGAAGTGGATGCAGACTTTACCCCCTACAACTATCACGCAACAGGATTCTTGATGGTCATGATGAAAAAGAATTGTAAATTTTTGTTAGTAATAGTTACCGAGTGTTCATTACTCTTCTTTTCATTCCTGATTTAATCTCTTAGAACAATACATGCCTCCCTTATGAACTGACCGAGCATCGCAATTACGCCATGGCACCGGTCATTATTGAGAAGGAGATCATAGAGAGCTGTCAGTCGGCAAGTAACGGATGTCAGCGGCTCCCACGCCTGGTTAAGTATTACAACGGAACTAAGTTTGAGGTCACGATTGACGTTGGAATTTGTAGTGGACAATGCCATGGAAACACTAAATGCCAGTCATTTGACAAGAAAACAAAAAGCATTTCTTCAGCAAACGGTAAGATTCGTAAAATACCTTACCCGCATAAGGTTTTTTTTAAAATTTTTTTTCTGAGTAATTATAAAGCAGTAGTGAAAGATGCGTTTCTGAAGATCGCTCTTTAAACGTCTATGTTTTCTGTACTCTAGGAGATAGATGCCTCGTAGTTATTGTGGACTGTGCATGTGTGGAGCCTTCATGCTACCGAGTGTCACGTTACGAGGGATTTCCAGAACAGTACACTGACTCCCATGGAAACAAGGCAATGCGAACCAAGGTAAACATTCCCCTGATTTTCATTTATAAAATTTTCCTGACAACTTTTAAACAAGGACTAACAAAGAAAAACAAAGCTGTTGCCTTTTTACCACACTGAAAGAGGAGCAGTGCGCTGTTGATGTCGTGGAATTTGGTGAAGTGATTAAATAATATCTTGATTATAGATCATAGACGTTGGAAAATGCATTGGTAACTCTCGATGCCTCAAGAAACTTCCCACAGGCAACCAAAGGTGTTTACCAACCAACCATTATTACTGTTTATTATCCAAAATTAAATTTCTAGGGATTATCCAAAATTAAATTTATTATCCAGCGTCACTAAAAATAGTACAAATAACACGCGAAACGAGTACAAATAACCCGCGATATTTGCACGGATGATTATTTTGTCGATTGTTAAAAAATGTTTCCCGAGTGGACAGTCTCCTCACGGCCATGTAACATGCTATCTATAATATGAACACCAATGAAATACCAAATCATTTCACTTCAATATCGAAAGGCGCGATTTTTAGGCGTGACCATACCATGTCGAATGTGCAAATAATAATAATAATAATAATAATAATAATAATAATAACAACAATAAAATAAAACTTTATTCAAACACGATAAATATTAAAGCCAGAGGCTTGTGTAGTCGTGTTACAGAGGTCTTGTACTATTAATCCACTTAACGACGTTTTTTACCAATGTTAAGAGAGTTTATGGGGCCATGGAAAGATCCTCTGTGAAAGAGCATTGCTTCGCATTTAGTTGGATGAGGAATTAAGGAATTGGCAATGCACCATGCATACAGTTCAGACAAGGCAAGGTTAAGACTTGCTGTAACTTCATCAATAGATTTACCGATGATGTAAACGGTTGTGTTGTCTGCATAGATGTAGACTGTACCTCTCTTAATTGATGAAGGCATGTCACTGGTACATAGGGCAAAAAGGAGTGGCCCCAGAACCGACCCCTGTGGTACTCCGTACCTGACGACTTCAGTATCCGAAGTCTTCCCGTTAACAATAGTGAACTGCTTACTCTCTGTGAGGTAATCAGTTACCCATGACAAGATGTTTCCAGTCATTCCAAACTGATACTGTAGCTTGTGTAATAGGAGTGGACGCAATCGAACGCTTTTCTGGAATTTACGAAAGCTGCTCTTACGACCAAGTTTTCATCAACTGCTTTTCGCCATATTTCTACGAGATGAATTAAAAGTAGCTCTGTTGAATGCCCTGCGTGGTATGCCCACTGTCTGTCTGTAATCAAATTTTCACTGATAACATGGCTCTTTACCGTGTCAGTCACACAGGATTCCAATATCTTACTATGCGTACAGAGATAAGAAATAGGCCTGTAGTAACTTATGTCTGACTCATCATCATGATTAAATACTGGAGTTAAGCGTGCTGTCTTTCACGTGCTAAAATACGTCGTTTCCATAGAATACTTGAATAAGTAGTAGAGGGGCTGAATTAATGCTGGCTGGGCAAGCTTTGTTAGTCGTGATGGGATGTTGTCAATACCAGGTGATTTATTACTTTTCAACTTGTCTAATTTTGTGTCTACCTCTTTAAATGAAAGAGATATATCTGCAATGTTCTTTGTCATTATGGGACTTATTGTACCTGTTATTGGACTTGTTGTTCCATGAATATCATTTGCCAGTTGCTCTCCTATGTTGGCAAAGAACGTGTTCATGACATTAGCCTTTTCCTGGTTATTAACTATTACGCTTTTGTCAGATCGCTTTAAAGGGCCTATTATTGATTTCTGGACATTGTCCGGCCTAGTGGCAGAATTAAGAATATTCCAGTAATTTCGGCTATTTTTAGCATCTTTGATCTTGTTTTGAAAACACTTTTGCTTAGCTCTTCTGATGTCAGAAGTAATACTGTTCCTGATTAGATGTTATCTTCACGTGTGAAGACATGTTTTCGCACGAAAGATCTATTGGTATTTCAGTGGTGTTTATATAATAAATATCGATTATTTAATCAATCAATCAATCGATCGATCACTCAGTGAAGTGATACCATCACAACGGTCAAACGTCTTCCCATGTAAGATGGTGGCGAACATCCAGGCTTTCAAAGCAAAGTTGTCTCACAGTAGTTTTAAACAACCAAACAAAAAAGTGAATCACAGCTTATTAAAACTGTAGTACTTTTTACTACTCGTTTATTGATCATACTGAGCTTTGTGTTAGAAAGGTCTCAAGTTTTTAAATTCCCGAAATTTGTTTCCTTTACAGATTTCTTTGAATGTACCTCTTTTGTTTTACATGTTTTGCGTGCTAGAGGTTGTTTATGATGTTTTCCCTGGAAATTTTTGTGAAGGAAATAGAAAATTGAAGTATTTGCGTATGCCCGCCGTTTGACCTCTGTGATAATAATCCCATGATGCTTTTTGGTTGTTGGTGCAGGCTGTTAAATAGTGTATTTTTTTTCTATATAGAAACAAACCAGAGGACGCTAATGGGACAACAAGGCAGATCTTTTCTATTTAAAAACATTTCGCAACATGTTTTAACGTGAAAGTCAACGCAGAACTAGTTAAATTCCGGTTTGTTGTGCCCATTTATCTGCCTTGATGCTCGAGACACAGAATTTTCTTAGCCATATCGGTCTGCTCGATTTAGCTCATGGTTAAGATGAATGACAGTATTTAAAAGGGCGATAGTCAATGTGAATTTTATTGACTTTTCAACAGTATATAACCTTTTCGATGTTTAACTTTTCTGCAAACTGTGCCGCGCTATTTTATTTTAACGCGCGAGTCGTGCGCCAATCATCTCATACACAAAACGCAACAACAGAAGTTAAGCTTCTCTTGTGGTTAATATTTCAAAAATCTCTTGAAGAAAATTTGATCAAACCACACTGATTGCGGCCTAAGATGGTAAAATCGCCAATCTGCAAAAACTCTAGCAAAATTTTTTATGCTATACGGCTTATAGATATGAACAGCCCAGAAGGGCGTTAGTTTGTGAGCAGTTTTTAACTGAAAACGAGCATAGCCGTGACCATTATGGCCAGGATTGAAATCCGAATCTCGAGGTCAAGGTTTTAAGAACAGATATTGTATCCACGGAATTATTCAAGATATTCAGAAATGAATACTGAAATCTTTCAATATACCCATACTTGAATATGGCGCCCACCTTCCCCAATGTAATAGCGGAGCTCGCAGAGCGTAGCCCCATAATTATACAAAATAGTAGTAACCCATCAAGCCGAAAAAATTTGGATGTGCGACCGTACGACCGTACAAGGTGCTACTTTTAACATGCGTCGTCCACTGTACCGCGGGCACGCCAACTCCACGGTTTTGTTCAGTAGTCCAGTGGTCAATACACTGGGCTCCGAGTCGGACGACCCGGGTTCTAGTCCTGGCCGGGGCAAGCCGTTGTGCCCTTGAAACGTGCGGGAAAAAAAATGCGAGCTCCGCTTTTAGGCTCGGTTGGCTAAATCTATTTATACAGGTAAGTAGGAAAACTTGATGGGCGCCCAGCCTCGAATACTGAAGCGCCCACACCGCCCTCTCCCCCCGAAGAAAAAAACACTGGAGTGCACATGAGTAGTATTGATTATTTGCATATAATACTGGCAAAAAATCTCTAAATTATCTGTCTATGGTACATCTTCACGTTTTGAAAGTTAAACAAGCTCCTACCTCGAAGTAAGCAACCACTCTCAAGGTCCAAACATTTAATTAGCGCCTAAATAAATATAAATGTTTAAGGAATTGTCCACAAATCAATCGTTTATTTTTTCTTTCTCTAGGATTAATAAGCCAAAAGGAACTTGGAATAATCTTATTGGTTACAGCACAATGAGGTGCATTACTAAACGCTCCAAGGCGCATTCTTTCATCACTGCTGGGGGAAAAAACTTCAGCGTCCGCACCGTGGAAAGTTGCGCTTGTCTTGGCGGAGGGACCTCGTAACCCTGTTAAAAACTGAAGCCGAGTTGAAGTAATTCCAAAAGACTGCTGGATGTGTTACACACTTACAGTTATAACTTTTAATCTAAGCAAACACAAAATTGAGAGTAATGCTATTGTAAGAATCATTTTTAGATATGTGATATGATTTCTCACCACCGGTGATAAGTTCGATTGAATATTTCAATCCTCTTTGATTTTGTGTGTGTCATTAAAATTCGGTTGTTGTTGATGAAAACGAGTACGTTTTGGAGAGTTCGATTCGATTTATGAAAGGTATTATTTAGAAGTAGTTCTGACAGTTTTACTACAAGTGTAACCACCTACAATGTTTGAAGTATAATGCAAGCTGTACACTGACTATGGTAGTCGATAAGACCCAAAATTCACATAATAGATGTCTGTTTGTTCTTTGAATTTAATTAGCTCATATAAAAAGTCAAGTCTTATAATAGTCCACGTGAGATGAGTCCTGAAGAGAACAGCTGCCAGTAGCAACTGATCATCAGAGTCCAGTGAGGAGTTATAGTATGTGTCAATCAAGTGCGACGAGTCTTATTCGCATAGAGTAATTTCGTCATTTTGCCATGATTTTATCTGCCGTTAGAGCCCAGTAGCGTTTGTAAACTGTGATTGGTCAGTTTCGATCTGTCAGTTCGTTCGGTAGTTGTCAACTTCTCTTAGGAGGGATTTTTTGCCAATCAGTAAATTTACTCCAGGCCTCATTATATTTTAACCAGTAGTCAATCATGTAGGAGAGAAGTGTTACCATCGAGAATGGAATGTGAAAAAAAATGTGCCAAAATACCTGTACCAGAATTTGTCCAATGGAAAACTTTACAATTTTTCCAGACATTCGTATTTCTTTTTCGTCTCGCATTGTTCACCCATGAATGGTAAGACGCGCAGTGTCCATCTAAAGCGGTAGTTTACTAAGTTTATATCATTAACAACTCTATTTCGTTTTCTCTACTCGAGGTGGGATAAAGCTCAGTTCAGTTCACATCTGTACTCGATAACTTAATTTTTCCTTTCCCGAGCGAAATTCTCCTACATGTACATGTTCATCTCTATCAATTTTCCAGATCTTAGTGACTTCAGTACTTTTGTTACTTGTTCAGCGGATGCCTGCCATTAGGGAAACAGAAAAAAGGAAACTAGTTATCATATTATTTCGTGTTTTAAGGTTTCAATCCAAGTAGGGATATTGTCATTGCAGCAAGCCGGTATCACCCCTTGGGATATAGAGCTGGCACAGTTTCCTAGCAACTTCATCATTCTTATCATTTCCTCCAAACATTCCCTATACTGATTTCCCGATTATTTGAAATTTTTTTGGAACTTTTGACCCATATACTCAAATTTAAATAAAAAGCCTTATTTAAGATAAGTTAAACAAAATTCTTGAAATAATGATCTCTAAAAAAATGAAAATCCCTTCAGCGCTGTTCTCTATCTAGCTTTCAATGCTTACCACTTTTTCTCAAGCAGTCATGCTTCTGCCCTGACACATCTTAAGGTGTGTAATCACCCTACAAGGGAAGGGGAGGGGGGAAGGGGATAAGTCTAGGGGAGGGGGAGGGGGAGGGGGAAGGGGGAAAGGATTAAGGATAGGGAAGGTAAGGGGATAAATCTGGGGATGGGGGAAGGGGACAAAGATAGGGGAAAGGGGCAAGAGGATAAGTCTAGGGGAGGGGGGAAAGGGTTAAGGATAGGGGAGGGCACAAAGTGGTGGTCTCTCTTTTTCCCTCTCACTGTTGAACTTGAAAAGTTATTAGCAAAATGCACTTAACTACTTATTACCTGGTGAAGTGAGTTTAAGGGAGGACTTTTGAGGAGGAATTTGAAGGTTTCAACAGATTGTGAATCCACATGAGATGACTCCATGAAGCATACAAATAAAGCTGCAGCTAAATTGTGGATCTGACAATACTGCAAAACTGCACCAAAAAGAGATAAAAAGCAATTAAGTATCTAAATAAATATATCATCTACAGAAATGAATAAATATGCACATTAATGACTAGTTTAAACTACTATTTTATCATCAATAAAACAGAATTAAGTTTTCTAATACCTCTTTAATATCAAAATCATCAAAAAATACATTCAAGGGTTCCATACATTTCTCTATACATATCCTAAGGTGCTGACAAGGAGAATGCATTTAACTATCAAAAGCTTCTTTAGTTGGTTATCATTTCCTTTTTTCTTCTAACCTGATTATAAGATTCAGGGGTGATATTGTGAGGAGGAATAAGATTCTAGTCACTCTGAAGGTCAAAAGGTTAACTTGAGGCTATATGCAATGGGCAATCATAATGTTACAGCTTGCTACAAGACCAACAGACACAGATCACCAAATTTCTGACTTTCATGGCAAGTTAAAATTTTTTGTCCTAGACATGGTGATAAAAATGGTGGCGACTATAGAAGATCCACTCTGACTTCTCTGACTTAAACTCCCCAGGGAAAGAAAACATGGTTCAAGTCAGTGGGCATTCAAGTTAGCTAAGAATAGTAATTGACAGAAAAAATGGTTTAAAGGAAATCAAATCTTGTTCAAGTTATTAACTTATTTTGAGTGAGAGGAGTTTCACTGTAATCACATCATTATTTCTCACCTGAAGCTGCAACTCCACTGATGACATTGGGAGTTTCCAACAAAGAGCACTCTTTCTGTGACAACTTTTCCAGCCAGGAATCTGTCTTTAGAACTTTCACAAAGTCAGACTTGAGATTTTCAGGTGTGTCAGTGTGATATTCACAGGCTGGTGCTGATGATAAGATGACAACTTTGGATGGCTTTAGAAATTCAAACAACTGAAAAATCATAAAGAAAGATGAGAGTGGGATACACACAAAAATAATTTGAGTCCCTAAACAGGAAACGAACCTCAGACCTTTTAATTCTTTCTCTGATGCTATACCATTGAGCTACTGAGAGAGCTATGTTGAGCAAGACCTCTACTTGGTTCATATCTGACAAGCATACCAAGGTTGTCACTATGCACCCACTGCTGGTGATATTTGCCAATGAAAAAGCAGCAATCACTGCCTGGATTTTTGGCCAGCAATCGGCAGATAAGGCTATCATTAGATAATGAATACTACTGCAAAAATTTTTTTCCTTGTCAGCATCATAGGAAATGTAAAGAGAAAGTGTGGAGCAATTACAACCTCTTGACTAAAAAATTTCAAACGCCGCCAAAGTTGCTGACCTCAGGGCATGACATATTTGTTTACAAATAGGTGATTTCACCGCGTAATTTAGTCAATAATCATCAACTATCATGAAGCGTTTGAACGCAAATATGCTAGTCTATAATAATAAATGAAAGTTGAAACTATCGTCGACCACCATCAACTACCATGACCGTTTGAACGAAGCTTACAATTTTCAATACTCCGTATCTTTTTAATTGTATGCATGGCTACCTTTTCAGTCCATTGGAATGCTTTTTCCTGTGACACTGGTGTTGGGCATTGACAAAGAACTGCTGAGTCATTATCGTGTGGCGTTTTCAAACGATATAAGCGGCTCGTCTCGTCTGATTTTGACGGAGAACACAAATTTTCAAAATCTATTTCATTTCTCTTATTTGTTGAAATACAGGCAACGATTTCACTCCCCGCTGACAGATAGTGAGCTTCTACAAATGTCGTCCCAACTTCTCCGATCGCGAGAACGAGTAAGGAGCAGTGAGTTGGAGAGGGCTTTTGATTGATATTCCGGGATATCCATTGAAACTCAGAAATTTTCAACTCATTCTCCGAGGTAGATAACTCCTCGTCTTCTTCGTCTTCTTCATCGTAAACCGCACGAGAAGAAGGAAACTTTACCTCCCAAACACCAAATGCAGCCGCCATCTTGATTCTTTACAAGTACCCAGGACTTCAGCGTTCAAAGCGTGGTATTCATCAAAACGAGGTTGACATGAATAGATATAAATAAATGCCTTGCGTTACAGATCTAAGTACAGTCCAATACAAAGAGCATATTGGAGGGGAAAAATTATTATGATCAAGCTTGTTTTTCTTCCATGATTTCAATAGCTGTAGTTTGTATCTTTCCCAACAAGAACGTTTAACAGCAAATAAGAGATTTTAAATTTTGGCATGTTGGCCACGTGGAGTCAACTATAGTATAGTGTCACGGTTATTCAGACTGAATGCATGTAATTAGATTTTAGAATATTCTTAGCTATGCACATTTAGCCCGAAAATTGCCAAAGTTCACATCCTTTTCATGACTCCTAATCTGGGAAAGAAACTTGTTAAGGACAGAAATAGTAAAGTTTGTTTAAAAATTAATACCCCAAGCATCAAGCACACCTCATTTAGCCATTCTAAAGAAGAGCACCTCCCTCCCTCAAGTCAACAGGTGCCAAACAACTGTCAAAGAAATCTGATAGAAATGCTGGGGAAAACGTGTTTCCTGCCACGGAAACTCCAAAAAGCTTTGATTAAATGGATCAGTGGGCTCTTCAGCTAACCCTACCTTTTACCTTACAAATAAACATACCAGTTTTTGTCAAAGTTTTATTTGAGTTATAAAAAAACTGACAAAAAGAAAAATACATACAGGTGTTTATTTTCTCTTGTGTTGCTAATGTTTTTTTTATTGCCACATTTCTCCTTAAAGTTCAAATGTTGCACAGGGTGATGTTTTTCAAAATTTTTATCAGTGGTAGCTTTTTATTCTATTAATTTCAATTCACTATATTTTGTTTTAAATAAGCTTACTTAACCTGTAAGACTATGATAAACTAAAACTTGGACCCCTGAATCAATCAAGTCAGTACTACTTTCTTGAAATTAAAAATATCCATACTTTAGTTACCACTTGTGCCGATGATATAGTAGGCATAAAGATGTCAGTGGCATAGTCAGCGTGTAGGCCTGTAGCCCCTGGCCTACAATTTTTTCTCCCTGCTTGACTTTTATAATATTAACTTATAATATGATAAAAGTTGAAACAAAAATTGAGCTTTCCTTCATAACAGGCTTACAACAAGTCAAAAAGCTGGCTAAGCCCCTGGATGCATTTTCTTAAAACTCACTATTGTACTTTCTGCATGAGTTTTCCAATGTTTCCCCCTCTAACTCCCAAGATCTGACTGTTAAGTCTCCCCTCTAGTGGCTACACATCTCCATATAAATTAATAAAGGGGTAAGTTTCTAAAGAAACTGTGGTGCTGCGTCAGTGGGAGAGTATAGCAGGTAATTTAGTGTTAACAACTGGGTTGAAAACGTAAATTAGCCACCGTAAAGGATAAAAAAGCTGACGTTTCGAGCGTTAGCCCTTCGTCAGAGCGATTACAATAGATTACAATCGCTCTGATGAAGGGCTAACGCTCGAAACGTCAGCTTTTTTACCCTTTATGATGGCTAATTTACGTTTTCAACCCAGTTGTTAACACTAAATTACCTTCCATATAAATTAGTTGCAAGAAGTTGGTGTTAGATCAAGAAAAAAACCTTTATACATATTTGAGACAACAGTTTGGCATATATTAGGTTTCTTCATTAAATCTGATATCCCTCATTGCAGTGAATCATAACTTTTATAGCTCCTCCAGCACCAGTTCTTGAAGTCTCAAAAGCATCAAGTGATTGCTCCAGTTTGAAGTGATGTGTTATCAGTGGTTTGGCATCTACTTTCCCAGAAGCAACCAATGCAAGGGCAGCAGGATAACTGTTTTATAAAATAATTAAATAAAATGCAATTATAATAGTTAAGAAAAGATCAGAAGCTAACTAAAGTGAATTTATAGGTGGTGTGCTATATCCAAATGATATGGTATGTAGTGGAACAAAAAGGGAGAAAAAGTTGGTTGTGAAGATTAAAAAGAGGAGGAGAAATGAAATGGAAATAGTAGGGGCAATTGCAAGGAGGGTAGACAAATAGATACAAACAAACCAAGGGAGGGTAGGAAGGGAAGACAAGAAGTGACCAGTGGAAGGGCGGGGTTGGGTGAGCATAGCATGAAGGTTCAGTTTGAAAGAGAGGATGAGTGAAGAGAACTTTTAGTGAGGGAAGAGAAAGTGAGAGGAATGTATCATTTAAATCTCTTTTTTCTTTTTTTAACAAACCAGTTAGTGTATCTGAATATTCCCCTTATATCCACTTCTCTAACCAATGCATCAACAATAGGAAATTGAACAACTGGCTTTCCCATTCCAACAACCACAAGTGTTCCTCCTGACTTTGTCGCCTGTAGATTAAAAATTTAAATTGCATTTGTGCTCACAGGGTGGTAACTCATTATATTAACACAGAAAACATGATGGCATGCTTGAGGCTGCCATAAAAATTGGACATAGAGATAAATGTGGAGATGGACATGTAGGAAACTGCATTGGATTGAAAATGGAATTGGGAGTGGACTGAGGCAAAAGATTGTAACACAGATTTAACCACATACACACACAAGGGCATGACAGAGGGCATTAAAATAAATAGAGAAGATTAACCCTAAAACATTTAAGAGTGACTGGTTTTTAATGTCTCCTTACAGTATCAACTTTAAATCAACTATAAAGGTTGTGAGAATAAAGGAAATGATCACCAATTATAGAAGCTCCTGATTGTCAGACAAATTCTCCTCATCTGTACTATAGGAAAAGTAAAGACAACAGTAGGGAGAAAATGATTACTAGTGTAAGGGTGTAAAGGGTTAACAGGATAAGGACAAGGACTAAAACTACTGTAATTATAAACCATTCAACTCTTCCAGTTCTGAAACTACCCAACCTGCACTTTCTACATTATCACAGTATCCCAGTTCAGGTGTTGAATAAAACATACATAAATTGCTGTATGGAAGCTTGACTCAGCTCCAGTACATTCAATGGTTTGATCTGCAGCACCCAGGCTGTTTTCAATTTCCTTGGCTATATCACGGCTGTCTTTGCTGGGGTCTATTTTGAAGATATAGTCAGCACCAAGTTCTTTGGCTTTGTTCAGTCGACCCTCATCAATATCTATATGAAACACAAGCAATATGATATTCAGTTTATATTTAAATACCTGTATTCTACATCTTTGTTTATCAGAAAGATAACTAATGAAATCTGAAATGTTACATTAGATCATCAGTGCAAAAAGATTAAACCTTGCTCCCTTAGGAAGAAATCACCTTTAAGTTTGAACAATTTTTGTTTGGTTACTCTTTCAAATCTCACAATATGACTAGTGTGATAATTTCATACTTGAGAATTTCTTACTGGTGGAAATAAATTAAAGTTATAACCCTTTCACTCTCAAGATCTCAATGGTAACTCTCCTTATTTTCTGTAGCAAAATTCTAATGATTTCAATTCGGAGAACTTAGTATTGGATCAACTGATAATCATCAAAGTAACATTTTTCTTTGTTCTCATCACTTGTAAACTTGATTTTGAATTGATTATAGAGGGTTAAAGAGCATTATAAATATCTAAGAACAGTGCACACCTGTGATAGCCACTTTACTTGCACCACATGCTTTAGCAGTCAAGAGATTAACTAAACCAATGGGACCTGTAATGATAAGAATAATGAAATCAAAATGGTCAAAAATAATTTTAGACCAGTTTTTAGTTTGATAAATACCTGTATTTCCTTATCATACTGGATACATAACCATTAACTTCAAAAAGGAAATATTTGGCTTAAATTCATTCAAACATCGACACGATTCACATGAACCCATCCTTTATTTTTCTATATGATGTTCCACAGTACAATACTTCAAACAAAGGACTACCGATACTAAAATCTATGATAAGAAAGTCAATTTATGATGTTCACACTACTTTCACAACATACTAGTTTATAATATTCTCACCTGCTCCACAAACAAGTACATTGCTTCCAATGGAGATACCTGCTCTGCGACATGCATGTACAGCAACAGACAGAGGCTCTAGAAGAGCTCCTTCCTCAAATGAAACATGGTCTGGAAGTCTAAACAGACAAATTTCACTACTGTCACAATAAAATCACTGAAATGTAGTTTTTGCAGTGGTGCATATTTTATTTGCCCATCACAACATAAGACATCATGTTGTTAATTATTCTAACATAACAAAGCCAGGAGAACTTAGGCAAGCTCACTAAAGCTATCACAAAGATCTCCCTTTCTATAGTATAATTCAAAATTTATATGACATCAGAAATCCAGATGGAATATAAATAATTTTAAAGTAATAAAATTATATGCAAAAAGAAAAAATCAATGGTTATTACAAATATCTTTATTAATTAATAAATGAATCATTTTTATTTTTATCTTTATTAATTAATTTCTGGGTCCCATTTTTGATAATTTATGCTGAATACAGGTTTTTAAAGTTTTATTGAATTTGAGATAAAATGTTGATTCCTTTAAATCAATTGGTAAATTATTTGATACTTCTGCTCCATTATACTCAATAGAAACTTTTCCATAGATTGTTTGATTTTAATTAACATATATATATCTAAATATACATTTTGGTGTGTAGTATTGCTGAGTATTTTTACAAGTTGTGCCGTATTTTGATAAACCCGGAGGGCTGTTTATCATCCAAAACAGTTGGATAAAAATAACTCGTTACTGATAGTAATCAAAGATTTACTTTGACTAGATCTCCTTCTTCTTAATTTTGATGAACATTAGTAAATATAAGACATCATGTTGATACTCGATTTGTGCATTAAGCCTTTCACTCCCAAGATCTATTTAGTAATTCTCCTTACTATCTGCCATACAATTCTTATAATGTTAGTTCTGAGAATTTGGTATTGGATCAACTAATAATCTCATAATTGATATTCTTCTCTATTCTCATCACCTGCCTGCTTGATATTGTATTGATATTGTAAGGAGAAATTCTGTCTTGGTCACTTGTGGGAGTGAAAGGGTTAAGCATCCTCTGAAGGTTTCCTAATTTTGAGATCTAGAATTATAAGAAATTTAGATTTTGGGAGTAAAATTTTTTTGTCAAAATGTATTCTGAAAAAAACAAAAAAAAACTGTACTGGCCCCTTGGACTTGATATATCTAGAATGTTGCTAAGAAATGGGAAACACCAAGACTAAATTGTAAGTGCACTAAACTTAGGATTGACAAGTCTCAGTTACAGTAATAGCTAAGGTAATAATGTTCTGGTCTCTTGCAGGGTACACCACTCTCAATATCTCTAAGGAGTAAAAATGGGTATTACTGAACCATCAGAAAACAATTTGAAAAAACGCTAGGTGTCAACTTCAGTGTGTTGACTTCCATTCAGAAGAAATGGTAATAAACCTTGTTCCCCCAGCCATGCCATTGTAACTATGACAAAGCTGTAGCTGCTGTGCATCTTGAATACACACACACATTTTTTTCATTTGCAACATGTCTGCACCAAATGAACTTACTTGAAACAAAAGTCAGCAGCATGAACATAATATCTGCAGAGTGAACCATCAATGGGAGGAGTTGCTGCAAATTTCATGTCTGGACATAAATTATACCGTCCTTCCTTACAGAATGAGCACTGACGACAACCAGCACCAGGTTCAATAGCTACTCTATCACCTAACACAGTGATGCAACAAAATTAAATTATTCTGCGTAGGTACTGACATATCAAGCATCTATATGCTAATAAGAAACTCTTTTAAAAAACATAACCAAATGGGGCTGATACTTGATGACATGGACTGAATTGGCTGCACTGTAATTAGAATAAAATTTCTCAACTATCTTGTCCCTTGGAGAACTCATCACACTAACCAACTTTAAGATGTGTCACCCCTTCACCAACAGCAGATACCACTCCACTTGATTCATGTCCAAGGACCATGGGTGCTGTGAGGATAAAATCTCCAATTCTTCCCTTCTTCCAGTAATGCACATCTGAACCACAGATCCCAACTGCATGCATCTGAATTTGCACCTCTATAGTTTGTCCAAAAAAAGTATTTCAAAATTTCTAACATGTAATTTGCGGAAAAAAATCAATTTTAAGCACTGAAGTATAATTTGAAAAAGGAGCAACTTCAGAATACCCCGCAACTCATTTACATGTCATTGAATAAGAATAGCGTCTATTGTGTTATGCCTCGATCTTCAAAGCTTCCCGACACATGTAAGTGAGGCGGACCAGAGTTGCGGGGTATTCTGAAATTTAGCCTTGAAAAATGTATTTTAAACTACGAGACCAGTTGAAGAGAATATCATGGACAAATCTAACCTCGCCTTGTCGTCTTAAATGTTCGAGTTGTTTTGCCTGTTTTTGCGTGACTCACAACGTCACATGACTGATCCTCGTATTGGTTATTTTTTGTAGATCATCCAGCGTTATATTCCAATAATAATGTAATTATGGAGAGAATGTTAAGGTAATTCAAGAGGAAAATCAATAAGCAGCTACGAGTGCGTTGTTTCACGCAAGAAATTGCTTCAAGAAAGGAAAAATCGAGGAGACAAAGTGAAAAGTTTAGAGACACCTACCGCCCTTGCCAGGTTGTGGGATAGGGCGTTCTTCCTGTGAAAGGAGAACGAACAATTTGTTTCGAGATCTTAGATTTAGAATGCCAGAGGAATTATAATAGCATGCTTTCTTACCAAGCTAAGATCGTCAACTTTACGAAGCACAGCGGAAAGATTGCCTTTAGTAACCATTGTTCCAACCTTTGTAGCAAAAACTTGAGAGGAAATGATCCAATCTGCGTCTCAACCCACGGGAGGCTGGACTCTAGTCCAAACTCAACCTCATTCCCAGGGTCCTCTCTCGTTCTCTCCGAGCGGACCTTGGGAACGGGGTTGGTTTAGACTGTTCTGCTCGTGTGATGTTACGGTGACTTTTGGCTACGTGACGTGTGGACACGGCCATATTGTAGATAGCTCTTACCAGATTGTTTTAACTGATATCACATATAAAATCAACTTTTTGCCATGACTATGCTCCAGAAATCGTTCACCTTTCTTTCTGGGCCCTAAGAGTTCACTTGATTTTTGCAACAAATCTCAGGGTTTTGATATTGTAAGGAGAAATTACTTACTTATCACTTTTGGTGGTTAAGAAGGCGTAGTTATCATACAATCCCTGAAGTTCTTCTTATTCAGACCCTTTGCTCCACATTAGCTTCACTCCCAAGGTGGTAAATCTAACTGCTAGTTCGTTTCCTGCAAGTCTATCAGAGTTGTTCCTATAATAAAATTGCTTATGGAATAACAAGGATATGAGTCAAGAAGGAATGGTGAAATAGAGAGAATATAGGGGCTTGATGAGTCTTCCATACTGCACATGCATAGCTAAATTTCAGGGGCTACTCTGACTCAGATGGTACAAAAGCATTGTTTTGCCATTTAGGGTCTCCAGTTTATTTCCAAGGCTTATCTTCACATCAGTACAAGCCCTAACAAGACTTCTCCTGAGGTCATTATTACAAATGCAACACCATAGCATCCAAATTGAATTTCTGTGAAATGGAATATTCAAAATTTGATATATCAGCTAGGTTTTTCTTTTGAAAAGAGATACAAGAAAAATCACCTTTAATACAGGGAAAATTCCAACAAATACATATTTGTTAAGTCTAGCGTAGCTTCAAATTTTCTCCTTTAAGTTTTGGCCTAATTTAACTTTCAATTCCACCCCATTATCAGCTGGCCTTATGAGCATCAAGTATTAAGCTGTTAATTCAGAATAATTAGAAAATTTAGAGGGGATAAATTTAATGAAGTCAATAAAGTAAACTACTTTAGCAATGTGCAAATATTCACCTAGATGTAACATAAAGGTGTCTTTACAGCTATTAAGTTCCACAAATGTTCATCAGAAAATATGAACTGGAAAGTTTATGGTTCTATATATTTTGTTCTGGATCATTTGGCATAAATAATGGAAGACTATGGCAACCAAACAAGGTCACCATTCATTGCGTAAATTTCAAAGCTAAATAAACATTATAGTATTAGGCTTTTTTAAAGACTTGCTGTTTCTCACTGCTTTTCTTCAAAAGCATTATCTAATTCTTCATTTTCAGGTTCATCATCATCTGCTTCATCATCTTCGGCATCCATATCAAACAATCGAACATTTCTCTGTGAAGCTGACAATACACATGACACCTTACGTGTTCCACTGACAGCCAAAGACCCAGCCTTCATGCCAATCAGCTTTCGATAATGAGTAATTCTTGACCCTACAGTAATTCCTGGAGGTTGAGATAACTGATTGATGTATGTCTGCTTTGCTTGAGCAATGTCTACAAAGTCTTTATCATCAAGGAATTGATAAGGAACTTGAGCCAAAATTGATGTCCCTTCTGTTTCACTGTCATCATCATCACCACTAATGCCATCAACTTCCTGTTGCTGAAGCAAAACAGTTAAATACTCAGAGTCATAGAACATGACATGCAAGAATGAGTATTTCATTGTTTTAGTGTCACATGGTAAATGATCAACACAAATCCTTGCAAAAAACAATCTGTGCTCATTCGCCTTGATAGAAATGATACACAGTTTATTTCTATCAGGAAAGACCAAAAGTGGATGTAAAGGACCTCCTATCTGTGCTAAACAAAAGGGTGACTGCTCACTTTTGCTCATCTCATAGAGTGGAGAACAGTTCCAACAAGAGATAGCTTTGCTAATGACACTAATTGGTTCAGTGAAAACCTTCTTAAGGTGTCCATGGAGCTTCCCAGAAAGAATGACCAGTGACTCTGTTGACTCATCAGGTATCAGCAATGGACTTGACTTCAGTGCTGGATGATTCTCCACAAACTTGGCCCAGTCATTGTTTCCAAATGGAGGCTTCACTGTAAGTGGCTTTGGATCAAAGTACTGGCCAACTCTCTCCAAGGTAAACTTTCCTTGACTGTTGACCACAAGCTGATCTTGAATGAAGTTTGATACAAGCATGATTTCTTGCTGGCTTCTCTGTTTCACAAAGTCTGGAATTTCTGCATCAGACAAACTCAGTATAATATAGTAAAGCCATTGAAAGAATGCTTTAAAGCTCTTGAGGCTGGTTTCAATTACTAAGACAAGCTCTTGTGTTTTCAACATGATGGAGCCAAGACTTGATACAGCCGCTTGGATGTCAAAATCAGAAAGACCCAATTCACCAAACTGCTCAAACCATCGTGACATTCCATGTATCTCCGTGATATGAAACAGCAGGGATTGTGCCACACACTGTAAGTGTTTCAGTGCCAAATTTTGAATACTAGAATAAGAATTTTCAATGCTATGACCAAGCTTCTTGAGGCCTTTTTCTGTCAGATCATGGATAAGGAAAGTCTGCAACTCAGGGCTGGTCACACCACAAGTGAGCAATGTCAGAAATTCACCACTGACACTTGAGCCAGCTGTCAAACGCTCAGCAGCAAACTCTGTCAACTTGGTGTCCATTTCCAGAAGTATGTCTTCCCAAGCATCAGACATGGCCTGCAAGGTGTTATCGAAGTAATCCATCAAGTTGGTGACCTCACCCATTTTCTTGGCAACTACTGCAAGTTCAAGACACCTTGATGACAGTAACCCAGAGTCATACAATATCAGTGTCACCACTTGTTTATCAGATCCTGGGACAGATGTCTTGACAACAGCTGAGAGCACCCTTAAGTCATGCGACACACTGATACTGATGACTTCACTTTCAGAGTGCTTTGGCAAGACATCAACTGTATTAAGAGAAGCACAGAGAAAAATCCCATAGAGAAATAAATGAATTTTCCCTTTATCATCGCCGATGGCTAACACGCTCAACTCGTCAGGCAGACACTTCATTTTTTTATGATCATCTGAGCCCTCTTGTGAGACTTCTTTGTAAAACAGAGCTCCTGTGGATTTTGGTAGATGAGAAATCGAAGGCAGATAAAGTTCTGACTTTTCCACGAAAAACGGCAAATTTTTCTCAGCTGATTCGTCATTTGACACCTTCTCTTTTCCTTCTTCTATCCAATCTAAGGACATAGGCGTCGATTCTATTTCAGTTTTGTGAACACATTCAGCGTTTTCAATATCGAATAACTTGATTTTCCCATCAATGAAAGCAACAGCTAAGATTTTTCCGTCCGGTCTCCAAGCCACAGATACAGCTCGACCTTCAGCGGCGGAAATCAGCCACACTCGCTTCCACGACAACCTTTGCAACCAAACTTCTCCCTCGACTGTCACAAGAGCCAGCAAATCCATCTTTGGCGACCATTTTTGATAGAGAATTTCAGCAGAACATGGTTTGTCTTCGAGCTGCCTAAATGATCCGTATGCTCCCGCCATTTTCTAATTGAAAATTACGACTGCTGACTTAAAAGATTTCTGTCGCATTCGAACGCAGGAACGAGGCTCAAGCACGAAAACGAGTTTACCGAGTTTCGGCCAAGGCGTTCTTAGGAACGAAGGAAAAATTGAACATATGGAAACTACAAAATATCGTTTGACGATGTTCATGATATTGTGTCTACCTTTCATAGATGGAAGGATGTAGCTGAACTTTTCCAGGCATTGATGGATCCAACACCAGCGCAGAAATCGCGGAGAGGCGAGAAAACCTCCAGCCGGCCATTCTATGCGACCGACGGGCAAACGAGTGCAAATATTATCTCTGAGGCTAGATCTTCCCTTCGTCCTTTGGACACGAAAAGGCCCTTTACACCAGTAGAATCCAATAGAACATTATTCAGAGGAAGTGCTGTGAAGCCTTACGAAGGAAGGCCGCCGTCTGCATTCAGGTAATCGTGCTTCATTCTTTTTGACAGCACTTCATCACCGACTAGCTTACGAATGTTTATTTTTGGGACAGAACTGTTTGCAAATGTAGATTATTATTCTTGCTGATTATAGTTTTGTTTATTGTAAATATAGTAAATTGAAAAGTCAGAATATGCTTTAATGAGGTCTTTGGATGTTAATGGCTGATATTTGACCGCAAAATTCGAATTCTGTAGTTGTTTTCGAATATGCACAAACATTATGACCTGTTCTCGATTCTTGAGAGCAAACAGTTCAAAAGTAACCACGCTTTGCACACAGGTGTTTAAGTCGTTGACGGAAATTAATTTGTGTGGCTTAGGAAGGTGCAAAAAATGCTCTTTTACCCTGTATTAACTAAAACATCAACAAAAGACCTGATCAAAGAGTGTGAAACTGTCTAGAAATTTGTGGGACAATTAAAACCATAGGGTAATTCTCTACATGCAAAAGTAAACAATTTATTATTAAGGATATCAGGGTTGAAGGTCATTCCTCTGAAATCTGAATTGAACAAGGATGATTATAATACCTTTAGTTAATAACAGTTCCCAGTTGTTAGGTGGTGAACATGGTTACCAGTTGCATAAAAACACTGTCCTTCAGCCAAGTGTTGAAACGAACATCTCTACACCTGTGAGATTCTGATTTATTGGTTTGATTAAGTATTATCCAACCCCAGAACAACGTAGACCAGGGTTCAACTATTTCAATCTCAGGAGGGATCAAAAGTTAATTTCTCATTTCAATAGTAATATATTGTTAAGCAAAAAAGTTAAGAGGAAAGAAAAATATAAAACTATTAGATATCGATTGACCTAACACTAAATTCTCATAGTTAAAATAATGTGAAAAGGAGTGTCAATATTGAGATGTAGGGAGTAAGTGTATCAAATAGTTGTATGGGAACTTAAGGGTCATTTGATAAGTTTAAGTATTCTTATTATGTGTTTGCTGGATAATGTGTAGATATTATAGTGAGAAGTTACATGTTAATCACTTCCAAGAGTTTAAGGGTTGCATGTGGTAGCACCTGGTTTATACTCAGCAATTTGTACAATAAGATCATGATGATATATATTCATGAGGTTTGCTAAATTCATTTCAGATAGTTGTGTTTATTCTTCACTCCATTTACATGTATACCATTGGTAGTACATTACTGGTTAACCAAAAGTGGAAAGAAAGAGGTTATTTAATTTAAAGAACCTGTGATCAAGAAATGACAATGTAGCTCTTGAGTAAGGAAGGACAGAAAAATTCAGCCATTTTTAAATGTGCAGATAATTTTAATATTCTAAAGAAAGCAGTTGGAATGAGCACAATGCAAAACCAACAAATGAAATGTTGAAGCTTCAATCTTTCAAGTTATTGATTTTAAGAAATAAAACCATTTTAAGCCACTGCAAACTTCCTTCTTACAGCTTAGGTAGCTACCAGTCTGAAGGAGAATCCTCGCGTCCTCCATCAGGGAGGAGGTTAACTCCTATAGATGATGCTCCACAGCTTCCAGGGCCACCAGTTCCCTCCCCGCCCTCTGGTGTGGTGAGTAGACCATGTACATAATTTTTATAATTTTCATGTCTGTCTTCCATTGCACAAGAGAAAGTAGGACAGTTAAAAATAACAGCACTCCTCCAAGACATTCTAGCTAGGGATCTAGGTTTGCAATATCTGTGAAGGTTTGATTACTTAAGCTGTATTGTAATAAAAACTATTTCTTTTAGCCCATGGGTAAATCCAGAAGACCCCTAAGATCATCTTTGTCAGGTTCTGGTGAAGACCTAAATGCTGAAAAACTCAGCCAGAAGCTTCGTAAAGCTGCACTAGGACAAGGCAGAGATGCAAGAGCAGAACTTTCTCCATCTCCTCCAAAAAGGGGGTCTTTTTCTGGCACTCCGCCTCATATGGGTGAGCCTCTGAGGCGTACCTCATCAGAAATATTCCCTACCCCACCAACAGTGTCAAAAGATGTAGTTAGTTCAAGGAGAGTTAGAAGTGGACCGAAAGAACGCTGCTCTCCTGTTATTGATTCTGTCACTCGTGTGAAAAGTGGTCCTTTGGAGCGAGGTGATCCTACTGGGGTTGGAAATGAACAAGTTGATGCTCAGAGTTGTTCATCTTCAGAGCGAAGGAAAAAATCAGCAGAGAGGAGTGGTAGTGGTGATAAAAGGAGGAAAAAATCTCAAGCAGATGATGATAAACCAAAAGATGAACTTGTCTCTTACTATGAAGAGAATGTCAAGCCACTTCTCACTCAAATGGAGGAAAGGTTTGCAGAGAAAAATATGAAAGAACTGTGTCAAGACTGTTTAAAATTATGGAATGCATTAGAAAAGAAAGGCCTAATTGGAAAGGCCAGTGGAAGTTTTTCTGCAAGAAGAAGAGGAGAAATTTTACGGACAGTTTTTAAGTTCTTGGATCTCAGTGACCCAAGGTTGCTTTTAAGACTTGGCAGGTTAATTCTTGCGGTGAGTGATTTAATGATTATATCATTCAATGTGAGGCTGAAAATTTAATCACAGACTGTATGCCGCAATCTTTGTCCCCCTGGATGACGTGGCTACTTAATGTTCACCTTGCTGGACTTCAGATCATGATTTTTGGTTTGAAGTCGTAGGCTGCTCATGGTGTGCTTGGGTTAAAGCCTATTTGCCCTTACAGTGCCTATCTCCACCTATGGGTATTCAGTAAAGTGTCACAGACTCACAGAGAGTTGATGAAATACTGGTGGACATGGTGACATTTACAAATACTCTTAACCAGATGATACACTGTGTTTTTCTCGGTTTAAATCTCACTGTAAACAACTGGTTTTATCTCCCTCACAAACAGTTTCTTGCTCTTGCAATTCTTGCATATGGTCAAGTCCATATATGCAAGTAACTTATGCACAGTCCTCCCCACGAGGGAGGGGTGAGCTGAAAACTCTTGCACATGTGGTTAGTGGTACCTGTGATGGGCTAGCACCCTACCCATTAATCAAATTTTTTATCCCTATGTGTGACTAGCATATATTGTATGTAATTCCTCCTCATAGTGTCAGCCTTGAACTGAATATTAACCCTTCAACTCCCAAGATCTGATTGTCAATTCTCCTCTCTAGCTGTTAGACTTTTCCTACTAAATTAGTGATGAGAATTTGGTGTTAGATCAAGATGACAACTTTGACATGATAAGTTTAAGTATTCTCATCACCTGTTTACTGGATAATGTGTATAAATTATAAGGAGAAGTTGCATGTAAATCACTTCTGGGAGTCAAAGGGTTAAGGTCAGGAGAAGAAAGGAAATGGTGGCCAAATAAAAAAATTCTTGATTTTTTAATGAGAAATTCTCCTTGTTAAATACCATAGGAAATTTATAGAGAACAGTATGGAGAATATGCATACTGATGTTAGAGTGTAAAGGATTAAGTTCTGGTTGGATGAGCCTTTCGGCTTGATCACTTTATGTTTACCTTGCTTCTGCTTTGAGATTTTGATGAAATAACCTTGTCATTTTTTTTTTTCAACCTTTCTTGATTTTCTTTCATTGCAGATGAAGGTGACTGGTAACAATTTAACCAATGTATGTATGGTGGTTTACAAAGTGGCAAAAACAGAGAAAAATGATCAGTTATTTCTGGAAGAAGACATTTTAAGTAAGATGAGAACCTTTTATTTGGTTGTTTATAGAATGGTTGTTGAGCCCAGTGTAATTTTATTTCCATTGTGCAATTTAAATATCTGTAAGAACTTGTAGTGGTTAAAATTCTGGGCACAAGCTTCTGCTTTTTTTGTTTTTGGGATTGCCCACTCATATCCAGCGCAAGAAAAATTAGTTTATAATTTTTTAACAATGTTGGCAATAAAGTTGAAAAAAAGCAGCAGAAGACAGTCAAAACAAAGAAAACATGAACTACTCTGGTAAGTTTATTGTGCTACAAAAGCAGTGGGCTTTCTTCCCAGCTCTCAAAATAAAAAGGTAATTCTTGATTCTTATCATTGAAGACATTTTTGCCACACACTGAATCCTTTATTGAAAAAGCCTGTTAGGTTAGGATGGCTGGATATTTGCCTCATTTGTTTCTTTTTTCTTGCGTTTTTATGGACTGAGACAAAGTTTAGGTCCTTAAAAATGCAAAAAAGAACTTGGCTTATATCCAGCCATCTTGACCTCCCACTTGCTCAATAATGCATATGTATCAGATAAACCAGTTGAGTATATTAAGTACTGGCAGCTGTGCAACTTATTTTTTTGCAGAAAATCTTAAAAGTTAACAGAATTTTCTTTGTATTTTTTTTTCCAGAGAGTCTGGTAGACACTTTGAAAAGCTGTGAAATAGGAAATCACCATGATGCATTAGTTTACACTGCTGGAGCTATTAAACATCTTTCAAGCAATAATCACACAGTTCAAAAGGAGTTAGTCTCTCTGGATGGCATTGAGGGTTTAGCACAAATTCTTGACACTATAAGTAAAGATGTAAGTTTGCCAGGTGATCTTGGTGATTTTGATAAAAATTCCTCGGCATTTCATCAGTGGTAGTGTCTTCCTTTCTTCTTAGTCCTTTTTGATATGGTAAATTTAATGTATTGATAGTGTCTTTTAGAACCCTCTTTTTAACCCTTTCACTCCCACAAGTGACTAAGACAGAATTTCTCCTTACAATATCAATACAATATCAAGCAGGTAGGTGATGAGAATAGAGAAGAATATCAATTATGGGATTATTAGTTGATCCAATACCAAATTCTCTGAACTAACATCACAAGAATTGTATGGCAGATAGTAAGGAGAATTACTAATAAGATCTTGGGAGTGAAAAGGTTAATCCTTTAAACCCTAAGAGTGACCAACATCTAATTTCTCCCTACAGTAACGCATTAATTAAAATCACCAGAATAAAGGAAATGATCACCTAGCTAAGATGCTGTCGTTGTTAAAAAATTCTACTTGTCAGTACCAAAAGAAATGTTAAGAGCAGAGTTTGGAGAATTTAAATACCTTGATGTAAAGGTATAAAGGGTTATCACTGACAATCCTTATTGGCCATTCTGAGAATCATACATTTATATGTTCCTTTAAGAGAACAGTTTTCTCTTTATTACATAGCAGGTAGAAGCTACTCTTCTGACTCTATAATTATGTTACCATCACTAAGCTCACATTACTGTGCATCATTGTCTCATGTAATTTGAGAAATGAAACAGAATTTGATGTGGTGTCTGATTTTTGTTTTGTGACAGGTGTTAATGACCATGAAAGGGAATTCACAGTTTGCCAGTTTGCTGGTTCAGGTATTTTTAAAGATTATTCTTAGTATTTTATTATTGACATTTGTTTTTATTGCAGCTTATAGTTTGAATTAACACTTTAACTTCAGAAGTGATGAACATCTAACTTCTCCTGCAATATCCATACATTATCCAGCAAACAGGTAATGAGATTACTCAAACATGTCAAGTAGAAGTTGAAGTCTTGATCTAACACCAAATTCTCATCACTAATTTAAAAGGAAATATGTAATAGCTGGAGGGGAGAATTGACTATCAGATCTTGGGAGTTAAAGGGTTAACAGCATATTTGAGATCTTGGTTTGAGATACTGACAGAAACACTTACTGCCTACTCTACAGTCAATTCAAACTTGGTTAAAATACCTCTGACCAAATGTTGGGGCTTCTCTACAGGTAACTGGAGCACTAAGGAACCTTGCTGATGTCTCTGGAGCCAGAGAGCTGTTTGTTAGCACATGTGTAGTTAGAAACTTGGCAATAGTTTTGGGACCATATTCATCTGACAGTGAAGTGGTGTGGAATGTATGCCGTGCATTGAGGTGAGGTTGCAATTGCTACAAATGTGTGATACAGATGGTGACCTGTGGTTCTGACTGGCTTTTTCACAAAATCTTACATCAGCATGCATATTCTCCATACTGTTCTCTGTACATGCTGACAAGGAGAGTTTGTTTAACAATCAAGAGTTTCTTTAGTTGGTAATTATCTCCTTTTTCTTGTGACCTTAGTTTGCAATTTGGGGTGGTTATTATAAGGAAAAATTAAAGCTAGTCACTCCTAAGGGCCACTGGGTTAACTTGCAAAAGTTTCTTTTAAAGCAAATAGCTATTAGCTGATGTTGAACACTTACATATCCAAGAAGATTTACAAGTCATTCAAGTTCCTTTTGTACCTAGGCAGGAATTGCTTTCATTGTGTGTCAGCAATTTTTTAGCTCATGTAAGAGTCATGTTGGCTATGAATTCTAAATTTATTTCATAGGCTAATGTTAGTTTTTTATTTTATCTATAGTAAACTAACACTGTACACAGACTGCTGCAGTGAATTGGTCGACTCAATTGCTTGGCTTCCAGCACTGAGCAAGATCCTATCAGCCTATGAAAAGAAACAGGTAAAAGGCTCTTTGTTTAACCCTTAACCTCCCATGAGTGACCAAGAGAGAATTTCTCCTTACAATATAAATACAATATCAAGCATAGAAGTGACGAGAATAAAGTAAAATATCAATTAGGGGATTATAGTTGATCCAATATCAAATTCTCCAAATTGACACCATAAGAATCGTTTGGCAGACAGTAAGGAGAATTACTAATGAGATCTTGGGAGTTAAAGGGTTAAGTGTCTCTACAATGAGAAAATACAAAATATCTTATGCATACTAGTACTTAATCAACTGAGTTCACATTTTGAAAAATTGAACTTGCAATTTAATAACAGAGTACTTTTTTTTCTCTCTTGGACCAGCACAGATACTCTTGCAGAGGAAATGATGTACATACAGTACTGACATACAATAACTTTATTCTTATTTTGTCCTGAAATTTGCAGGAATTGGTGGTCCGGGTCTGTTTCATTCTTGGTAACTTAACATCTAAGAGTGAGAAAGTCAGAGAAGCCATTTTCTTTGATGAAGCATTTATGGCTGTGTTACTCTCTGTCATGCAGTCATACTTCAACCTTGAGCTGGAGGTGTGGAATTTGTAATTTTAGTTACTTGTACTTTTACTGTAATTTGTATTACAGACCAGTTTTCAGTTGAGAGTCAAAACCGAAACTGGTGAAAAGTCATCTGAGTGACCAATCAGAACATAAGCCAATGAGGACTCAAAGTGAAAACATGTCAAATAAACTTCCTGAAGTACAGGAAAGTGCTATTGTTTTTTGTTTAGCATCTGATTGGCTAAGAAGATAAGACAAGTTTTCTGGACCAATCAAAGTACAAAGTACAATCTTGAATTACTTTTGTCACTTTGTTGAAAATTGCTCTACTGAAACAAGATGGTGTGTTTTGCATCATGAAATTCAGTTTGAGACTAAACATATATTGGACCTTGATGTTGAGTTTCTTTCTTGCATGTGATCAGTAGACTGCTTGCTAAGGTCATTGATCAATAATGGGTTAGTGCATGTGCTTAATTAATTTCAATTGTTACAAGGTGCTGAAAAATGGGCCCACAGCTAACGAAAATTTGATTAATGGAGAAAACAAAGGTCTTAACAAGAATGAAGATGTGCTGATCAAGGTAAGTGTTCTGAATCATATCTCAGTCAGAGTAAGGTGATTGAAGAAAGATGTCACAAATCTTGGTTGGGACTTGTAGCTCAACTGCATGTTACACTTCTTAGCAGAAAAGGAAATAATGAAATTTTGTGGTTTTTTTTTAAATTTTTGCTGCCAAGCAGGCATGGGCATACAATCAACTTTTGTGGAGTTATTAAACTCCTTAAGTTTGAAGGGAATATCTTAATTTTTGTGTGGGGAGAAAACTCATGCCTTGTGACAGGTTTTTGTTCTGTTTTGTTTCAATTTACAGAATATTTCATGGAGTAAACAAAGACATTATATGTGGAGAATTCAAATTTTTGTTGCTATTTCTCTGACTGCAAATTGCAATGTACACATAGGAGAGGTCTTTTCAAGTAGAAGTGTATCATTATCCAATTAATGCATACTGCAAAGTTCATAATATTTTTTTGCACACAATGTCATCTTATTGAACCAAATTCAACTTTCAGGCTATCAGAGTAATTGCCAACTTATCAATCAATGCAGAGGCTGGTGCAGGGATTGCTGCTAATGAAGCATTAGTTGACCTTTTAATCCAGATTCTTGGTGAGTTCACTCAATGGAGAAAAGGTATAACCTTTAATCATGCCAACCCCTTTTTCATCAGGTGTTTGTCAATAGGATTATCTCTTACTTTCTTTGGATCTTTACAGATGTAAAGGATGCACTTGTCAGCGAAGAACTTGTTCTGAACACAGTATCAACTCTGAACAATCTGTCTTACTACAATAGTGCTGAAAGTGTTGTACAGCAGAGACAAGTTGAAATCACAGAGAGTAGGTTAACTATTTGAAATACAAGTATAATTTGGTCTAATATCAACCATGTTGAAAATAGAAATTGGCTATTGTAAAGAGTGTCTAAATCTGACTTTGAGTGTTAGCCCATCATCAAAGCAAATTATTCATCCAGATGAAGGGCTAATGCTTGAAATGTCATCTTAAGTAACTTTGAATATGAAAGTGATCTTTGCTACTTAAGCAGTAGTGAAAAGAAGGCCTGAAAAAAATTCAGGCCTGTGCGGGATTTGAACCCATGACCTCTGTGATACTGGTGCAGTGCTCTACCAACTGAGCTTACAAGCCAACTGGGAGCTGGTGAAGATCACTTTCATATTCATGTCTTTATCCGCAGTTCAAATATGTGACTTTCATATATTCACAGCTGTTTAAGAAACTTTTTAGGGTGGCTAGTTACCATTATCAACTCAGTTGACAAATTCAAATTATCTTATAGTCCCCTCCCCCAACAGATGCAGCACCACATTCCTTTAGAAATGCACCCCCTTAACTTATTTTTGAAATCATCAAAAGTCACAGAATAGTGACAGTTAAAGTTAAGAAAATCATTTGTGCTGTGTGGATTGGATTCAAACAAGCAAATATGGTTTTGTTCTATTCCTTTTTTTATGTGGTCTGTGCTTTTGTTGAGAGTGCCTTAACCCTCTAACTCCCAAGATATCATTAGTTATTCTTCTTTCTGTCTGCCACACAAGTCATATGATGTTAGTTTGGAGAATTTGAAATTGGATGAACCAGTAATCCCCAATTGATATTTTTTTTTATTCTTACTACTTACAAGTCCACTTAAAAATATTGTACCAGTAGTGTAGGGAGAAATTTTGTCTAGGTCACTAGTGGGACTTAAAGGGTTAAATATGTAGTTCCATGTCTCATGTGGTTGATGTTTATGTATGATGTATAATTTTCTTGCATTGTTTTAATATCTCTCTCTCTCTCTCACTCTGTGGTAGTGCTAATTTCGTTGTTAATGCCGGAGAACATGGATGCAATGGTGGAAGCAACTCGTGTGTTTGGGAACTTTTCTAGAACAAAAGAAGTGAGAACTTTATTGGCAGAGCAAAAAGGTAAAAGTTGACATCTTATTTTACTCAAGTATGACAGAGATTTTTGACCTTTCTGTCCACATTAGTTGTTGAAGTTTTACAGATCACTCTCTGAGGTTACACTTTTCACCACCTTTGACTATTTAGTTGATGAAATCATGATTGCTCTATTGGATGCTGGTGAGAGGGAAACAGTGTTCACAGCCTGTGGTGTGCTAATTAACCTGATGATTGATGAGAATATCAAACCAAAGCTGAAAGAGGAAGATGGAATTAAAAAGTAAGTTGTTCAATTTAGATTCTTCTCCTAATTGCAGTCATGTTGTGGCATCCTTTAAAATTTTTCATAACCTGACTAATATGAGGATAACCTGTTTTTACCTCTCAGACTGGTTGATGTGTTACGTGACTTTGGTAAACATGATTGGCAGTTGTCAAGTATGGTGTGCCAGATCCTGTGGAACTATAGGTAGGTCCATTAGTACCATTCATACTTTTTAATAGTAATAATAGAAGCAAAACCTGAAATTTTATTTGCTTTGTTTTTCACAACTGAGCTTGTGATGACCAAGAAAGTAAAGAATACAGTTTTCAATATTTTATTACTTTTTTTTCTTCTCATTTCAAAGTGACAAGATAACCAGCTCATCAGAAACATTTGGTGACCAGGAAGCACTAGAATTAATGGATATTCTCGCACAATATTTAGGTAAGGATTGTGAATTTTATAAGACAGTATGGGAGTTAATTTTTCAGAGATGCAGTGGTGTAATAGTTACTAGGCTGAACTCTGAGGAGGAGGTCTGAAGTTCAAGACCTTGCGGCATCATTGTGTTGTGTTCTTGGGTGAAAACCTTTACTTTCTCAGTGCTTCTCTCCATCCAGGGGTATACTGTGAGGGAGGAGTAATAATACTCCTGGTCACTACATGCAATGAAAACCAGGATAAGCTCAGGTTGGGCCACTTAGCTTGAGTACAAACTTATACAGTTTACTGTAATGTTGAACATACAAAGATGTAATGAAGGTTAGGATCTTTTGAGAACAAATTTGAGTGTGACTCTAAAGCATCCTTTGAAATTGGGTTTAGTTACAATGGCCATTTAACAGATGACAAATTAAAACACAAGTTAAGTAATCACCAATGAGATCAATTCTGTTTTGTTTAACTGTTTTTCAGATGAGGATATTGCTCTTGATTCAAGTGAATTAGATGCTGTGGAATCAAACCTTCCAGAAATGTTAAGAGAAATGTGGGAAAGCCAGTTTGTCCCTGTGGGGCAGCACCTGCTTCACAGAGTTAAGTCGCACCATACAGACCTTGTTCCGTTGGAGTTGCCTAGTAATTAACAAGCATGATGCTCACACCAGTCTTGTAGACAGAGACTGGGATCAACATGCTTTAAACTAAATTTTAGACAGGTAACTGTGAAGAAGTTGTGTCATTCAACGACAAAAACCATCCGCTTGCTTACAAATTTTTTATTGCATTAACACAGCTATGCTGAAGGAAATTGTTACAGTATACATGTGGATCTCTACCTTCAAACCAATCTTATTCACAGATGGTGTGTATAGTAATATCATTCAAGAATGACAATGCATCACATTGTCCTCAATTTCATCCCATACAAAATGTTATAAATACATAACCTTTCATATAACTATCAGTCCTCGTGTGAAAATATTGGGGGCATACCAAGACATATATGTAAGTTTTCTGCCTGTCAACATTATGATTTTAACTTATTTCTTGCGTGGATTGACAGGGAATAGCAAGGAGACACGTTCCTTTGTGGGAAATTGGATTCTGATTTCCCCCAAGAAGTCCTACGAAGCTTTTTGTTTGTCTAGTTTATTGAATAAGGTTACCAAAGGACATAGTAGCCATAGAAGACAGCCCATTTCTCAAATTTAATTTATAAACTTGCATCTCTGTACGAAAGAGCTCCTATTTTGTTAATTAAGATTTTCACTGGACAACTTGTAAAAAGAGTATTGAAAAGGACTTCATAAAGTTCTCCTTGTGTGGTTTTATGTAAACTCAGAAACAATTTTATTTATTATCTTTAGAACAGTGTGAAAAAGAGAGAATTTTAAATAAATAAATAAAGAGATCAAATGCCGTTTTTGCTGTTGGGCCATACTATGTAACTCCTCATTTTTTTAACTCCTTATTTTTGAATTTTTTCTCAAGACTTCCCTGTGCTACACTAGTTATCAATTGTGAATTCAATTTTACTACAAAAGTGAAGTCCCCTGAATCTTTAATTTGATGTTGCTGTATTCTAAGAGAAGTTTCTGGGGTAACAGTTCATCTGTTACCTTGTAAAGTTTTTATTTTTGTATTTTTGTTGTCATGTTTAGTGAGGACAACCTACAGAGTGAAGCATTTCGTCTTGAAACAAAATTGTAAAGCGAGATCTTGTTTGTTCACAAGAGGATGTTTCAAAGCTTTAGCCAACACCTCATAATTAGCCTGTGATCCTCCCTTGTGTAACCACCTCACAAGCATTTGATAGCACTGTTCAAAGCTGTCAGGATAATCTAATGTGAGCTGAGCTAGTTCTGCTTCATGAAATCCTAACACTTCTGCCAATTCCATCCAGCTGGATGACATCGCATGGCTAATGTGAAGCAAGTCATCTGTCTCAGGAATTCCTCTCTTAATTTGTAGACTGGTAGTCATTGCATGACAGTGATGAAAACTGACCTAAAGAAAACATGATCACTCAGTAATCTTGCAAAACTCCATTACAGGTCCTTTTATGTGATAGTGGTGGAGTACCTGACAATACACAAGAACCGCTGGCTCCGATCCTTTGGTAAAAGGAAGGAAGTAAACGGAAGAGCATTTGCCTACTGGGAGGGTGCGGAGATTTACAAGAGGGTTTTTAAAATAAGGATCCCACCCTTTCCAAATCCCCGCTTGTCGTCCCCCCCAAAAAATGGAAAGAAGTAAATCAGATGCGAGAATCCCACGATAAGCCTTTTAAATGATGCATGCTTGATGATAGATGGGAAATCTCCGTCCAGGGTAGAGAATCAGAGGCGAAAACATTCAGAGAACAGGAAATTCAGCCGTCAAATATTTTAAGTGAAAGGCGAAAGTTTTGACGTAATTTCAGTATATCCTGGATTAAATGTTACTGTATAAATATTTCTCACCAAAAACTACAACAGAAGGTCAACACTCGACAACAATCAGCAGAGCTTTCAGGGCCACATCTCACGTTGACCACATCACATCACAGTCTGTTTTCAGTTTTCTCGCAATAAAAATTGCGCGTCAACAGATTGTGTAGGAATTATGTGGGGATAGGGGAGGGTTGTTACTGCTTTTTGTCTTAGAATGAATGCACATCAAAGACAACATTTTTTTAATTTCTCCTTCTATATTATAATATAAAAATATTCAGTTTCTTGTCTTGAAAACTTTATTTTTATCATGAAAAGGTCCGCAATTGATTCCTTATACGAATGTTCTTATGAATACGAACCCTACCCTACACAGTTAAGCCTCTTTGCCCACGGTTCGCGCACAAAACAATCAGCGGTTGTTCTGTTGCTACGGCGTGAGAAGACCTATTAATTTGCGTCGAAATGACTAACAATTTATCACAAAGTCAGGATATATTTCCCTGGAAATGCACAGAATGATATTCAACTCTGATTAGCTAGTGCGATAAAGGTAAAAATATTAATCATGTCTGACAAACTGAGTCGTCAAGATGCCCTCCGGATTCTGCGCAAAACTGATTTACCAGGTGACAAAGTTATTCCACATAATTGTTTGTGTGCATAATTTCCAACTTCTTGTTTATTCTTGCCTTGTTAAATAAATACTAAAGGTAATTTTAAATTGTAATTTCCATAAAGTAAGAAATGACAACAAGAAAACTTAGCTGTCTTTTACAGTTTTAATGAGGTAGGCTTACTAGGTGAGTGCCTTGAAGTGAGCTTTCACACTTCTGCTTTCAACTTGAGTTAAGCAACTTTCTTTAATTCAACTCATTGCAGGATCTACATCTAGAGACGTAAAGTTTGCTTTGGCAACAAAAGCGGAAAGATGGGTAAGTTTTTTATCTAAATAGATAAAGTCTGAAATAAAAAGTTGCGAGCCTTGATTAGAGCCATAAACTGTACGTTGTTTCAGTTTGAAGATCGATTTAGGAAAATTCAGGACTTCATTGAAAACATTGATCCAATAAATTGCTGAAAACCCATTATACAAATGTTTTACTATAACTGAGTAAGGGTGGATATTCTTACGACATCCAATAATATACTCGTATATCCCTAGATAGATGTTAAAAAATATTTGATACGAATTCTTTTTCGTCTTTTACCCCCACGAGGAATCTTTGATCACCACCACAGTGTACATGCAAAGCTGTATTTTGTTTCATTAGTAGAATTGTGATGTCCTGTGTAGCTTAGGAGAACCCATGATTTTGAAACCTCAAAACCAAAAGTTGATTTATTCTAAACTTTCTGGTACCTGGATTGCTGTTATATTCAATATTTATATTTACTGCCAAATGATAAATTGATTATGATAGATTATAGGCAATGTACATCATTGCAGAATGAAAAGCCTGAAATAATTCAGGCTCATATAGACATGGACAATTGAGTGCAACTACCGACTAAGCTTTGAAGCTTTGCATTGCAAAAGTGGCAAATTAGGGTGCCTGGCTCTTTGCTCTCAGTCAAGGGCTGAATTTTCCATACTTCTTTATCTGTAATCCCTGTTTAGTTGCAGCTTAAAGCCCTGAAGATCAACTCAATACATGTTATGTATTCCACTGGTCAAAATACAGCTTGCATACTTTTCGTGAATATCTACAAATTTGTCAACAGAAAATGATTCAAGGAAAGACAGATGAAGAAGATGTAAAAATAGCTGCCAGCATAGAAATTCAGCGAGTATGGAGAGGTCATTTTACAAGGTAAAATGATGGTCCTTACCAAGTACATCTTTGAATTGTTTTCTTTGTACATCATAGTATATACCAGGGTCATGGCCAGGACTTTTTAAAGGATGGGTCATTCTGTGTGAAACAAAGGGTACTCACCAGATTGTCATGCGAATCCTCCATGCCATGTTTTACTGGAAAAAAGGCTTACAAAGGATGGGGAAAGGGGAGTCACAGGCACCCAAGAACCCCTTCCCCACCCTATTAACTACACCCTTGCATACTGTGAGCCAAGGCTACATATCAAAAAATTATCTGTTGACAAACTTCCAGCTGTACTGAAAAATGTAATTATGTCCCATGATTATTTATTCCATGTTTTCTTTTTAAATGAAGATGTAAGCTGTTTGGAATTCTCCATCCAAATGCAAGTGTGATGTCCACAGCCCTTGGTAGTAGATTTGTGCAGAGTCCATCAAGGCTAAGTGATGTAAGGACCATTACTCCTATGGTTCCACATACCACACCACAGCCATTGAGACTCTTCAAGGTGAGGCAGAGATTGCCAACAATGTGTGTTCTAAAATGCCATCAAGTTCTTGACTGTGCAATGGCAATCTGAAAGCAGTAACAACTGGAAAAAAAGAAATTATCAACTGATTTTTACAGGTTACATCCGATGCGCCCTCATGCGCCCAGAAATAAAACCCCTCTGAAATTCCAATGCGCCCTCATGCGCCCTGTCAAAATTGGCTTGTTTTGATTGGCTGTAGCTTAGAAACAAAACTCCCCTGGGTATTGAAAAGCAGTGAAACGTGACATGCAAAAATAAGCTTTCGTTTGAGACCAAACTCACTATTACACGTTTACCGTGCGATTTTTTGCAAATTTTTCAAAAATATGTCGTGGTCTTAGACATGGCTTCTGGAAGAATTGATGAAAGTTAATTTTCATCCGATGAAGAGCAAGAAGTCTTCGCTGGATTTATCATCGAAGAAATTGAAAAAAGCGACAAGCTCGTCAGGCACAGCATGAACAAAACTTGCTTCGAAATGTGGATGACGAGATGGAAGACTTTTTCGACCTACGGTCGCAAGAAAGGGGAAGCGATTCCGATGTTGAGCTATACGCTAGTGAAGAGTAAGAAGAAAGCGACGCTAGTAGTGATGAAGAATCTGCCGCAGAAGAAAGCCGACCAAATGCTCTTCAATGGTCTAGCTAATTGCAACAAATTAATGTTGAGGAATTCTCCATTCGTCGTGGCCCGACCAGAGATCTCGGAGAAAATGCAACTGCCAAAGATTTCTTTAATGTATTTATCGACGATGCTTACATTGACGAAGACGTCCGATACACCGTTGCGTACGCTCGTTCGAAAGGGGATCGATCGTTCACATCTACCCAAGCGGAAATTTCAGCGTATCTCGGGCTAAACATTCTCATTGGAATCCATGAACTTCCTCAGCTGGCAATGTACTGGGATTCTGACGAGTTTGTTGGAGTTGATTGCTTAAAAAAACGATCCCAGAGCACCGCTTCATGACTCTCGGAAAATATTTACATCTTGCTGACCCGACCGCAGAAGACCGAAACGATCTCCTCTGCAAAGTTTGCCCCCTTGTAACTCGCTTGGAGCAAAAGTTTGCCTAAGCGAAGAAAATATATGCATTGTTCAAAGTGAAACTTTTCATTTAGGCGTAAAAATTGGTTTGTTCTTGCTCATGACTCGCAAAAAGTAATTTTATAGCTGCGCCTTGTGACGTGTCGCGATGTCGCTATGGCGGGCAAATTCAAAATTGACCCGCGTTAGAAAGTTTAGGATTCCTTTTGTTGAGGAGGAATTTGCGATCTGTCTTTTGGTGTTGTATTTGAGGGAAAGCTTTTTACATGATTCTGATGGAATAAGAGTGCAAAAGAGAGTCATCATACTGATAAATACTTTCAAAGCTGAAGGCAACCTAGCCAATGACTCGCTGTACATCATGAAGTTGAATCCGTTCTCTAGCTTTAGAATTTTTTTTGAGAGAGCCTGATGCTCAAATTGAAAATAAAATTTGACAGGGGGAAAGTATATTATTTAATATGCAACTTTGTGCAGTTTCCCTTCAGTAGAGTGAAATGAAGACATTAAAATCTTTAAATATTTTGGCAGTGGTCTGTGTGTTCACTGTGGCAGCCATTTTCTCTGGAATTTCAGGGGGTGGTCTGAGCTCTAAGGTGTGGGGCTCGATGGGTTAAATGAAGATGTAAGCTGTTTGGAATTCTCCATCCAAATGCAAGTGTGATGTCCACAGCCCTTGGTAGTAGATTTGTGCAGAGTCCATCAAGGCTAAGTGATGTAAGGACCATTACTCCTATGGTTCCACATACCACACCACAGCCATTGAGACTCTTCAAGGTGAGGCAGAGATTGCCAACAATGTGTGTTCTAAAATGCCATCAAGTTCTTGACTGTGCAATGGCAATCTGAAAGCAGTAACAACTGGAAAAAAAGAAATTATCAACTGATTTTTACAGGTTAAGTGCAATGTCAGTTAGTCTGTGAAAATTAGTCCATCACTTCTTACCTTGTCCACAGCTTAAAACATGATTTATTAATTTTTGTACCTGAAAAACTGCTTATTACTCTAGTTAAGAAGAACTGGAGGGGTTGAACATACTATCCAAAAACATCTGACTAGTAACCAACACCCAATTCACACCGGTAAAACATGTTTAGTTAAATTGGGTTTAACTGAACAAACATCAGGAACAGAGAAGTGAAAAACTGAGTTTTCTGTAGGTTATGAATAAGTCACTAAACCTGCATTTTCGATGTGCCTGATTTGGAGTTGACAAATGTTGGTTTTAGGAGCTTCTTTGAAGAAAAGAATTTTAAATGGTGTTTAACAAATCAGCTTTTGTAAGACCATGTTGAAGCTTTGGTGTGAACGGGGTTTCAGTTTGTTTATTTTTGATAAGAAGTATTGCAGGGGGTGTTCCATAGAGACTACCAGAAGTGAAGCTAATGGTTCAAGAAGACCTTCCCTTTAATCTAATTCTTATAACTATTATTGTATTTAAAATGAATTTCGGATTTACAAGGAAACTTTTTAGACATGTTTCAGCATGACTTGTGCCATCATCAAGTTAATGTGTTACACAGTTGACTAAGTTGCTTAATATATATGTTACAGGTACATTAGAACTTTAAGTTGAATACAATATTTGAAATTACAATGGTCAAAACAATAGCATACGCAAATGTAACACTTGTAGAATGTCTCCTTCAATTTTAATTGCTTAAAATTCAAGAAGACATTGTACATTTGCTGCTTGCAAGCAGAGCTGAATGCTCTGATGTAACTTAACTGTGATTGTTTGTTCACATAGATTTACTTGGTAAGTGTAACATTTGTAGGTTCTATTGTTTACTTCAACCATTTATTTTAAAATAAATAAATGGTATAAATTTCAAATACATGTATTGTATCTGATCTAAACTTATATCATATTTATTTATTTATTTTTTATTTATTGCAATTCATGGCATATACAATACAAAATAACTAAACTAAAATAATTATTAATGATAAATAGTACTATGATATAGAAGTATCTGTAGATCATTCAATAAAAGAGATTACCACAAAGTGATATTTAAGGTATCTCTGTCCAACACAAACATATGTAACATCCAGAAAACAGGAGAGACAGAAATAATCAGATCAAAGTACTCATAACTCTAACAGAAATTTCTTAGCTCTAGTCTTAAATATAAATTTACATGTAACATGTGAAAACAAAGTCATCAGTTCAACAAATTTAACTGATGATGGCATGAGTCATGCCGAAACACGTCTTTTTAAGTTTTCTCGTGAATCTGAAATTTATTTTGAATTAATCATATTGTTATCATGTAGCCAGGGAAGAATTTTCAATAGTAATTTTAATAACTGAAACATGCCTTGTCAAATTTTCACAGGGTAACCAAATTCCTACCAATGCCTTGCCAATCACAAAGAATAAATATAAGGAATACTGTGAGAAAACAGTGGCACAACAAGGCCCATTATGTAGACTGATGTCATACACAGAATTCTGTGCTACTCTCATCCAAAGGTGGTGGCGTTTTATATTACTGAGACCAGTGTTTCCAAGACCACCCCCTCCTACCACAGATGGAGGATTATCACCAACTGGAGCTGTCCAGCAACGGGCCAGTACAGCTGATTCAGAAGTACCAGCAAGGAAAAAAGTTGTTGATAGAGAAGAGGCAGCAAGGATTATCCAGAGATCTTGGAGAAAGCACATAGTGAGCAAAATAATAAATTTGTTGATTCTGATAAATAGTTGTAGTGATGACCATTACTTCCAAGGATGATGATAAGAGGAAGGAGAACATCTTGTGTCTGGAAGTGACATGGGCATTAAAAATGTTTTTAGAGATTGAGGACTTTTAACTTTCATATTTTTGGAGGGAAATGCTTAAAGAAAGTTTTCACTACAAGTTCCCTGGAAACAAAAATGAAGCTAGTTGCCTTGGGTATCCAGGTGTGCCTCCAAGGAAAATAATGTATTAATAGATTGCATGATACCTGACCAAGAACAAGTGGCAGTTTTATTTGTAGGCTCTTATCAGGCTCTAAGTTTTTTTTAGCTTTGGCCTATGCCTTTTCCTAAATTGTCTTCTTCTTCAACTTAATCCATAGTACCTCTTATTCTCTTGTATAAAATTTATGTGTTTGCAAGGGCAAGTCAGTTTTCATCATTTTTTAACTTGAAGTAACAGTTATGTTATTAACAAAATTTAACTGCTACATAAACATACCAAGACTTTGCAGAATGTTTTCATCATTGACACCATGGAGAAATTAATTGTCTGTATAATAATTTGTGTTCAGGACATCCAAGTATACAGATACTACAGAGATCTGATCAACTTCAAATGTCGGGGAGACCCATCTTCAATGTTGAAATGTATTAACCCAAGAGAGGTATGTTAGGTAATCATGGGTAATAATTAAGGAGACTGAGGATGTTTACAATTCTCTTCAAATTACTCAACAAATCAAAATAACAATCCAAAAAAATCAACAAACCCACAATTTAAAAGACCATCAATCAGAAATTTCCATGCTCTTTAATCTCATTACCTGATCATAATAATTCATTTATAAACAATTTAATAACTTCTGAATTCCGTGGAAAAGGTTGTGGTTATTCATCGTGGTGAATAACAATAAAGGTAAGTTTTTTGTTTGTCTCATGATGTAGTCATGTGTGATGTAGATCATGACGTTTTGACTGCTTACTGCTATTCTTCTTCAGGCGATGATCACCTGAAGAAGCCCAGCAGTATGCAGTCGAAACTCCTGAATTGCCTAGGGGACCTCTTAATATTTATAAGCCTTAGAGTTTTATTGAGGCCTTCTCACCCCTTTTATAATTGAAAACTACTTTTTTGTAAAGTTTGTGGTGGTGAATCAAACCTGAACTTAAACTTGAATGTTCAGTCTCTATCTTTTTCTCTTTATAGGCCGAGCTTTTAGATGCTGCAGCAGGGGTACACATTAAGTTTAGGCTGGCAGGAGTAAGTGATCAGTAAAGATGTATCGGGTTGACCATTCCAACATACTGTTACAGCTGTCATCCATTTGTCGGGGTTAAGACAATTTTCCTGCTGGACAAGCAACTTTTTTTAATCACTTTCCCACTGGGAGAAGCTCCAAACTAGTTAGTCATTAATATAAATCCTGTCCTCAAGGTGAAATTTACAAAATAATAGATTTTGTATTTTTTCCCAGTCCTGTATTTCAACTAGCTTGCTGAGTGTTTCTTATTTTTTTTCCAGTCCTGTATTTCAACTAGCTTGCTGAGTGTTCTATTTTCACTGAGAACAGCATTGTGTACTTTGATCAAATGATTTTCTAATGGAATGATGTTCTGTCATTGGAAAGTGGCCAACATTTAACCAGTTTTACAAAATTATTGTTCAATACAATTTTGAGACAGTGCCTTTTTTTGAGCCAAGGGTTACTCAAACTCCTTCTGTCATCCTTAAAAGTAGGCAATCAACTGATAAAAATTAGACTTAATTATTACATTTTATAGACATTCATGAAGTAATTGATTGACTCTATGTGTGTGTTCTTTTTATTTCTTAGGAAAAGTTCCCTCCTAACATATACTACAAGATTTTTACTCACCACAACATAGTTGACATGTGCGCTAATGCACCAAGGGATTACACTAAAGCCTCAACTAAGAGACTTCCAGTGAATTTTGTGCACAACAAAGGGCAAACAATGGAGGAAGGTGAGCGATTTGGCCAGGGTTTATGTTTTGGGGTCTTCAACGTAGATAGAAGAAATTCAAAATAAGGAAGGTTAATTTAATATAGGTAAATAATCTTTTTTAATTTGGTCAAAATACAAGTTACTAAAGTTTAATTTCATGTCTTAGAGTACAGAGAAAATCCTTATAACTGGTCTGGTTGTTAAAAACCTAGTCCTAGACAGAATCCTAGACAGAATATAGTTTAGATTTGGTGAACTTTTTGGCCCCTTACTACATATCCTACCTGCCCCTGTAACAATATCAGCTGTAAGCTGTTATTTTTGCAGCTTGGAGGGGGGGAGGGTTTGAAAGCTATTTTGAAAATTTTAAAGCACCTGTGAACATATCAAACATTAGTTTTTATTGAAGTTGAAGATAGGGCTAAAAAAAGAACCCTTGATTGGAGATAAAGACACATTTTGAATAAAAATGCTCTGAGGTTCTTTTAACTGAAAATTGGCATTTTGTGGTAGATGATATGTCAGGCTGGTACCAGAGGTGGGAAAACAATGGCTGGAGGCTTGTCTCCGACAGAGTGATGAAAAGAGTTGATCAGGATCCAGTTGTTTATGAGTCAACGCTAAAAAAACAAAGTTTTAGTCATAACAAGGTTAGTATGCATGGTGGCAAGTAAGGCTGAAAATTGAGCCAGGTGTGGCAGGGTGATAGACAGTTGTAGGCCCAGAAATGTCACCAGAAATGTGGGGATTGTACTGAGGTTAAAGTCAGTGGTTTGTTTCCTGTCTTCAAGGCTCACCCAAGATGTTGAAGTGAAATACTTAGTCACTTGTTTCTTCACTTTCTGCAGGTTGCAAGGAAACAAGACCTTGAAAAGAAACGCAAACGGAAAAAAGTAGAATGGATGAAAAAGATGTAAGACAGTGCGTTTTACTTAGTGGAAAAGCTTACTGTCAGTGATTATTGTACTTACCATTTATTTATTTTCAAGTTTATATGTGAACTGCTATTGTTAGGGTACTCCAGAGCTAATGGTTGAGATTTGACTCTTTCCACATACATTGTAGCATTTGTAGGGCGGTTTTAGGGGAGGGGTGCGAGGGGTGTGCGGGAGTTTATTTCAGGGGCCTGGCTCTTGTCCGCAATAGCGAGGTGTCCGCAGGGCAAGAGTCCACTGTACACTGTGCAGTCCGTGCTTTGTATTCTCGGAAGTTCGCTTTATATTATGGTCTGTTAAAAAGCCTTCCTCTTCATTATTTGCTTGTAAATTTATTTACCTCACCCAATAGTTATATCATTCCTTAGTGGTGCACCCTTCCCAAAGAAAAATCCAGGATCCTCTCCTTCTCTATGAGAAGAGACAACCACTTTCACATGTTCATGTTGCGTCATTATTCAGGTACAGAGAGGGAATGTTGAAGACACAGGGTGGAAATGACTTAGAGACTGAACAAGTTGTACAATCAGTGGCTGAAGGAATGCTAACAATCACAGACATGCGTGGGCAGGATGCTGTGGAAGATTGGGAAGTGGATGAACTCCTGGAGTGGACCAACGGACTTAACTTTGACCAGTAAGTTTATGACATCTATTTCTCCGTATAGTGGTGAATATAACGCATTTTTGTAGTATGAGCAATTTTGATCCTTGAGGTATGGTAGGGTATCTGCTTATGTCTGTGTTTATTTCTCCTAAGATATTTGTATGACTGGAAAGAGATTGCCACAAGTGCAGGCTCAGAATATTTAACAGGTCAGTAACAAAATATTAAATGGTAATTATTTTTATTTCGCTCTGTGATAATCACTCACTATAGAGCAATTTTCGAATGAGCGTCAAAGGTAATCCGGGGTTGCTTTGGTTTTGCTTCACCAACAAACTTACAAGAACTCGAAACTAACAGGGTTATCAAGCGAGGGAAAACAATGCTCTGGAAAATGTCATTGACCAAAACGTGATTGGTAGAGGAGCTGACGGAAGGGACACGAAGCAAGATTTCATGATTGACCAAAACAAGTCATCAGAAAATTAATAAAAGTTTTAATTTGTGTGTTTTGTTCTTTCCTATTTTGCAGAGCAAACCAAGTTCTTGCCAGATGATCCCTTCTCACTGACGCTACTCTCTAGATGACAAAACATTTCACTGTGGCTTTTTATTTATTGTGAAAGATTATGAGATCGCGTTTGTGATAGTAAAAATTGTATATAGTTTGTATTTCTGTAATTATAGTTCATAAAATGTAAGTATTTATGCGAGTGTGTAGTGTACAATAGTGCAGAATCAGCGTGATTAAAAAAAAAATTATTAAAATAGTCGAAGAAGTCTGATCCATTTATATAAATATATTTGAACGTTGCACAGTTTCAAAGACAGCCGTTATCCTCTTCAAAACTATTCTGAACGGAGCATTTCTGTGCCCGAAAGACGAACTTCTAAACGAAATTCCGCTTCGGATTAGTTATGAGTTCCTAATAGACTGAAAGGGGTGGAAAATGAATTTGGATCAGCAGGAAGTTGGAAAGTTTTGAATTTACGTCTGTTTCGTTTCAGTGCATAATTACACTGGTTTTACAAGTTATGTTCACTTCCCTTCCCGTCATTCTTTAGACAAGAACTATTTCTTTGCATAGCTGTGAAGTTCTTGTTATTTGATGTGTCTCAAAGTTTTGCTGGTGAACAGTGACCAGTCCTTAAAGTTCCAAAATTGTTTTGAATAAACTCGTCAATAACTTGTTTGGAATTCCATTGAAGCGAACGGCAGTAAAACCCAACCAAATAGAGCTCCGGTTCATGTGCGCCACCGTAGCCTGGAAAGTAACCGACTGTTGCTAAGTAAAGCGGGAAGGAATCGATGCGCTCGACGTGAATTGAGAAGTTTTATTAATATAATAGATTAAAATGCAGTATCTGTGTTAAGACGTTTTGGTATAAAATGAGTGGGCCATGAAAGGTGTCAGAAGTCCACTGAGAAAATGCAGCTGGCGAATGGGCACAATTCTTTTTGCGTCTACATCTCTGTAAACCCTCTTGGAGACATAAAATCGTACATAAAGAAGAAACCTTCACCCTGTCCTTGATCTCAAATGGCCGATATTTAACTCATAGTCAGCTTTCTTTGCTGAAAGAGGTGTCGCCCAGGAAAAAAGATTGAAACGTTTCATCTCCTATGCAAATGCAGAAGAAAAACAAAAAGCTGGTACCGAGGTAGAATTTAAAATATAAGCGATCACTGGTGTATGCAAATATTTCGCGCGTTTGAATGTACACTTCATGAATTCCAACAAATAGTTGTATTGTCATGCGCAGCTTAGCCGATCTCAGCGTTTTTGAACTTTTAACGGTGACTGTATACTATTTGACACTGAAAGAGTACAGATCCGCTAGAAATCCTTCATGTCACCATTACAATTGGTGGCTGTGCAAATTAAGCCAAGTTGAGTTTTTGACGAGTTTTATCAAAACTTTTATGATAAAACACCTGCGAACTAATCACACATCGGATCTTCACTTCACCAAGATATCAACATTTACAACTTTAAACAACCTTGGGCTGGTGCGAATCGTTTGTCAGAATGGGTGACGCAATAGGAGAAAGACTCTGGTATACCACAGTTCTGCGAATAAAACCTGGGACCTCTAGGTAGGTTACAACATGGCAAAAAATATATCATGGTTAAAAACATGTTTAGCGTGAAAGATTCCATGCCGCAGGGTCTACGCACGTAATTTACAAATTCGCATGTACTGGCTATAATGCCAGTTAAATTGTGAGACCATTCGCCACATTTGTACAAAAATGCGATACACCTTGTGTAGCACGAGGCTTCACAGCACTCGCAATTATCCAAGGCCTGTCATGACCCATGCTCTGCAGAACCTTCTGCGATTTCGCTTTCTGCCACCTCAGGGAGGATCCGACCGTACACGTCGTAAACCAACCGTTAAAACACTTATAGTTAACTCATTCTTTTTAGATAATTTTTATTTTTTTATCATCACATATTTCCTATTATCATTTTACTTATTTTCATCATATTAGTACTGTTTTGGTGCTTCCTGGCTTTCTTCTAACTTTCACATGTGCTTCCGTTATATTTTATTCAAATAGTTCACGAATCTGTATAGCGTAATCATACGTCGTAATTCGATAACGAATTTTTCAAAGTGAAGTCAAATTGTAACATTTGCAACTTAAGATGACATGACTAATGTCGAAATATGTTTGGTAGACTTAAAAATGTCGTTTATTTCATACAACTCCTCCCTGATGATGCCGTAGAACGGCGAAAGCTCGGAGTGAATAAAGAAAGAACCACAGTGGCACTTTAAGGCTTCATTTGATCAATATCCCACAACTATCAGAAAGTAGAAGCATGAAAAACTGATTTCACACCGAAGGAATGCCAAACAAGCGCGAGACGGCAGATTTGCAGAATGTACCCGCTCTGACTTTGAACGAGCTGATTTGCTAGATTTCGATATCACTACAAATATTCGGTTACCTAAGTTTAATTTTGAGTAATAGTATACAGATTCATATCGATCTAGGAATTCAATAAATTAGTTACTTAGTCAAAACTTCCTAAAAATCTATGACTACAATATTGTGATTGTTAAAAAGTTATTGCTAACTGACAATTATACCTTTTTTCCATTTTGATGAAGGTAATCACAGGTGGGATAAAACCAGTTCTAATAGGAACAGAACCAACGCAATTGTGCTTGATTACTCCTTATTTGGACAGGAAGCGGCCGAAAGTAATGTTCCTCTAGCTATTCGGGCATGATCTTCGAGAAGCGGAATATTCCTTTCCAACTTAGACGTACTATTTATTTTCATCGTGGACTGTTGCAGAGTCATGAAAAGCAAGTTAAAGACTGGGACTCGTTGTATGTACCTCGTGTATAGTCCTGAACAAAACCAGACAGACGCCAAGGTAAGTTTTTTTTTTTTTTTTTTATAAATGAGAGGCTAGCTTCAGAAACCGTGTAAATCTCAGCTATTAGAAGTCATGCAAAAAGAAATCAAATGCTTACAATTAAACTACAACAAAATTCTCGAACGTAATTGGTTATCACAGCCCGATTTAAGCACCAATAGAACAATGTACGCGTCATGCTTCTAATTGGAAAGTGTAATAGGACATATGAGGGACAGTTAACACGTCATATCTGCGTAAGTGGACAGAACGCGTCACATGCGCGCGCTGTTGTCTTGCATTTCGCCGAGTTAACTGTTGTTGTTGTTGTTTTTTTTTAATAAAACAGTACAACCAATGTCTAGTTTCTTTAACAAATTTTGTCATAGTTGTGATTAATTGGTAACAGGACTTCAAGTCGTCCAATTCTGTCTGTAATCATACTTGTAACTAGCAAATCGGACTCCTGGACTCCACCCGGTCCTATTACCATTATAAATCGCAATTTACCTCTGAAGCTGTAGTGGAGATTGTATTTGCGACTACATTTTTTCTATTTAAAATGATGAAGAAATGCAACTTTATCAGCTACAAATATAAAACAAATAGACATTTCTCGCGAAAACAGAAAAGAAGAAATAAAAACGTCCAAATAATTTTTCAGTAGGCACAATTTTGTGTGCAAAGAACTGAACTACACAAAACATTTTTTAAGCGATTAATCTTCGTTGCACTTTACTGACCAAATGAAGCTTCTTTTAGACTGAAATTCGTGTGCTACAGAAAATAGCTAAGCATCTTGGCTGTAAACATACTTCCCTCTATTTTGAATTCCCGGTAATTTATTCACAAAGTTTATCTTATCTTCGTGTTAGTTGGAATGCTCAGTTATAAACTGTTCATAACAGACAGTGAGTGTGTGAGGGAGAGTATAAGAAAATTAAATGTTAAATGTGTTAAAAGTAATGTATGTAAAAGTCTAACAGCACAAGTCGTCCTTCAAGCGCTCATTTTTTTTTTCAGGTTGAGGATAGTGTTTCAGTGAAAGACATTTTAATCTCAGCGGACAAGTTGGATCACAAAAAAGCAAATGGTATCATATATAGCTTGGTGAAAGAAGAAATATTACAATCTGTGTCCCCTGTGAGGATTCGAACCTCAAACAGTCTGCTCAAATAAGGCTATCCCAGCTGAGTGGGGAGTTTCGTGCGCTCCACTTGGTGCTTGTTTACTTTCGCGTCCCGAGGAGAGGTGCAGTGCAGATGGCCCATACTTCGGTCTCACCCTCTGGTACCTCGGCGTAAGCTCGAAACATTTTTGTTTTTTTTTTATTTTGTTTTTGTTTTTGATGAAACGAGAATAGTCGATAAAGGTATTAAACCCGGAGGGTGCTAGATTCATTTCGGTTGTCGCTGTAACCACCAGAGGATTGTGTCTGTATTCAAGCAGGGATTCAATTTTCTCTTTTCATCAGCATCATTGACATTCGAAGTCAAATAAATACACAAGCTGTAGCCGGTTTGGAGAGTATCTTCTTCTTAACTGAAAAATGAGAATAACAGTTGGTATTTACAGGACACAATAATGGCGACTGAAGCTTCTAGAGCTTAACGAGGGGCCAATAGAACTAATTGTCTACGTTATATTAATCCAAAAATTGAGCATCTCTTTATCAGCTGAGTAGAAAACATATTTGGGTCAACGTCCGTAAGGATTCAAACCTTAAAACTTTGCCTTCAGACGCTCAACTAGCTGGGCAGAGAGGAAATTTGGGTTGACCTTCGTGAGGATTCAAACCTCATCTGTTCAAGTTCGCTGCCAAATGCTCTTACAGCAGAGCCGGCAGGAAAAAAACTTTTGGGTAAAGGTACGTGAGGATTCAAACCTCTGACACTCCAATATTGGTATCAATTGCCTTCTCAGCTGAGCTGAGAAAGATAAGTGGGTCGATCTTGCTAAGGAATCAAACTTCAAGTAAAACCTTACAATCTTGGTATAAAATATTGAGGAGGAAAGCAAATGACTGATCGACTCTCGTGAGGATTCAAACCTCAGATCTACCGGTTTTGGTGTAAGATGCTAAACCAGCTAAATTACACAAAAGTGAAGCTTACGGAGCTCGACTGGGGGCTACAAGGACTAATTATCTTATTAATGATCTTAATCCAAGGTTATAACTCTATCTACCGTGAGGATTCAAACCTCACTTGACTCAATTTAGCTGTGGATGCACATCTAGAAGAGCAGAGAGAAAATTGTGGGTCGAAATTCGTGAGGATTCAGACCTCAGACTAACCAATATCGGTTTAAAACGCTTTCTCAGCTGAGCTGAGAAAAATTGTGGGTCGACCATGGAAAGTCATCTTCCATAAAACCGTGCAATAATCTCGGAATAAAATGCCAAGGAGGGAAAGGAATGACTGGTCGACTCTCGTGAGGATTCAAACCTCTAAACTACCGATTTTGGTGTCAAATGCTCGACCAGCTTAATTATACACAAAACTCTTGAAGTTATTGTTCCTATCTCATACTAAGAATTGTGTTATATTTGCTTCTTGAGTGTGTTATAAACAGATGATGTATACATGCAGTTTTTATTTTCCTGGAATTAAACACCTGGTAAAATCAAGTTGGTATGGAAGGCAGTGATGAAAGAGAATAATCAACAGAGCTCTGCGTGTAACGGGTGTTGCCTAGCTTTTAAGGTAAGAATGACATGAGATACAGCGATTGTTGTTGAAATACGTACAAGCTGTACAAGTTATAAAATACCCGTATCTCTACGGTTGTAGTGAAGATATTAGCTGTAAATAAATATCATCCTCGGCATTAAATAAATAGGATTTAGCAATATACAGTCCACGAGGTGGCTCTTCTGGTCCACTGTTCCAGGTCGAATTGGAATTTGCACTCTTCTTTTTCAGCTTAAAATCCAGTTTAAAATGGTATCATATATGGCATGGTGAAGAAGAATCATTGCAATCTGAGTCCCCTGTGAGGATTCGAACCTCAAGCAGTTAGCCCAAGTTAAGCAATGCCGGCGACTTAGTGGAGAGTTTCATGCGCTTCGCTCTGTGCTTGTTTTCTTTCAGGTCCCGAGGAGATGTATAGCGCAGATGCAGTGAAGCTTGTTGAAGTGTCTACATAAAGTATATTCAGCAGCAACTAGAAGAAAGAGTTTAAGAGTTGTCTTCCTCGTGCATTATGTGTTCATCAATAGTGAAAAACAGATGAAAAGTCGCGGTGTTCGCACTTCAAGTGTTCCTCAAGAGAGGGTGTCAGTTTAAATGGTTGAGGTGTATATGCATCATATGGTTATCAACAAGGAAGCAGTTTAAAAGTTGTAGTGTCTATCCATCTTATGGTTATCAACAAGAAAGCAGTTTAAAAGTTGTAGTGTCTATGCATCATACGGCGGTTATCAACAAGGAAGCAGTTTGAAAGTTTTGGTGCCTGCACATCGTAAGTTTATTACCAAGGAAACAGTTTGAGAGTTATGGTGTCAATGCATTATAAGTTTATTACCAAGGACGCAGTTTAAAAGTTGTGGTGTCTATGCATCATATGGTTATCAACAAGAAAGCGATTTGAAAGTTACGGTCTCTGCATCATGTGTTTATCAACGAGCAAGGAATTAAAAAGTTGCGGTGTCTATAGATCACGTGTTCATCACCATGGAAGCAGTTTAACCCTTGCACCACTGCAGCGTCTCTTCATCATATGATCATCACAAGAGAAGCAGTTTTAAAAATTGCAGCGTCTAAATATATATATATATATATATATATATATATATATATATATATATATGTGATATGTGTTCATCAAAAAGTAGAATAAGTAGCAATAAAACAAGCGATAAATAAATCAATAAAAAAATTATAATTTTATCAATAAAAGATACTTAAACAATAAATCAATCAAATACAAACTAACCCCTCCCTACTTACTCAACCATCCCTGAAAGACTCCACACTTTTCCGCACCCCTTAGAAATTTACCCATATTGAATTTATTTTGGGTTTCAAGTCCTAATGATCGTTCAATCGTTCGATGTAAGGCGCAAAGAAAATAGAAATTAGTACCGCTACGATAATCCCGACATCCCCTTTCAGACGTCGGATTCCGGACCTTCGATTTTTGCGTTCGGAATTTTACTTCCGACTATCGAATTCTAATTTTCCGATTTCCGGCTTCGGCCTTCTAATTTCCGTCACCAGAAATTCGGATTTCGGACCTTCGCTTTCGGAGTTCGGAATGTTACTTGTGACTATCGATCTCTTCTATTCCGACTTCTGGCCTCAGACTTCTTATTTACGACTTCTTGTCCTCTAAGACTCGAACGTCTTAATCTCTGACTGCGAAGTTTAGACATCCGACCTCCATTTCCAATTGCTACAACTCGACCTTCGACTAAAATGCTCCTTTTTTCCGATTTCGACCCTAAAGTGCCATTTTCAATGTCCACTAGGTGCAATTTTTAAGGAACTTCAGTGTGGCTATTATTGTGCAAGTAAAGTTGGCGATTTAAGGAATGTTTAACGTGACCATCTCCCTTGAACTGCGAATAAAGTCAATTTTTTTTTAATTTAAAAAGAACTTTACACATAGATATTAAAAACTGATGATAATTTTTCACTTTTTAATTAAATAGAGCGATTTAAAAGACCAGAGTAATGAAGGATTGTTTGTATGGGAGGCTGCGGTTGGTTGTTTATATTGATTCAGTGGAAGACGTAGGAAATAAAATAATTATTATGTTAGTTCGTGTATCTTAAAATCCTTTGGATATATCGTTTTTAGTCTTAAAGTTCAAAAGGCTTCCGCGGCCTGGCCTTGTCATTGTTAACGCGGGATCCACTGTGATTGGCTAAAGCTGTAGTGGTCTCCCTACCTGAGATAATTAGGCGAAGCTAAATAAATTTTAATTAATATCCTTTTTTCGCCCAGCTTTACGCAAACAGGAGTGTCTTGAGCTTTGCTGAGGTGGTCATTTGATCTTAGCGACTGAGAGGCACTACTAATCAGAAGCAAGCAATATTTCAGAACCTGTCGACAAACCTTTTTGAGGTCACTGTCTCGCTCACCTCTTCAATCAATCCAGAAATTGACATCATAAAGGAAATTGATTGTCTTGTGCAACGTAAACGGAGAACGAGACAGAAAAGAAACATCCCTGTCGCAGTAGTGTTAGCCTTGCACTTCACTTGAATTCTGATAAGTGCAAAGAGCTTCGGATCTCATTTTCTAAAAGGCCCGGGTTCTTTGATCCCATAGTAATTGAAGGCAAAGAGTTGGAGGTAGTTGGTAGCGTAAAGATCCTGGGCCTTAATATAGCTAGCGATTTGACCTGGAACAGTCATATATCAGAAGTAATCAAAAAGGCCAGTAAGAGGTTGTATTTTTTAGTGCAACTAAAGAGAGCTAGGGTTCCCTTACAAGACCTAGTACTTTTCTACACATCATGTGTAAGATCTGTAACAGAGTACGCGATACCTGTCTTCTATAATGCGCTTCCGCAATATCTGAAGAATGAGCTTTTACGTATTGAGAAACGGTCAATTTCCATTATAACTGCGGGTGATTGCGCGGTTGCTCAAGATTTAGGAATACGACCCATCTTAGAACATTACGAATTTCTATGTCAGAAGCTTTTAAAGGTATCTTAGACAACCCTAGCCACAAGTTAAAGGCGCTTCTTCCACCCATACATAAACCCAGCTATAACTTCAAAAATAAGCGCCAATTTAATATGCCACGCCTTCGCACTTCTAGAACGATGAACACTTTTATATTTGCTATGGCAAGGAGGTTTAATGGCTAGATTTTTATCGATACGATATCCTTTATTTTTGTTACGGCACGCGTGATAATTATAGTAATAATAATGATAATGATAATGTAGATACTTTTAATTAATTTAAATTTATTTTAATTAGTTTACATTTATAGCTAATGTATTTTATTTAATTTATTATTATGTTATTATATTGTAAATTGCTGGTATAATAAGACGTGTAATTAGGTTTTTGAATTTTAAATTTTAAATTTCTTGGATTGTAAAAATGTGTAATTCAGCCCTCGGGCTGCAAATGCATTTGAGATTAAACTATCTATCTATCTATCTATCTATCTAATCCCGCGACATAATATAGCTTCCCAGCGTGGAGGACCATAAAGATGTTTGTTAGTAACAGATTGACTCAACATAAAATCTGTTATTTGATAACTTTCTCAGTTCTCCTCACCCGTCTGCATTGCCAAGTACTAAATTTAAAATGAGAATTTATGTGGCAGTCATTATGGCTGTGAGGTTAGCTTACTTTGGCCTTAGCTAAATTATCCATTTTATACTCAATTTCGAGCGGGACTGACTCGTACATGCCGAAATCTGACTTGTCGAATTGTCGTGATATGATAGCAGCTGGCTACGAAAAATTTTGCAACTGTTCATGGTAGATAGTATCGAGTTTTTTTGTAAAAGGGCAGACAAAAATGTCAATTAATCGCTTAGCTTTTCTTCACGTCAGTCAGGAATTAGACAAATGACTTCAAATCCTTCGATTCCATACAATTACAACTCCGTATCTTGCGTGTTTCATACATCTTGCATTAATAGGAGTAAAATGCCTTCCAACTTTCTAGAGACACTTCTCTGATTTTTTCATTTTAACGTAAACTCATGTGTGATTGCAAAACAGAAAAGAGACCCAGAAAATTTAAAACTTTTTTAATGATAGAGATAACAATGTCCTAATTAGGTTGGAATTTGTTATGGAGACAAAAGCATCTGTTCTGTTTGCGAGCCAACCTGGTACAATGCATGTTTACAAATCGTTATCAGTTTTTAGATTTTAGATATTGCCTGCTCATGGTACAGGTGAAAATGAAAAGTAGAGAAACGTGTGTGGTTAAAAAATAGCTTACATATTATTAAACACGAACCAGTAGCCTTGAAATGCGTTATTTCGAAACTTATACTTTCATACTATATGCGACCCAATCTGCCAAAAAAGTACAGTATCGTCATATTAACGATTTCTAGTAGAATGTAATTTATACTGAAATATACCATTAAGAAAAACGTTTTGAATATCTCATTTTTTATCAAGCTATAATCTTCTGTCATTGATCTTTCGACCTCTCCCAAATTTCTGAGATTTGGGGGCTGCTATATAAGGGTTTTTTTTGCATTGATTACGACACTCTTGTCCTGAGCTGTTTGCAGAAAAGAAGGTACGTTCGTTTGCGTCTCTCCTCGGAACAGAAACACCATGGCAAACAGACCAAAGGGATTCGGAATGTCTGCGGATTTAGCTCGCAAGGTAATAGGTTTTATTATATTATAAAGCCAAGTGTTTCAAAGAGCGGGCAGACGCGGGGTATTTTGAAGAGAGTCAGGTACCAAAGCACCTCACTGTGCTGCTACGACCGTTGCACTCTGTCGGCAAGATGAATGCAAATAAATGCTTTTGATAGCGTCAATTTTCTTTAATGGTTACATAAAAGTAGCCTTTTCACCAAGATTAACGATTCAAAATGATTAGCAAAGTTTTAAATTGAAATGGTTTCTCAGTTTGTTTTGTATCAGCTCCACCACCCCTCCCGCATCGTCTGGAGTCTTTTTTTGTAAGGAAATTGGCACTTTCGTTGGCAGTTTTGGTTGCAAATCATTGGTGTAAGTCACCTTGTTGTCGTTACAGTGATGTTTTTGCTTTCTTGACTTAAATCAAGACTTGTCCTTTAAACAGACATTTTCTGCGAACTTGAGAAGTGAACTCTCGCGAATGAAGCAATGCAACCGTTGTCGTAGTTTTATCAGACCTATTTTTGAACATAGACATGAAAAGGTGGAAATTCTTTTATATGAGTTAAGTAATAGTGCAAAATCGAAAAACAAAGCATTACAGTAATGATACTATAAGGTGACAGACCTCAGAAAAATACCAACAGAGATTTTTTATTGAGGTCAATGGGCGGGTCACACTAGGAACTATTTGGTAAAGCACGCTGAAAGCGCTGATGTGTTGGGGTTACTAACGGAACCTCTCGTAGCACTACAACTAGTTAAGTACCTCTCAATACCATTATAATTAGCTAAATTTTCGAAATTTTGTTCAGACACGGACGACGAGGGTTACCGATTAGTACACGAAGGTGCACTGAACGAAAAGCAAATTCCTTGGACAATATTTTCGTTCCGCCGCGCGCTAAAGCTTTAATAACAAAAACATCACAAAGCACACGAGATAACCAAAAAGTTATTTCACTACCGAGCAACACTGCACCTCTTAAAATTCGATCCCCTTCGTCAAGCAAGGAATTTCTTCTTTTTCTCTCTTCTTTAAAGTATGCAAATTTTATAGAAGAAAAGAGAAGCCTCTTGGTTTGCTTTACATTCAGCAATTAATGGATCAATACAATCGTGATTATTTATATTTGTTGCGTCTCAACAATGCGAGGTCTAACTCGCCTGGCCCCACAGGACTCGAGGGACTGGGTAAGAAATTTTTCGTCCCTCTCTCTTTTTCTCTCCTACACGAGATGGCTGATGAACGGGAGCCCTCAGCTTTTCCCGGTATTTTTGTTGCACAATTCAATCAATTGTTTTGAGGAATACTGAACTATCCGTGGAAGCTGTTTGGAGGTAGAGGTCCGTGATGTTGTTCTTAGGATTACAATCAGAAAAAATGCGAGCTATTTTCATGAATATTAATGTTTAAGATTATTTCTCTATTAAGCTTAACCCCTCAACTCCTAACATGTGGTTGCTAATTCTCCCTTCTAGCTGAATCACATTTTCTTGTAAATAAGTTACAAGAATTTCGTGTTAGGTCAAGATAACAACCTCAACCTGATAAGTCTGATTGTTCTCCTCATCTTTTTTGATAGACAATGTTTAAATATTATAGGGAGAAATTGCATGTTAATCGCTTTTGGCAGTTGAAGGGTTAATATTTATCGTCAGATCTTGTACTCCCTTCAGGAATCTTAAGGTTTTCGTTTTTTCTTGGCAGGCCGCAGCCAAGTATGACAGTCAACAAGAAGCAAATGCTATTGAGTGGATTGAAGCTGTTTTGGGTAGAAATGTGTTTGGTGGTAAATGTGGGCAAGATCATGTTCATGAGGTGTTGAAGGATGGAACAGTCCTTGTCGAGTTAGTATTGTAGTTTACCAGGATTTTTTTTAATGCCAATGGTTCCAAACTTGGGAATGGTATTAAATCCTTCTTTAACCCTTTACCCTCCAACATCTGTATTCATATTCTCCTTACTGTCCTTCTACATTTTCTATGATACTGAAAAGGAGAATTTGTTTGAGGATCAGGAGCTCTCCAAAGTAGTGATCATTTCCTGTATTTTAATGACCTTAATGTTTGATTCAAGGATGATACTGTAAAGAGAAATTAGAAGCTGATCACTCTTAGGGGTTAGACTTACCTTAATTGAAATATTTTCCCAAATTCAAGGTGGAAATTGTTGATTATGTACCAGGTTGAGAGCATACTAGAATCCAATGTTATTTTCTTGCAGACTGGCTAATGCACTTCGCTCTGCAGACCCTTGTAATAGCCTAGGCTGTACAGTGAAGGGTAATACAAGTACTGCTCCCTTCAAACAGGTTTGTTGAGATGTTAGTTAAGATCTAACTAGAGCATGAATTACTTTGTAACTATTTAAAGGTAGAAAACAGAATCTTCAGGATATGTGCCTTTTCTGAATCTGGGAAAAAAATTATTTGATTTCAATAAATGGCCCCTCAACAAAGCTAACTGCTTCAAGCTTAACAAGCTCTTCAGGTGGACATTTGTCATTCTCATAGGCCCAATCTCTCATGGAACATTAGAGGGCTATTACAACTGCCATCTTTGAGTTTGCAAGCAATTTTGAAAGTGCTCAGTTGTTCAAAGGCTGATTAGTACCAACCCAGGGTTAAATCTTAATCAGGATTTTGGATTATTTTCTCTACTTTTTTTTTGAGAATCCAATCATTAAATTGTAGACAAAAAGAATTATTCTGAATTCTCTTTTAGGCATTAAGATCTGAAATCAGATTTCACACTAACTCTTATTTATCTTAACCCAGCTTTTAAAAACTGGCATAGTACTTTATCCAGAGTTGTCTGCTGTGATTTTCAGATTTTCACCCATCCTCTTTTTTCCTTTCACTGATCCAATAAAAGTTGATGGGTGCCTTGAATTGGGGAGGGGAGGGGAGGGGGGGAGGGTCAAAGGAATTCATCAGCCATGGGATTAGTTTTTTTTTCTGGGAACAGTAGGCTGGACACAAAAAAACACCCTGGATACCCTAGCACCCACCTTCCATTTCAATTAACTGAGGTAGTGGTAAATATATTGATTTTTCTTCTAGATGGAAAATATTGCAAATTATCTAAGTTTCTGCTCAAAGATGTTGGGAGTAGAGGCTTCTGATTGCTTTCAGACTGTAGACCTGTATGAAAAGCAAAACATGGATAATGTAAGATGTTTTATTTCATAACAAGTTGTTATCATTTTATTTACTTAGAATAGTTAACAATTATTCACCAATTAAGTGGCAGTGAATAGTGGTGGATATTTACCAACACATAAGTGAATAACCATTTTAGTATATTATACATAGATAGCAAAAATGTTGTTCCTTTCTTTCTAAAACAAGTGGAAATGAAATTGTTGATGCAAAATTTTGTCTCTTCGCTTGCTTGGAGGGGAATTGTACTTGCTATTCACCTTAATTAAAACCAGCCAATCAGCGGGTATAAAAAGCACTAATCACCTGTGTGGTGTATACTAGTATTGGATATGTCTAATGCAAGCCAGAAAATGTGATTAAGGATCTAACATCTAGGCTTACTTACCTAGTTGACTTATGGGTACCTTAAATTATTCCTTATTGAGATTGATCAGTACAGGTATCAATATGATAAGGCTTATGCTTCAGATTAATGTTACTACCATGGCAACTTTTTATCTAATGACCATCAGATATATTTCAATCACTAGCTGACAAAAGTGGGATATTTGATAGGACCTGTATGGGGTTTAAGGACTGAGGCAATTTTCAAAATATTATGTACCACAAGGAATGCTCAAAAATTTGTGGTTAATTAAACAGATTTTTTCATACTGATGTCACAACAATCAGTCAGAGAAATATTTGCAATTCAGGCTTTATGCTCACGACAGCTAAAAGCATGTGTAATTCATTTACTTCCAGTACCGGTACATGGCTTGTTTCGTGATTTTATTACAACACAGAACAACATAAAACAAGTACTTAGTACCTCAATTAGTTTTTATATTTTAATCAACCAGAATCAACCCTTTACTGTTTAGTACTGTTTTCTATATGTTTCCTAAGGTGCTGACAAGGAGAATTTGTTTATCAATCGAGAGAATGCGTAGTTGGTGATCATATCTCTAATTCTCATGACCTTACTGTGTGATGCAGGGGTTACACTGTTGGGAGAAACTAGATGTTATTTACTCTCAGGGGGTTAAAATTTTTAAGGAGATCATAATTTTTTTTGCAGGTCATTAAGCAGATAAATGCAGTTGGACGTAAGGTAACATAAAAATATTATTCCATATTTTTCAGTTATTGGGAGATATGAATTCTTTATGATCAGTGATAAATTAAACAGTCAGCTTGTTGAAGGATTTTCGTCACTTGATTGCTATGATTATTCTTGCATTCTTATTCACTCATCAATATGAAGTTTATCAGACTGCATTCTACTGATCACTTTTAGGATAGAAAAATAATGCAAAGCAAAAATCCAAGATTATTTAGGAGTGATTTTAATTTTTTAAATTTTGTGATAATGAAGGCTGATGCATCTAAGTTGTAACATCTAGTGAAACATCTCAGTTAAACCTATACTTTTACTCACTCATTCAATCATGTGTACCCTGGGCAGGCTCAAGCAAAAGGTTTAAGTGTTCGCCCATTAGGACCCAAGGAGGCCACTGAAAACAAACGTGAATTCACAGAAGAGCAACTCAAGGAGGGAAAGAATGTCATTGGAATTCAAATGGGAACCAACAAACTTGCCTCGCAAGCTGGAGAGCATTTTGGCCGTCCCAGGCAGGTTGCTGGGCATGATGCCTATAATTAAGATTCTGGCAGAAACTTTACTAAAAGGACAGTCATGGCTGGCTTTGAAACTTTTTATTTTGGTTGAGTAAATTTAACTATTCTGTGGAGATAAGAGATAAAGATAAAAGACTACAAATTATTGTTTACTTTCAATGAAACTAGATTGATGCTGTTACATGTTACATTGCTTTCTTATATTTTAAACTTTATCTAAGTTGTTGTAACTCAAAGTTAGAATAAGTAAAACGTAACTGATGTGTTTTTCAAATTAGGTAAACTCAATGTTAACTGATTATTACAACTGCATGATTATTGTTTATCATTCTTACAATCCAGCTATAGTTCTGTCTAGATTTTATTAGCAGTCATTTTATACAAGATTTTGATTGTGTTGATTCTGAAATGTAATATCTTATGTGGCTTTCAAAAGTGTTGGCAAGTGGCATTTTATTGTTTATGATAGTCTTAAACCCAACCTTTTAACTCCCAGAAGTGACTTACATAAAACTTCTCTACATAATATCCAGACATTATCTAGCAAACAGCTGACAAGAGTTCTCAAACTTATCAGGTAGAGGTTTTTTATCTTGATATAAAACCAAATTCTTATAACTGATATACAGGGAAATTTGTAGCAACCACAGGGGAGAATTAACAATGAGATCCTAGGTGTTTAAGGATAACTTTTGCCATTTGGTGAAAGTTACAATTTTTTACCCACTTTACATTGTTCAATTTTTATTTTAAATTTGTACTTTGGTCAAAGGTCTTGAAATTCTTTTGAACAGATCTTTTTATACACAGATTTCTTTTCTTCCTGAAAATACCAGATGCTATGTAAGATGAGTTAGGGAATTTGAGAAATTAATAATAGTTTATCATTCAGGTTTTGTGATACACTGAGTAAACATGCAAGGTTAAAAGAATCAAGATATTAAAAAACACTAATGGTAAAATTGCTGTGATCAAGACAAAATTACTCCTCACAATATCATCAGTATATCAGGTAGACAAGTGATGAGAATAGAGAAAAATATCAAGTAGGAGATTATAAGTTGATCCAATACAAACTTCTCAGAACTAACCTTTAAAGAATTATATGAGAGACATTAAGGAGAATTACTAGTGAGATCTTGGGGGTGAACTGGTTAAACGCAAGGGCACCATGTTTTGGATCAGGAGAGTAAGATTGGATAAGGTAGTGGGTTGATAATTTTAATAATAAGAGTACTGGTATTTAAAATTTGTTGATAGGGTTAGCTGTTAAGAAAAGGCCATTGCCAAATTCAAAGGTCATGATAAATTTAGCTGTTGTACCCAACCAAGAATAGTTAGGATACTTGTCAAAACAAACCAAGTACATTTACTGTTAAGTTTTCAGAAATAAATTTAGTATAAAGTTAAATAAAGTGCTTTTGTACACCAATTTTTTGTGGGTTGATCTAGTTAGGGTATCAACTCCACTAGAATCACTTGTCCAATTCTACACTCAGTTATAAGAGCAGCTCATGAATCACTTATTCAACCAATTTTTGGTAAGTTCATTTTTTATATTCATTTCAACAGTGTTAGCTTGCTATTTTGTTTAATTTTATTTAAGTGTACATGCTCTATGACTTAACAAAAGAAGACCCTCAAAAGTTGTAAAGGGCTGGGGTGGTTAAACTGAAAACATGGTACAGAAATTGAGAATCCAAGACTTGTGTAGAGGTTATGGCAAGAGGTATTCAAACATTAAACCAGGCATAGGTTGATTCACATAGAAATGAATTATAGGGAATTTATCATGGAATGGATAATTCCAGTAAATTAAGGGATGTTTGGAATTGGGTAGTTAATAACAGCAGTTGGAAGACTTGTGCAGGTTGTTGAAAAGAAATTGTTGTTTTGCTTGGCTGAATTTTTTGTAATACTACTTATATACTTCCTTGTCACATTCATGTGATCACAATTGACAATTGTACTTTATGTTGGATTTCTGAACAGCTTTTTGATATCAAAGCAAATTTATAATCTGCACATTTGTATTTTATCTCCTCAGGCTGGAGTGAAGGGCTTAACAGTCCCTTGTCTGGGCCCAAAAGAGGCTCAAGCTAACGTGCGGGAATTTACAGAGGAGCAGCTCAAGCAGGGCCAGAATGTTATTGGCCTCCAGATGGGATCCAATAAAGGTGCCTCACAGTCAGGTGACCATTATGGTCGTGCAAGGCAGATTGCTGGTGACGCAGCGTATAATTAATGGGCCATGGAACCATGGAAAGCAGTGACAGAAATCAATCTTGGACTCCTCGTTTGTTGGTAGAATATTCAATAACAGTAGGTAATAGGTAACCTTTGACATATAAAGGACAGAATATGGGCATGATGTATCTCAAGTTACCACTTCCTGTTCTGACTGAGAACAAATATCTGATAAGCTTCAAGAACCTCACCAAGTTTCATATAACTTTTAAGTATATTGGCAAATATTCAAGAAAGATTATTGGTTTGTCAAGACAGCTTTATAGAACTTACAAGGCAAGTTTGATTCCTGCCCTCTGATCATTGTAGTGCTATGAAAATTCTCTCTTCTACAAGTGCATTCATGATCCTTTTTAGGAGAGGACCTGCTGTGCTCTGAAATCAAGCCAGAACTTTCTAGAGATTTAAATTTAGTACAACTACTCAGATGCTTATAGAGCACACTGATAACAATAACATAATTTGCTCTAATCACCCTACCTGAGTTACCGCAGTATAGAAGCTTTCTATTGGTTAATTGCTGATACAAAAATCTGAGTAGAGTGGTGATGAATCACATCAATTATTCAAAGAAAATAAGAAAAATAACTGACAACAATTATGTAAAGGATTCTTGAGGAATCATTTCTAACATCAGTATTTTTTCGCTCTGTTCATGTGGGTTGGTGTCTTCCTATTTGGCTAGAATTCTTGAAACAATTTGCATTGTAGAGGAAATTTTTGAATTGCGTAGCAATCTATGGTGGTTTTAAGGTAGGAATTTATGGTTTTAAGGTAGGAATTTAAAGAATTTTTTTCCCCTAATATGGTCATGTCTGAAATTATGGGAATTTTAATCTTGTAGGATTACATATTAATGATAATTATTACCAAGTGGATGTAACAAACTAACACACCCTAAACAGTGCAGAAAAAAATAAAGGTTCGTGAAAAAATGGCTTTGTTGGTTCAATGAATTTTCATGTGACTGTCATCACTTTCAGCAATTTGCCTATTGATCAACACACCTCTGAAGGTCCATAAATTAAATCGTTATTGCTGAGTTTAGTTCGGCTATTTCGGTTTATTTGTTATACCTATTTTTAAAGGAAGTCTTGGAATTGAAGCGATCTGTTGAGTTCCCTTTCTAGATCCTTCCTTCACATTTAAGAATATCTAACGGAAATGTCTGAAATGTATGGCACGATGATTGAGGCGGAGCAGCATAGACTGATGACGTAACGGCGTAATTTGGGAGTCAATTTACGCTTTCGCCTAATATAAAGCCACCAGCTTGATCTCAGAGTCTAATTCTATCAACTCAACTTCTTTGTCAGACGTTGCTTGTTAAGGAACTCACTAGAATGGCTTCTCGACCTAAAGGATTTGGTATGACGGCTGAACTGGCGCGAAAGGTAAATGCTGGAAACTATTGAACTGATCGATGTTCATTTTGCTCAGGCGTAGTTCCATTTTACAATTTTGGTTTCGACTCTCCTATTTTGAAGGATGCTAATCCTTTGTAATGTCAAATTTCCCTTATTCGAAGATAGTTTCTTTCCAGCGAGACATAGAAGTGATGGTTGTTGAATTTCGGTGAAAACCTCCCCGGTTCAGCTGTTGTCTGCGGTTTATTGCTCGATTAAATAGTACAGAGGTTTGGGCGCGGTGATGGCGAATTTGCGGACGTTCACTTCAAATTGTATTTTTGCATTTATGGTTGGATTCCATTGTGGATTCGTTGATAAAAACTATCTTGATAGCGTTTAATTTTTTTCAAGGGAGGCTTTAACGTAAATGAAGTCGCGCAACGTGGTCGTAATTTTGTTACCGTCCTATTTTGATGCATTATAAATAAGCGGTGGGTGACCATTGCATCGTCATGTTTGGCTTTGTGAGGAAAGGTATTGCTGATTGATTACTGCATTAATGTTTCACTAACTTCTTCGAACTTGCTCTACTGCTTTGAAAAATTCGAAATATTGATTGCAAACAGCCTTAACCCGGACGATAATTCCATTCTGTCTTTGCACCCTTGTGGATAAAATTTCAATACGCGGATTTTTTCTCCTGTTGATGTTTACCCTCTTAGCTTAAATGTCAAAAACAAATGTAAGGCAAAGTAAAGCGGAATTTCTTGACTGATGCAGAAACTCTCTTAAACGTACCCGATTAGTGTATCTATTCTTGCGTGCCTGAAGCAACTTTGGTTTATCTCGAACGGAATTCGACATAGTAAATTTATACGATAATGGTTTAACAGCTGTCACTACACGTGTCACACAATTATTTCATTTGTCAGTTTATGCCTCGTAAAATCGATGAAGCAGTGAATAACTTGATTGTTAACTGTACCACCCCATCTTCCAAAATCGACTGCTTTCAGGGGTTTAATTGGGAAAAGCATCTTGTATCCGAAAAAATGAAAGAAAAATTGAATAGACAATTGTGGTTTCACAAGTCCTTCATGCATGCCAAGTTGCGTGACGCAAACTTGTGGTAAAAACCAATGGTAAAAGTCGCCTTTGACTCATACATCGCTAAACATTTGCATACTAATCTTGTCTACAAACTTGACGTTATCTCCTCTCGGCGCATGATTTACTTTAAAAGAAAAATATTGAAAGGCCATCCAGTTGTCCTAATCAACCATGAACAATGATTGGCTAGTTGAAGTTTTCATTTGGGAAATGAAAACAGTACGCTTTTAAGAAAGTGAAAAAAAAACACAATGTGGCGTTTCACAACACAATTACAATCGATTAGTGGGCCGCTATAGTGTAATTGAAGGTCCATTTGATTCAAAGATGTGCCTGCTAGCCTATACTAAGGGCAAAGTGTCAGTGAGGGAAACGAGAATTGCAATTCGCCCTTTGCCCTGTATTTCTTTCTTTCTTAGTTTTTGAGAATATGATTTCATGTCAACACCTACTTGATTGGGCTGTTTGTTCTGATGGAACGTTTGCTGCATGGAGGGCTTTGCAACTGATTATTGTTAAACGAAAAATCAAGGTAATAACGGCGGAAAATCAGAAGCAACGAAAAATTACCAGGAGCAAATCAGTACTAAGTTAAAACAAGCAAACTCTCCAAAGTGCGGGAATACGCGAACGACCAAGTCATGATTGGTTATAGTTTTACATCTAATTGGTTGAGAAGGCATCAATAGTTTTCTGGACCAATAAATAAGCGCGGTAAAGCGAACCCAGTGTAATTTCGGATTATTTTCATAGCACTAAGGGGTAAGGAGAAAATACCTTTTAATATTTTTTAGTAGTTAAGTTTACAGGTCAAGTACATCTTCAGGGTTCTTGATTATCGGTAAGAATCTGACCAAGAGACGGTTTTAAATGAATGGGAAGGTCAAGAGCTAGGAAGAGTATTTAAAGAAAGTAAGGGCATTGGATATGCTAGAATTTGGATTTAATTTGCATAAGACACACTTACAATAAAGCCATAATAAATAATACTGAGATTTGACCTTGACACATCAAACAGCGTGAATGGTTCTCTTTTTGCGGCTTATTTTGTCGCCAATCGGCATTTTGGCTTAGTATGTTCACAAGGGGTTTCCGCAGTAAGACGCACAGTTCACGTAAAGTAATAACTCTACCAATATGAAATAGATAGTTATGGATGCTTAAATTCTTTGGGTCAGAATATCCGAACCGCCCTATAGTGCATGTTGAACCTAAAAATAGGTTGCAGTACAGCCTTCCCTTCTTTTTTTCGTCTTCTGAATGGACTTCGCAGTCCATTGATGATCGTGTTTGAACCGGGTAGGAAGACTTAGTGTAGAGAGGGTGCATTTTCTTGTTTTATTGGATAAGTATTGGAAAATACGGCCGACGAATTTCTTTAAAGGTTTTGTTCATCAAATAGTAGGTCCTGCAGTAGCATTTTTCGAAGAAAGCGTACCTGGCGCGTGCATGAAAATTCATCGGAAAGTTTCATGGTGATCTAGTCTTACAACAAGTGTGACCTTATAACAGTGACCCCGTCGCTGTATTTTCAACCGCTGATCAAAATTTAGCCAGCAATTCTATGATTCTATCTGTAGTAAAAATAAACCTCTATGTACCCCTGTAAGTGATGAGCGAGTTGGCTTTTAGCGCGAGGAAATTGGAATATCAGCGAAAAATTACTATCGTTCTAAACCTCATCACACTTAAGGCACTTGACATTGCTCATACTAATGGTATGATGAATGCGTGTTAAATGTGAACCTCGTAATGGTCCTGCTCACCGTAGAGTCTCTGTGGCTTAGAGGTAGAGCAGCGAGCGCGAAATATGAGGGTCTGAGGCTCGATTCTTCGTGAGGACGTAGACTTTTCTTTGCCTTAACCTCCGGGCAAGATGAAAAACATCTTTCTCTATTTCTACAACGAATTAAAAAAAATTACCAACTTTCGTGTTCTAACTTCACAATCTTTTTTATTGCAGAAAGACGCAAAATATGATCCAGAGCTGGAAGCTCAAATAAGAACCTGGATCAATGCAGTTCTTGGTGGAGAAGTTCTTAAACCAGAGCCTGATCAAAAAGATTTCCATGAATCATTGAAGAGTGGGGATATTCTTGTCGAGTATGTTTGAAAGGATCCTATTCATTTCAGTTTTTAGCAGTTGTGCTCTTCTCTGATTTCCAAAATGTCTTTTTCATTCGCAATGGATTATTCGTTGTAGGCCCTTCGAGAAGTTGAACGCGGGAAGTGGTTAATTCTCAGAGATTGATCGGAAAAAAAGCGCTGCACGCCGTCTTTTGGTGGTTTTTCCCTGAAAAGAGAAACCAGCTGATGAAAGTGTACCATTTTAGGAAGTGAAGTAGTTTATATCTGGTAACAGCCCCAATGGACAGTCCATTGCGAGACAATCAACGGAAAATTTGTTTTAATCGCTTTTTCTTTTTTTATATATCATTTGCAGTCTGGCAAACGCGCTTGGTGGAAAAATAAAGAAGAATCCAAGCAAGATGGCTTTCAAAATGGTAAGTTTGTGAGAAAGTGAGAATTAAATTTCTCCGTCTGGGCAGGTTCTTTTTTGAGCATTTCACGCGGAGAAACTTGCAAATCTGAGCGCCTTTTGTTCTACACACAAGAAACTCTGGTCGTGAAAAGTAGAATTGTATCGTGCTATATTATTTATGTGAAACTCGTCCAGATTTAACGGGAAGACGGTGGTTTGCCTTAGTTTAAGGGTAGGCTAGGAATCTACCTCACTGACTGTATATGCTTGCCTTTGTAGATGGAGAAAATTGGACAATTTCTGGCTTTCTGTGATGAACTAGGAGTTCCTAAAAGTGATATATTCCAGACTGTGGACTTGTATGAAGGACAGAATATTCCTCAAGTATGTCATCTCAATTGTGAGGTTTTATGTGGAACATGGTGTTAAGTTACGTTCTGTGCACTTAATAAGTGTGCTGTGTTCTCATTACTTGCCCGTGTGATAAGTGAGCAATTAACAATTTATAACTGTATAAATGTTTGCTTATTTTTTTTTCATTAGGTCATCAGTGGACTGCATGCTTTTGCGCGGAAGGTAGGTCTAGAATACCTTTATTATTATTATCATAATTATTAGTAATGGTAATAGGAGTGAGTGGAGTCCAATTCGGTCTGTAATCGTGCGAGTGGTAGCAACATTGGACGAGTGCGAAGCAGTCTCTTTTTTTAAGTTCAAAATTAATGAAGAAGAAACATGACGATGATAAATCTTTTTTATGTAGTATGTAAAAAGACCAGTGTTAGCTAATAAGGCATGTAGGATTTGGATTTCAAAAAAAAGTTTAAGCTTTGATTATCACCAACTACAGTATTATTGTTATTATTACTATTATTATTTTTATTATTATCATTATGATCATCATAGTCACCAACAGTTCCTTACTTGCATTTTTCTCTAATGTAAAATTACCCAGGCTCACTCGATAGGAAAACCAGTCCCTCCGTTAGGACCCAAAGAAGCGACAGCAAACAAGCGCGAATTCACAGAGGAGCAACTCAAGGAAGGACAGAATGTGATCGGGCTCCAGATGGGTAGCAACAAAGGTGCCTCGCAGTCGGGAGACCATTTTGGCCGTCCCAGACAGGTGGCCGGGTCAAATGTCTACAAATGAGGTCCAAAACTTGTGTGTGTTCTTCAGAACATAAATTTGTCGTGGTTCATGACAAGGTTGTAATTTGTGGGAAGAACAAGATTCGGTATTTCGTGCATAAGATATATGTAGTGTATTTATACGTTGATTCAGTAATCGTTTCCACTTTGATCATTTGATACTCCTGTTTCTTAATTGTTGGCGTTGAAGAACTTTCTAGAATGATTTAGTTTTGGACAAATAAATTGCTTGGATTTGTCAGTGTTTTAAATTATTTTCTCCTGTTTTTGCAGGGGTTATCGAGTAACCTTTCGTAGAATGAAAAGCGTGACAGGGAAGTAAAATCAATGTTTTCTAAGATATGAAAAGAATAAAGAAAATCTTGTCCAGAATTTTTAACGAGATATACGAGTGCAATCTGTGCAAGCTTTCTCATCCTCAGCCCTTTACACCTTAACATCAGTATGCATATTCTCCATACTGTTCTCTGTACTTTTACTGACGTGCTGACAAGGAGAATTTGTTTAACAATTGGAATCTGCTTTTAGTTGGTGATCATTTCCTTTATTCTCATGACCTTTATGAGCGATTTGAGGGTGATACTGTGAGGAGAAGTAAGATGTTGGTCACTCTTAGGGGGTCATAGGGTCGACCAACTTTTTTTTTTTTTTTACATAAAACTGTTGAGAAGACCGTTCAGAGGAGGGGGTTGAATAACTTTATGCACAAACTTTTCCCGCTCTTTGTATGTTTTTCAGTCGAGTGGACGGCCTTAAATGCTTCGGATTGATGTCAGTATCTGGGCAACTGCCCACCTACCCCTCCCCTAACCCAACAACAGTCAATTGATAACAACTTAGGGTTAATGTTGGGTTAAGGGAGGGGTAGGTGGGCAGTTGCCTAGATACTGATATTGGTCCAATGCTTCCTGGCACGTCGAGAAGAGATAGTGATAGCAAAATGTTCAGCGGACGGAGCGTGCTTTTGTGTGCACCCAATTACAACTAAGCTTATGCTTGCGTGCAAGGATGATGATCACGTCAGAAAATATATAAAGTATTAAGTGGAACCAAAACATTTCATAAAGTGTTCCCAACAAATTTTAAACTTCTTAGATGGCGGGAATTATACTTTTTTTCTACCGGGTCATAAGCACTCTGGTCCCGTAAACCCATCGTTTCTTTTAGCCGGAGAGGTTTACGCTCAAGGATCGAGGACTAGCATGTAAATACTTTGACTTCCAACGGTTAAACAAATTCTAAAATTCTTCAAAACATTCCCAAACGTTTATTTGGTTCTCTTGGCACAGACGAACCAATCATTTGGCGGCGAAAGTAAAGGCATTTGACTGAATTCTCTCGAGTTAACCTTGTGACCCTAGGTGAAGGTGATCCGCAAACCAAAATGACGTATATTCAGTCAAACTAGAGACCCGAAAGTGATTAGATTGTTCGCTCTTCCTTGAATTCGTTTTAAAATTCGCTCCAGGAAAGTAAAACTTTGCATATGATTTGTCTTGAAATACTTTGAGAGGTGAAAAGTGGTGATAAAAGTAGCAAAAGGTGAACAGCATTCGCTAAATTTTTCTCTGTTAGCGAAAACATCGAAGATTTAGGGGTGCCGTGTTTACGCATCTTTGAGACCATTCAATATTCATCGCCTGGGGAGGTGGGTCGGGAGATTTTGAGGGTCACATGGTTTTCGGGGAGGGGAAAAAGGGGGGGGGGGTCAGTCTTCACCAACAGAGTATAAAGAAGGGGCTAAAGAAAGTAAACTGCCGAGTAACAGCCACTTAGAGGGGATCATAAGAATATTATAGAGCATTATGGGGGAATCAGCCAATTTTATCGTGACAGAACAAAAATCCTCCGACCCCACCCCCCGGCGATAAATGACAAATATCCTCCGACCCCACCCCCCGGCGATAAATAACAAAAAATCCTCTGACCCCACCCCCCGGCTATAAATAATTAATGGTCCCTGATAGCTGGCCCTGGGTTCGTCTTGAATTATCAACCCTCTTATTCGATCACGATTTCTTTGCCTTTATCAAGAATTTTCTGAAAGTCTTTCTCAGTTTCTTGTGTGTGTTTTTCTTCTATATGATCCAGTAGAGCATCAATCCAAACCCGGGCTTTGTGCTCAAGCTCTGCCTCACTTTCTTCCTAAAAGATAATGATGATTAACATGTCTTGGTCGGTGAGTGGTGTGGCATACATCGTAAACACAGTGGTTAAACATAGGGCATGCGCAAGGGGGATCAATTTTGGCCGGCCGCGCGCCAGTTTCCCGCGCGAAATTTCCAAGCCATTACAACGTTGGCACATGCACAAACGTTTGACCGCTGTGTTACATTGTAGGAAGGCAGTATGTTACGGGTCCAAAATATTCCCGCCCGAGACCAGACCTGCCCATAATGTTTTCGAAATATCTCCCAGCAACATGTTCCCGCTATTTCGTTCTCTTGATTCACGACCCAGATTTCATTTCGTTGGATCTGTTGTATTCTTATGTAAAATTCGAATTCAATAACTTTTCGAGATATATACCTTTTTTGATTTTTTGTCGTTTGTCGAAGATGCAAGCACCAGAAAAAAAGCCATAAGGAGAACTGTCGCTGAAATTGGGTGGAAAACCTAAAACAAAAGTGTTACAGGAAGATTTTACTCAGAAAACCCTAAAGAGTGACCATGTTTCTTAATTATGCCTTAATGTAATACATGCATTTGACGCGGAGATAGGAGATCGTTTTTCCCCTACCCCTCCCTCCACGAATCGTAATTGGCGGGTGTTTCTATTCATTAAGGACTCAATTCAGACAAAACAGTAGCCATGTAAAAGGATAGGACACTCGATTAACATTTGCTTTCCTTTCGAAAATGTCAAAAAGACTTCGTTGAAAAATAAATATCGCTATCCCTTTGTCAGGCATTGCGACGCATTTTGCGGGCTAAAATGTATTTTGGCCCGCTCGCACCCTCACGTGGTTGTTCAGACTGTTTTGTTATCATTCCCGTTAGTATTTATTTACCCAATACCCCTCAAAGTGATAATGATAATAATAATAATAAAAATAATGCAATAACATTTCAATTTGTAACTTATGAATTGAGAAAAGACAGGCGGTCTTAGCATTATCTTATTTATGGCTAAAAAAAATTTTAAAACAGGTACTTCTATTGAGATTGTTGGCCTCGAATCACTGCTTAGTTGCCTCAAACAAGAAACCCGCCGCTTTTAACGTCGTATTGTTCTCTTCAAAGTAGGAATTAAAATCAGCTATTGCACGCTAAAGGAACCATGTGTTTCTCCTTCATAAAGTTAATTTTGAGGCTTTGTTGACAAAACAAATTCGCGTCTCCTATTAAGATTTCTTTGTTAGATTATAACCTGCCAGTGTTATCCCGGTATTGATTTCAACATGTCTATAATGTTGAAATAACTCATCCGTGAAAAATTATTTGTTTCTTTGAAACAACCTAGTGTTTGTACCTTTCTTTTCGTCTCAGATGTCATTTTGATCAGCTGTTTCTGGCCAGCGTTGAGAGGTAAATAGAACACAAATTGGTCCGCTGGTACTCCTCTAACGAAGCCCGCTGCACATGTGCATGTAATGTAGATGGGATGGTTACCAGTAGATGATGAACTAATGCGCTTATAGCCGGTGCTCTGGAGGGACAGGTGCAAGCCGTGCTAAAGCTAGAACTTTTTTTTAGAACTTTTTTTTTAGGGTTTTATTTCTGTGATCACTTGGCTACAGTTTAGCTTTAGGGATCAGTTCCGCACCAATCATCTGCAAGTAAATCACGATATTTACAAATGTTATTTGCATTGAAAATGTTGATGTCTTGACATAACGTGCACCACCGGGGCTGTAAGCCCACGCCTAACCTTCTTATCGACATAACTTGTTGAAATGATGTATTTGGACTGAATTCCATATTCTGAAGACCAGCCTGCCAAGAAATGTATTGGCTATCGGTCACGAGAAAAGGGCTTCAAAAAAGGTGCATGGCATTGCTTTGTAAGGATACAAATTTCTACATGCTCAAAAATTTAAAAATAAGCGCGAAAGAGTTTCCCAGCTATGGGCATGTATGCATGGCAGTTTCAAAATGTACTCCTAGCACTTTCTATGGAATGAAATTAACTCATGTATTCGGCGTTATACCTTTTAATACTAAGTACGATCGATTCTTAAAGAATCTAGCCTTTTAATGTCCATATAAGGTTGATGACACAACCAGCCCACGGTCATGTCTTGAGATATAAACTCAAAAAAAAATTTGGAAAAAATGCATCCGAGTAAAAAGATTAATATTATGTGTCGAATAAGTTATTTCGATAAACCAACTACTCAGACATTATTAGCTAGTTACGAGGAAGAAATAGTGAACAGATCTGAACAGAAGAAGCTTTCTCGAATCCTATTATCGTAAACAGCTGTAGCGAAACGAAGCGAGTTATCAATTAATAAAGAAGTCATGTACAGAATTCATTCTTTGCATATCTGTGTTGTGTGTCCGGCTGTTGAAAGCTGAACGATAACCGCGTGGTAAAACGCGTGTAAAAATAGCGTCTCTATAGGTACACGTAAGGCATGGCAGAGGGGAAAGGAAGATCTTACGGCTTTTCAGCAGAAGTCCAAAGGAAGGTAAAAGTTATATTTTATATAGTAACATATTACAGATCTGGTATTTGTTTTCATTGTTTTGTGACAGTGGATTCGAATTCAATCTGATCCGCTAGGAAACTGACTAGTTCTCGTTGTACTGTTCAAAAAAATGAAGTTAGATGTTAAATCAAAAAAGCTTATCTGGAACCCTACCTCGTAAAGACGCTTTCATCCTATTTCTTCTTACCTTGAAGAACTCAGTCTTTCCCATGCCAAATATGATCTCTCTTTGGAGCTACCGTCCACTAATACATTACCTCACCAGTTCTCCTCCTCATTCTCCAAAACAAAGTGATATTAGGGAGTTCCGAATGTCGCAAAACCGCGAAAAAATACCTGAAAAAAAGGAAAACCACCGGGCGAAAAGTTTATAAAACAATAACACGTCAAAACGTTTCACACTCATGCATGATTTACACACAGATGGAGACATCACAAATTACATTCTTGCATATACTGGAGATCAAGTCGATTTACTGTCGATTATCTCTGTCTGTTCGTTCTTACATATTGATTTCAAGTCACTGATGAAATTCCCACCCCTTGTTTAAAATCCTATTTGGCATATTTTTAAATGTATGCCTCTAACATCAGCTCAAAATCTAGTTTTGAAGACAACGAGAAAGTTAATTCAGGAATTACTGCACAAGGGCCCTCTAAACATGAAACCGAAACAGTGCAAATAGTTTCATTTTACCTTACATTTATATTTTGATGGCACAAATAAAAATTACCACAGGATTTGAAATTACTACGATACGGTAATGCAGGATTTTTTTTTACATGGAAAAAGAATAACACCGTAACACTGGAAAATCCAGATGTACGCCATGACTTATCAAAACTTTATTATGCATTTCGAACTGCAGTGCAGAAGTAGACTACTGTCAGATTACATGCTGTGTAATTAACAAGCTTTCTTTTAATTAACTGATCACAACTAAATTGATTTTCACTAATTAAGCTTTTCATCATTCCGTCACCTTTTCATTACTAATTTTTTTCCTTTTAGTATTTCAGTGTCATGAAGATTTGGGAATTCGAAAATAAGCCTAGAAATTATTTTGTTGTTTTAATATTTTTTTTACCAGCATTATTGATTGATTTAAAATATCTTGCTGTGGGAAAATGTATAGAATTGTTTAAAAACGTTTTCGAACCGTACCCTCTGACTGTATATTTAGTTGCGCGCAGCTTATTGGAGCCAGGGTATCTGGTGGTGGATTTGATTAAACTAAATAATGTGAATAAAGGGGGTAAGTTTCTAAAGAAACTGTGGTGCTGCGTCAGTAGGAGGGTCAGAGCAATTCGAAGGACTGAAGCTCGAAACTTCAGTTTTGAAACTCTTTACGCGAATTACGGCGGCCAATTTACGTTATCAACTCAGTTTATAACACTTAATTACCCTAAATAACCTATGGTTCGGTCATGGAAACAAACTTCTGTTCCTCAACGGAATTTTACATTGTTAAGGTTATCTTCCTCTATATCACATACCGATAACGCCACACTTAGAATGGTCACTTTCCAGCTTGATGCAAAGTATGACAAGAGCGTGGAGTTGGACGCGAGGAACTGGATCGAGGACGTTGTTGAGGAACCAGTAGAGTGGGGAGAGTGCGATGACCCTCCCGGAAGTTCGTTTGCAGACGGTTTGAAGAGTGGCGAAGTGCTTTGCAAGTATGTTTGTATAATAAAAAGTGATCTGTCGTGAAAAGGTGTCACATGCGTCACGAATGAAACAATGAACGGTCTTTTTCGAATTAAAGCAGTACATAACTGTCTATCCAGTAACCCGAGTGAGATCTGGGTACCAGATGAAGCAGCGACAGTCCGACGACGATCCAAACGGTTCTTTTTCACCCTTTCACTTCAGGGTTCCGAAAGTGAATTCAACCTAAGATTTCAAATACTTCTTTTTATTTTAGCTTTAAGAAATTTGCGGGGATGGGGGGGTAGGGGTGGGGGATGGGGATACTTCAACTAATTAACGACGTTTCAGCATAGATATTTGTGATAGAAGAGATAATTATTAATAAATTATTTAAAGCAGAGGAACTTTTTTTTAGTAGCCCTCTCTTAAGGAGAAACCAACCTCGCTCTAAGAGAAGGGTACAGAAGGGTGCCGGTAGCAGTGATGGGCTCCTGCCGGTAGTAATGTCATAGTAATACTAACTTTCCTTGACACAGACTCGCCAACAAACTTCAACCTGGAGCAATAAAAATGAACAACACTTCAAAAGTCTCAAATCCTGCAATGAGGGCGACCAAAGAGGTAAGAATTGCATTATTGTACAGCTGGAGTGGCTTCTTCTCGTTGGACTCACTTTTAGAGAAGCTTTCCTCTTGAACCTCAAGATATGGGGCTATTAAACTTCGTTACCTTGCTATGGACTAGTGATACTCCTTGTAGCTTCATGTAACTTGGAAACCGGGATAACTGGTTGGGCCACTCGGCTCGAGGACAAAATTTGTCTCTTTTGTTTCTAACCCAAGAGGAGAATCAACACAATCATTAGAGTAGTCACGAGTACCATCTGTATTCGCGCATGATAAATGTTACAGATACAGACACTCCATTTTTGGGGACGGGGCGAAAAGGCGGAGTGACCGTGAGGTAAATCGCGGGAGGGGCGGGAGATTAAGTTGACCGAAGAATCGCATGATCCAGCGCTCGCCCCCTTTTCGCATAGACTGACTCCTTGCATGTGTTATCTTTCGACAGAAAGAAAATATTGAGAAGTTTTTATCCTTCTGTGAACAATATGGCGTTAAGGACCATTTTTCGACCCCATATCTGTACCAGAAACAGAACGTTATGGCGGTAAGAACGTATTGAGCACAAAATTCGTCATGCTTTAAGCAGGAGCCCTTTTAATTAAAGGGCAATGAATAATGAGTTATTTTTTTTTTGTTCTCTTTAAAAACACAAACATTTTGTCATTCGTAATTAGTTTTCAAGATATTCTTTGTAAACCAGCCGTATTTTCTTTAGTGAAAGCTGGCCATAAATCTTCTCTAATGTATTACAGAAGACAAACAGACTGACACACTGATAGTCTGAGGGGCGGCTTAGATGCTGCTGAAAGACACACAGATCAACAAACAGAAGGAGAAACTGACCAACAACCAAAAGTTGTCTCCTCTCTCGAGGGAGATTGCATTTGTCACGTTGACATGACTGTTTTTTTTCTTTTTAAGGTCGTTAACACAATATGCCAGTTGGGAAGTACGGTGAGTCTCCCTGTCTACTAACACAGCGATAACATAGCTTCAAATTCTACCCCTTTTTTGCTAAAGAAAACAAAAACAATAACGGATAACAAAAAAAGGAAAAAAAATTTTTTTGAGTATTTTTTTTATTTTTATTGTTCTTTTATGCTTTTCCATATTATTATTTTTGGGAACACTGCGCAGGCCCAAAGTAAAGGTTATGGCGGCCCCGCCCTTGGACCTAAGATAGCAGAGAAAAATGAAAGAGGTTTTACCGAGGAGCAGGTCAAAGCCGGCCGGGAGGGGCACATCGGTCTTCAAGCTGGTACCAACAAATTGGCCTCGCAGAGTGGGCAAAATTTCGGCCTTGGCAGGCAAATTGCTGGAGTGGGATCTGAGGGAACATACGACAAGTAAAACTTTCATATGCCGTTTTCGAAGAAGGATCAAGTTTTTTTTCCTTTCGATACTTGACAAGAAGTTGCATTGCTTTTTAACATTTCGCCGAGAGTAATTACAAACCATTTAGTTCAATTGAATTAGCAGTTTTTTCCTACCAAATGCTGTGTGAAGAAATGTTTTGCCAATAAAAGTTAATACATACATTGAAAACCTTGATCTGATCTTATTTAATGCACCACCGTTACTGTTAATTGTTCAAAAAACTTCCGTCAAAGATTTATGATTATCCAACTTGTAATTTTCAGGTAACAAGCAAGGCAATCTCACTTAATTTCATTTCAAATAGAATGGTTTTTGATTTTCAGTCGAAATTAATCCAAAATCTTCTCGACAGTTTTCGCCTTTGTGTAACTGATTTGCTCGCGACACCCAATTCAGCATTACTGAAACCAAATACTCCTAGATTACCGACATTTTCCCGCGCTCGACGCCAGTTACGTCATCCCAATCGTGCTCTCGTTAGCTCGCTTCTCGTGGCTTTTCCTTTGATTGATAGCGGCTGATGTCACTTTAGTGTTGGTTTATAAACCACAGCTTATTTGAAAGCGCTTTCAGGCTTTGAAATTATCTTTTCCTACTCTCGCTATTAAAAACATTAAAGAAACAAATTTTACAAATATAGAGTTGAATAAACTCCGAAAAGCTGGCCATCTGGTATTTTTATTATTATTTTTTTTTTATAATTTTTTTTAACTTAACGATATGTCTGTCTAGTAATCGTATCTCCCACATACTGCATGGCATCTGGGTGGAGGGGCAGGGGAGGTGGAAGCCTGGAAAAATTGCTTATATACCACGTTGAGAGTTTCTAAAACTGACGTTTCAATATGGAAAATGACTGCAAAAGACCACTGCAATTGTTGCCCACAGTTCGGCCTCTTAGCCATGCAACTATAGATCACTGGAAGAGTTGACCAGAGTCATTTCTTCTGGCATCGCATTTGTGGTTTGATGTTTCTGAGAAGATAAAATTTTCCTTTATGTTGTTAAAACGGTGTAAAACTCAAAGATAGCAAAAGCTTTACCTTCCCTCCCCACCTTGGCTGGGAGAACACGAACTTGAAAATCAAGCGTGGAAATCTCCCAGAGACCTCTTCTTTTGTTTGGTTTTGTTTCTCCCCGATATTTCTTCGTATCCCTTGACCAGAGGCATGAGGCTATGACTGTCTTCATGTGAAAGTCCACAGTTTCCGCGGAAGCCTGTGCACGTGGCGGTAAGTCGTACCTTAGACGGGCGTGACAGAGGCGTGACACATAACATTTGCGACCGACACAGTACTTTGCTTAATCGACAGATTATTTCGATCGAGTGCTCAAGCCTTGCCCAAGGATGGCTTTTCGACCGTTTCATCCATCCGCAGCTGACAGTAAAGGCAAGGTAAGTTCTGTGGCTGAAGTTTTAGGCTCTTTTCTCAAAGATGTACTAGTGATTAGAATTCCTTGAGCTTGAATGAACCGCTTAATTGACTGTTTACGATGAAGCTCTTCAAGGAAGGGCACCAGCTACCATCTGGTTGTAGAATTATCGAACTCGTCAACTGATAGTAGACTAATTCTAGTTTATCTGCATTTTCCTTCCTATGTAAACACTGGGTTGTAGAATTTGAAGGTTAAAATGTGCGAGCGTGGAGCGCAGCATGGGAACGATACAAATATTGTTCCTTCTTTTCTCGATTGACTATGAAAATCATTTGTTTGGGTAAATTGTCTGAGGTCATTTTTTTGATCCGATTTGAATGTAACACCTTGGAATATTTTTTGTTGAGTTAATCACAACTGGCGATTTATCAAAATACGGACTTGAACAAATTTGGTAGTAAAACGGCTTCCCAGAAGAGGCAAGTGAAATTGCAAGTCACGATGCAACATTTCCATCTGTTCCTTGCTTTCGGCTCTTAGTGGTAGATTTTGCTCTCAATCGGGAAAGAAATTCTTGCCTCGAGAAGTAAGCTGTGTTAGTAAATTCGATATCTTCTTCGGGATTGTTCCTCGGGATTTTTTTCGAGGTTTTCTAGACAACAATAGATCATTAGTACTTTCACGCGTGGTCTCGAATAAATTATTTAAGGATTAACATTTGCATTCACAATACAGCAATACTTTTTGTTCACCAACTAAAGCAAAGCATAAGTCACGAATGCAGGTTTGGATTATGTGTGATTTTTCGTTTACACGATAAACTTTAGAACCATAAAACTTAACAAAGAACTGCTTTCTTCTCTTGAAACCACATAAGACTAATCCGTCGCAAGAAAGCTATACATATTGACTGAGGTAATTAAATATTGATCGAATTGCTCAAACATGAGTTGACTTGAGTGACAGCAAGTAACTGGCACTCTTTTTCCCGCCATGAATTTGGGAAAGAACACCTGGCATATATCTTGCAGATCATTTGGCCAGTATTGTGTTTTTCTCGCTTGGAGACTACCAGACTCCCCAGTAGAGTTGAATGGGTCAAAACATCCCAATAGGATGTCAGACTTAATCAGTCCACTTAATCAGCTTTGCACAGTGTGATTGCATGTATGGAAATGTCAAGATAGCCGACGCTGATTTTGGGTTTTCATTAATGCGTGTAACCACTGAACCAGCATGCATGGAATTTCGACGGTGGTAAACTCGCTGAGTCTTGAAAAAGCAATTACTTTCTGGAAGGAAGAGAGCAGCGAAGCAAATAAATAAAAAGCAAAACGGGAAAACCGAAGAATAAGGTCAATGTCATCTGCGTTTTGATGGCCCGTGACGCACACCCCAGTCCTCACGGGTAAGGGAAAGCTTGTTGTTTTGCTTAGCTGTTGTTTCCACGTGGAGGGGGTGGGGGATACGGTGGGTGGGGGGATACGGTGGGTGGGGGGATACGGTGGGTGGGGCGTTACTGTAGGGAAATTTTAGAAACTTCCAAACCGAAACTGTACTTTTGTCAGTTGCGGTCCCTAGTCTTCTTTTCCGTCTTCAAGAGAGTCCGAGAGCGCAATCATTTCTTTAGCAAATTACACAAGATTTTGTATCAAAACTTTCACAACTTCCAAAGATACAGAACAATTACAAACCTCTCAAATACGGGCTTTTGAGAAACTCTACTATGGGACGAAATCAGTGAAATGGCCTTTCTGGATCAGAAAATATTGAAGTCTAACAAAGAGGTCACTTTTAAAAGTTCAAATATTTATAGGTCAGATACCAGCAACTGGAGATGGTGATAGCGAGGAAATGAGAACTCGAGAGAGAGGCACCCCTTACGTGGACGTTTAGGCGGCCAACATTTTTTTAAACCTTTCCCCTACAAGTGCATTTTCAAAGCCATATCTGGAGTAATATAGTCGTTGTTTTTCTTTTTCCTTTTTTTTTCAGCTAACAATTACAACGTAACTCTTTGGCACCGTAGCATTTGCCCTGTGATAAGTGCTGCTTTTGTCATGTAAATTCACTCATCACAGACCTGCTCAATGATGCTAATTGTGAAACTTTTGTTTTAACTTTGCTTATTCAATTCAATGCAAATTATTTTGGGCTTAAAAATAACTCGCACGAGAAACTCGAGTAGGTACACTCATTACATGTAATCGTCTATATCAAACTTACTCGCGCTCCACGAATTCGCAGGATTCATTTTTTAGTAAGGTAGAGTTTTAAACTTTTTTTTTAACATGTGTAAAGTTTTTGTATTACTACTGTAAACATCCTAGCTTTTGAAAATTGCATGGCCAAGCATGGCATCAATCGAGCCTGTCAGTAACGATTGTTGGTATCAGTTCAGATACTTATGTTTAGCGAGAAAAAATTGCGACCAATTTCCTCAATTCGCTCTAATTCTACTAACTGCGTTGGTTTTTAGAGTTTTTAAGGAGGTACAAGTCAGAGGACGTCAACTTTACTTCGCTAGATACGAAGCAAACCGAAATTGTTTTGATGTGGATAATACCATGTACAATTATTTGCTAAAGAAGTTGGCAAGATTTTAGTTACAATCCCGTATGTTATTGTGTATACGGTTCTTTGATAAAAGAAAGCGGTGACAAAAGCAATAGATTACTTTTGGAACTGCCGCTTTGTTTTGAGAATTGTATAGAGATATCCGAAATCTCTCTCAACTAATATTCGCATGTTTGACTCTCTAATTACGTTCGACGGAAAGCGGAATGAAAGCTTCTTCTTCAATTAATTATTTATTACTGTATTTTCATCTAATCCTATTCAGTAAAACTTTCAAAACAAAACTAAAGAGGTTTTAGAATAATCACTGTGCGTATCTGCGGCGAAAAATTCACTTATTTTTACTTTTTACTGATCTATAAAACAGAGCATAGACTGAAGCTTTAAGAATTAATATTTCTCAACCTGTCAATTAGATGGCCTCTAAGTGGGACAAAGAGACGGCGAGGGACATCTGTGCTTGGATTCAGAGGGCCACAGGAGAATCTGTCCCCTCGGACGATCCTACTTCCTTTGCTGAGACGTTGAACGATGGTCAAACACTCTGCAAGTAATGTCTGAGTATTTTGTTTGTGTAGTCACAGAGGCATGAACGTTTCAAATTTCTTTCGCTTATTTTTCAAGACAAGGGTTGTTTCTTTTTGTTTTTCTTTGACATTTGGCGTAGGAAATCGTTCACTTTTTCGTGCTGAATATGTGCTCTAAACCCATATTTTGCTCAGATAGGCGAAAACTTGCTCGATGTTGCTAAAAATTGCATAAATGTAAAAAGTTACTCAAACGTTGCTGAGCACAATAGGAACAGGCCTACTTACCGACCGAAATTGATTCCCTGACGCATGCCCGACGTTTGACCTCTGTGTTGCCTTAACCAATCTTCACACGGATACTTTACTAATTTGGAAACTCCTATTTGGAAAATTATTTTCAATTCAAGTTGAAGAAATTCATGTTACTTAAACTGTTACATTGGTTTTTTTCATTTTTATCTTGCGATGAGTGAAGGCTAGCCAATCAGATAAAACCAGGCGCAATAAAGAAAATAAACAAAATGAAGATGCCATTTCACAAGGTACGTCGGTGCAAATTTGATGCGTGTCCATTGTAGAAAATAGTCGCTTTTTCTATTTTAGGATGGTTATACTTTTTCCCCTAAAGCTTCTCTAGACTAAGAACATTCGGGAAACCGGGAAAAAATAAAATTGATGTCAGCGCGCCTCCTTGTACTTTGGTGTTCTGCGCTATGCGCTAACATCGATATTTTTTTTGCCTTTTGTTTTGGTTTTTTTTTGACCTGCGGGACCGATTTTGCCGAGAAGGAGGGAATGCTCGCACTCTTCAGCTTTTTAAATTTAGTTTCAGTACTTTTATTTCAGTTTCGAGTACCAATTAGCCTACTTCAAGTAGAGACGTTCTCATCGGTGGAATTGGCGACATAGAACATACCAAACTACATACTTGTATCAATTCGGTTATATGAGATTTATTTGTAATAAATTTTGCCAGTTTCCTCAATGAATACATCAAAGTATTTTCTCCTGAATTCATATTAGCTGCAACAATATTCTATCTCATTGCTCTCTTAAACAGTTTTTTGATCCTCTTCGCAGATGGAAAACATTGGGTGGTTTAGTGATTTTTTGAGAGAGTATGGTGTGCAAGCGGAGTATATATTTGTCACAGTAGATCTCTACGAGAAACAAAATGTTCCACAAGTGAGTAAATACTCCGTCGTTTTTGGGCTTATAAAATGAAAACACCCTTCAAAGTTAAAGATTGTTAAAGTTCAGGGTGTATTTCTACCTTGTTTCGTGTTAAGGGAAATATCAGAAGAAGCCACCAAAAACTCACCAAACAGATGCAAAACTAAAACGACTTGTTCACCCGCATTTTCCCACGCTACGGGCAGTTTGCTTCATTTTATTTTGACTTTTCATTGGTTCTAAGAGTATTTTCCTTTCTTCTAGTTTTTCGTAGCGATAATCTTGGTTTTGTTTTTACGGCACTCAATCGAAGGGCGCTCTGAGCAAGCAATAGATCAATTAATTGCAATTAGCCGACCCCGTATCCTCTTCCGTGGCCCGAGTCAATTTGGGGCACCTTAAATTCTCTTCTGAATAAAAATACAAGCGTTTTGAGTACTTGCCTGGAGTTTCTCAGACTTTGGAAATTTTTTTGTTTGCAGGTTCTTATTGCTTTGAAATGGCTGAAAATAGAGGTAAGAGCTTAATAAATATATCTGCCAATGTTGTCTGTAGACACAATTTATATAAAGTACCCAAGTTCACCCCGTATGAAATTCGCCCTCACCGAATTCACTCCCGGGTGAAGAGATGCACTGTGGGAGTTAAGTGTTTTAATCAATAATGCAACCCAGCGCACTGAACACCATGTCACCTCTGTTCTCAGCAGGGAAACAAGATGGCAGGTTTAGCTTAGGAGCAAGGCGCTGCCTTGGTTAAATAATTGTATTGATTTTTGAAGCGAAAGGGCCGTCAGTTCTGAGACTTTGAATTATTTTAAAAGGCTGTGGTTTTTGACGCAGGAGGGAAAATGGAAACGAAAAAGAAACAAAACGAATTCGGACGTGCGAGGGGAGTGGGCCTAAGGGAAGTTTAGACAAAAAGAGAGAGACACTGAGTTATTTTTGTAAAGTAGATTTGCGGGAATTGCAAATAATGAATTAAGAAAAATTTCGGCTAGATATTTTTAAGATGCATAACCTCCATTTCAGAGAAAGAGAAGATATAATAAGGACTGAAAGTTGTAAAAAGACTGAAATTTCAAAAAACATCGAAGAACGCTAAAGTTACAAAGCCTGCCCTTGGTACAAAAGTGTGCTATCCTTTTTAAGGAAAGAGGCCACCAAAATTTATATTTTGGATCCTTTTTCATCGCAATGTAAAAATTAAGTTAATGTCAAGTTAATTTTTCTCTTTCAGTCGGAGAAAAATGGTGTCAAGCTATGAGGAACCATTTTCAAGCTCTCTTTGGCGTATATTGTAATTTTCTCTTAGACATGTCTTAGATTTTATTTTTCATCTGTTTCATGAAAAATCATCCGGTTTCAGAGATAGAGCTTAGCAGTGTAAACGTTATTCAGGGCTTTTTTTGTGGATGATGTGCCTTGTCGTAGTTTCAGTCTAAAAGTATTGTTTTTAAGTTAGCAGACAATTTTGTCAGCCGCGAGGCTGGAAGAGTGGTTAGACAGTATCATATTTATTTTGGAATTTACCTTTCCCGTCGTTGACGTGAAGATAAATTAACTTTAAGTTGAGGTCAAAGTGTACGTGTTGGATTAGAAAAGTAATTTTATGTGTTGCAGTGAAGAAATAAGTTATGAAAGTTAGGCAAAGAAGAATTAAACCTGAAGTGGGTCCACGAGTTATATTACCGCACGGAGAAAAAAGTAATTACTGCCAATCGCAGGAAAACATGTGTGACGTGTCAAACGCGGGACTGGGGAAAACATGCAGTCAAAGTAAGCGCGGGAAACGTGTAACCAGTTTCAAGCGCAGTTGCGTGCGGGAAGGTATGTAACTAGTCAAAGCGCGGCAAATTTTTCACCAGTCTCAAGCGCGGTTGTGCGCGTGAAGATATATAACCAGTGAAAGCGCGGGAAAATTTCTAACCAGTCTATTACACAGTTCAAGGCGCGGGAAAACAAAGCCAATGTTAAGCCCTTTGTGCCCCTATTCTCTCTAGTTTTAATCGTGGGAGAATATGGAACAAGTCAGTGCCAAGGGCAGCAAGCATGCAACTAGCTAGGTGTTGTAAGCTGGGAAATACGCAACGGTGACAAGGAAGGAAATGCGCAATTGGTACAGAAGGATGGGAAAATACAAAAACGGTATCGAGGTGTGAAGTATGCAATCGTCCAGAGAGCGGGAACTGAAATACAAAGACGGTGCCGAGGGCTGGAAGATATGCAAACTTTGCAAATCTCGAGGAAATTAACTTTGAACCTAAGTTAATTGTAGGAAAATGTATACGTGTAAGGAAGCAAACATAGAAAGCTGTAGCAGTAACGTTGGGCGAGGGATGCGTACTTACTCGCTAACCACGGTCGAAAACAAAAAGAAAGAGATTCGGAGACTTGAAGTGCTCGCCGATTTAATAAAATCATAACGTTTGACATATGATAAGGAAGCTTACTCCAAAGCGCAACAGTTAAATAATTATTGTTCCTCAAAAAATGACTGCCAATTTATAATAGAGCTGAATTTAAAATTTTGAAATCAAAGGCGAGAATCAGTCAATAACGCTTCATGCAGGGGTATTCATCAGTGTGTTGTGATTTATTTTCCTTATCTATAGGAGGAAGTTTGTTCGGTTTCTTGAGACGCATCTGCATTTCAGTCGAGTCCAAACCTAACATACTCTCCATGCTTCTCCTCGCGGGAAGGGGATCCACGTTTCTGGTGGGTGCTTCCGTTGCGAGAGAAATTCCATTTCTGGAAGGGGGGGTCTCTAAATAAGACGGGTACAAAGAATGAGAGAGTTCTTCTTCGACTTTAGTTGCTTTCTTTTTCTTTCTGGTGCGTGTTTGATGGGAAAGCTCAGATCCGACTGGCAATGGAGGTCTTACTCTTGTAACGTAATACTCCTCATTGTCGCTATTTTCTGCAGAGTCAAGAGCACTGTGCATTGCTTCAAACTCTGGAGAAAAGTAAATTCTTGTCCTATGCCTCAGTGGTGGACTTGCTTTGGATCTTTCGACAAGAACAGGAAACGTTGCTTGCTGAGTTTTTTCCTTCCAGCTTGGTTTATGGATCTTTTCTTTTCGTCGACGCCTTCGCGCGCGTTTTCTTTCTTTCCTCTGTTCCTCTTTTTCTCTCCTCTGCTCCTCGTCATATTTGGGAAAGTGATACATTTCTAGGGTCTTCCTATTAATTCTTTCCCGAAATTACGGAAGTTCCTTTTTCGGTGGAGAATTTTGCACTTGGATCTCTCTATGACGACATTGCGCGCGCATATCACTTGGTTGCAATGACACCATGGAAACGCGCCGTCATAATTAGCGGAAAAAAAATCACAGAGAGGGAATAAAATTAGTTGTTGCCTGTTGGAAATAACTGTAAATTGTGTACCGGCTCACCGTTTTTACGTTTAATTTTGGAGTGGCGACTTAGAGAGGGGAGCACGTAGTGCTTTGTCACGTCACATTTAGTGTTACATCAGCTCTTTTCCCATTTTCGTTCCTCAGTCCTCCGTTCCTATTCCTGTTCAAGTCAAGTCCGCCTTATTCCATCGTCCATTTACTTTCCAGCATCGATTCATTACCACCCCAGGTACGTAGTGCCTTTCTTTTGATGTTTTATGTTCTATCTTATCGTCGTTGTTGACTGCGTTTGTTGTATGTAACTGCACTTCCTGTTAGTCACGCTTTCCTTGCGTTCGCGTGACAGTCACATGAGAATCAGGTTTTGTTGGTAACCTCAGCATTACGCATGACTCAACTGGCAAGATGGCGGCTCATTGGAGGGTCTTTCAAGTTTTAGCTTGTTTATTTTTGTTCTATGGGTTGTACATACACGCAAATCTTCCGAGTAAATGTCAAATATCAACATACTCTATCACAAATTGGTAAGGAATGTTTTTTAAGAGTTACACGAGAATTGCACATCTGATGCCAGAAGGATCGAAACTCGGAAACTTCCGTAAGCGTTTTGGTGTAAAACCTTACGTCTTAGTATTTCTCTGCTTCCTTCTTTTTCCATTTTAGGACATGGAAGGTTATTGGAAGCAAAAGGGAATATTATATCAATGTCTGTGGAAACGCTAAAGTCAAAAAAAAAAGTTGTCCTTCAAAGGCTGCCGTTTGCTCGCCGTCATCAGCTGATAGTACTACTCTTCAGGATTTAGGCTCTAAAAGACAGATAAATGCAACAAAGGATTCAGGCTTCGATTTGATTTTTACTGGTGGACAATGCAACGAGATGGGAAATAATAAGGCATGGGAAACCAACATCTTTATGAGATGTGGAAAGTTTCTGGTAAGTATTTGATCCAAAAATTGCTGTATTTATAGGACAATAGACATCGTGACTGTTCGGAGAATCAGTTCGTCCTGACCCTGTTGTTTTGAGTTTGGTTTTGGAGGGTAGTTCTGACGATACTTGATTTGTCATTAGAATGTTAGTACATCCATCCCTTTCATTATCACTATCATTGTCTTTGTTACATCCATTTTGAAATCATCGGTGATCCTTGGAATGTGATTGGTTCTCATTGTTGCAACTTATTCATGATTCGCAGACTTTTCCTCAGCCAATTAGGAAGTTGTGCTACAAATTTCACTTCACTCGGTTTACTTACCATTATTTATTATGGTAATAATGATTATTATTATCATAATCATTACCCGCATTGTAATCATTATCATTATACTAGTTATGATTATCCTTGTTACTGTCTGAGTGTATAGTTTTCATTGTGATGATGGTTGTTTTAGTGATATTCATTACTGTCTTTACTAGATTACCTTTTACATTAAATTTAAGATTAAAATGAAATAGCTCTGTATTAAGATATTTTCTCAAAGCTAACAACTGTCCTGAGCTTATCATGATTACTTGCTGAACCTTCATTCTGACAAAGGGCTTACGCCTGAAACAACAACTTAAGAAACTCTTTATGGTGACATATTTACATTGCTAGCTCAGAGGATTAACCAAATCATCTTGTCTTTATCTTTAGAAACTCCTTTTTTTTATTTTTGGAATCTGTAATTTTGTTCTGGCTAAGATATTAGGATGTGGAACCTGTTGAAAAGATGTTACAAATAAATGGGAGATTTCTAAAAGAGTTTATGGCTGCCTTGGGAATAGTATGACTTGCTAATACCAAACATTTATAAATTCAGTGGTGAATTAAAAGGACGTTGTTACAAAATCATTATATCCTTAATGTATTCTCATTGTAAAAATTTATAGGGATCTCCTCAGTTTGTGGATCTCTTTGTGGGAAAAGAGAAGTGTGTGGCTGTTTTTGAGTTTGTTACTAATGAGGCTTGTAAAACAAAACCTGGACCAGAAATTCCTTGCTCACTGTATGGAACAGACAAGGAAATAATAGATCTAACACCTTTGATCAAAACAGAAGGTAACATTATTTTATTGATGTTTGTTTTATTCCAACTTAAAAGTTAGGTGGACTAGTTTTACCTTGGCTGTCTTGAATGTCTTAGACACCCAACCTTTACTTTCCAAGGCATTCATTAATCCACTATAGAACTGAATTCAAAATTTAAACACCATGCATACACACTGTATTCTAGTAAATTGAAACGAATTTTAAACAGAGAAAGAGCTATTTCCATGAGCTTGGGAACATTTAAAAGCTCAATAACTAATCACAAAAGTTCCATGGATCTCTGCATGAGAAACAGCTCTGACAGGATTAATTTTTTTATCCAACTACATGTAAGTTCAACATGTTTTGCTGTCTAGTCAATTTACCCTTCTGTTTTACACTTTCCTTAATTTGTTGGACACTTTTGTCACACTTGCTTCCCAAATAATTGCTTGAATTCTCCTTCTTTCTGTAATCCAAAATTTTATTTTGTCAATTGCATTGTAGCTCTAATCAAAACACGATAAACACAGTTTGCACAAACGTTTGAAATCTTCCGTGCCAAAGACAATTTAATCTCATGTTTCATGCTCATTACATGACATGAAGATCAAGCATGTCAGGTTGAGAATTATTTTGTCTTTCCCAAGCTATTTATTGCAAACTTTTGTTTGGTAATGAAAATTCGAAGAAATATCGCTCTATGTTCAAGCAAAATGATGCAAAGTGCAAGTGAGAATCTTCACAAACTTTTGCACAAAAGTGCGATGAAATTTGGAAAGAACAATTAACAAAATTTGGCAATTTTCATTTGCATTACTTTTGCAAAATACTTTTGTCTAGTGATAGTCAATTCTAAAACTCTCTTAGCTGTGAATAAAAATGCTCATCTCATCTAACTCTAGTTTTTCTTCATGTTTATGCACTCTTTTAATTTACCCTGTAAGTACTGTTTTCATAAGCAAACTACAAAGAGATGCCCTTTTAATTCTCCTCTCTAGCTCTCACACATTTCCATGTAAATTAGTTATGAGTATTTGGTGTTAGATCAAGATAACAGCTTCTATGTGAGAAGTCTGAGTATTCTTATCACCTGTTTGCTGATAATGTTTGGATATTATAGGGAGAAGTTACATGTTAATCACTTAATGCAAGGGCAGTAACCTTTTGGCCCCTAAGAGTGACTAGCATCTAATCTCTCCTTATAACAGCACTCCTAAATCACACACTGAGGTCATGAGAATATAAGAAATGATCATTAGCTAAAGAGGCTCTTCATTATTGAACAAATTCTCTTTGTCAACACCTTAGGAAATGTA